TTGCAATGCATAGTAGAGAAAAACCGCCACGGCGACGCCGGACATGCTGTCGTTGGCCATTTTGCATTGCAAATATTTTTGGGTCTGGAAGTAGATTGCAACTTGTCATGCTAAATCCGAATCATGCAAAGATTAGTGTTGCGCCATGAGTGCCAAAAGCTGTCGACTTTCGACCAAGTTGGGATCGAGTTTCATCTCATGCATCAGCATGACAGAGACCTCCCAGAGTCGGTCATGCTAGGTCCCGCATTCCAGACCTCATGGGTCATGGAAAACCTGCATGACAAGTTTACACGCTACTTCCAGACCCAGATCGTCGATATTTGCAACTGATAGCCATGGAGGGGTGACAAGTGTAGGAGGAAATCAACACCTCGCGCGAGGAAGAACTTCGACCCGGGAGGACCACTTCGGAAATCGTGAGGCTTCCGGGAAAGAGTTTCGTGTCCACAACGACCTCGTACGGTCCCGGAGCCATCTGCTTCCGGAAGCTGTCTCGCACGCAGAAGGCCCAGGCGTCCTTGTAGTAGGAGGCCATGTAGGGAATGGCGTCGGGGCACTCGGGGATCGAGTGGAGGTGCTTTTGCTCCTGCAGCTCCTCTATGAACTGCAAAAGCATCGTACTCGTATAAATGCATTACAAATTTCCCCAGCATGAGAAATAAAATTTGTAATGCTGATTTTCCATAAGAAAGAGACTTGTAATGCATGACTGCAATTACTACGAGTACGATACTTTTGCACAGGATATCCTCGAGACTCATCGTCCCGCGGAAGGGTCGGGAATAGTTCATGAGGTGTATCATGAAGAAAAATTTCCCCTCCCCATGTCGAAAAGGACATTTGTGATGCTGTATTTGAGTACACAAATCGACTTGTAATGCTAGAAGGCCAAGAGCCGCCGTTGTGGCCTCGTTTGTGGGCAAGTTGTCATGCTGTTTCCCACTTCCAGTTGCTTCCTGTCATGCTGAAGCCGCAAGGCTTTCTCACGCCACCCAGCACTATAGTCCGCATCTCTTGTTCCCTTCTAGCATGACAACTTGATTTGTGATCACAAATCCCGCATCACAGACTTCCATTTTGATATGGTGAGGGGGGATTTTTCATTTTGATAAGGTGCAGGTTATTCTCGGACACATCCGCCAGCTTGTCGCCGTTGGGCGCGATCAGGTAGGCGGCTTCGCAAGCCCACTCCAGCGGCACTTGCCAGTCCGCGACCTTGGTTCCCGACGGGATTTCGAAGGTCTGTAGCCGAGGAATGTGGCGACGGATCACCGCGTGGGTTCGCCGGACCCCCGCACCCGTAATGCTGCGGAGAAAGGGAAAAATCTCCGTGAGGAATTCGAAAATGGTTCCTTATGAAATGCAAAAGTATAATCGTACTCGTAGTATTTTTGCAATACAAATTTAACCAGCATGACAAACGGAATTTGTCATGCTGATTTTGCTTGAAGAAGAAATTTGTCTTGCATGACTGCGATTAGTACAAGTACGATACACTTTTGCGCAGGATATTCCTGTTCTACTGTTGATGTTCCCGCCCTGGAGGTGGTCCTCGCGTTCTTGTGCTCTTTCTTTTGCGCTGCTCTGGTGCTGCTCTTCCTCTTGCGCCGCAACTAGAAGCGTCAAAAGCGGGTCGATCACGAGAAAGCTCCCTGGCCGCAGACCCGCCAGGACGACTTCTTGTTCTACTTCGAGTTTGATATGAAGCTGGACCACCCGGGTCGCATCCACGCAGCCAACGGATATAATTTTCAACGCCTCCGAGGTGGCAGTTGCACCAGCGTCTGAAATCGATACTATTTGCCCGGGAAAACCAACGCGACTCGCGGGCACGCATTTTACCTGCTCCGGCCGCAGTTGCAGGGCAACATACCCGGTCGACATGCCAGCAGCGTAGTAGTTCGGCGACGAAGTCTTTGCCTGCCCCTCCTCCACCGGCAGCAGGACCGAGATGCAGCTGCTAGCGACGTCGTGCGCAGGACCAGCATCCTCCTGCGGCTGCTGCGCTGCCACTTCCCGCACAATGTCCTCCACGTCCGCACACGACATGCGGCACCACTCGATCCAGCGACGCGAGCCGCTGCTCGGAGTTGATGGCATGTTGAAAAGCGAATATTGAAGAAGTCAAAGTCTCCAACGATAGTACGTAGAATAAACTACTTCCACGAGGAACAAGCACCGACGTAGTACAATCAAACTATACACTGCGCCGTTCTTTCAACTACAACTGCAGGCTTGGTCTGTAAATTTCGACGCGATCATCTTCCCAGACAGGGAGAGACTTAAATCCAAAGTATACGGACGCTGATTTCATTGCAAAACAAATGCAAAACGAATTCAAAATGTCAGGGTTTCGTAGTGTGTACACACCCAGATACACAACACCACATCCCTGACAAAAAACATTTCCAGCCCATTCAACGCCACAGAAGCAAACACCTGTGGGCGGTCGTCCAATGCTCTTGGGGCTCAGAGCGAGGGCAACAGCGAGATGTCTGTAGGTGCGTCGGCGCGCACGCCTTTGAAGCCCAATTCCTGAAGCCCCAGGGAGTGCAGCCAGAGGCCCTGCTCACGTTGAAACACCGGGAAAAACGACCCGCACCAAAGTGGTGCGCGGCTACGTCTACACAGCCGCCGCAAAGTAAGAGCGCGGGTTCGCCTCGCGTTGCCGGCGACCTTCTTGCCGGCTGGAAGCGCAAGCATGGCTGGCATACGTGGGTCCCACACGGCCCTGCCTTTCTAGAGACCCAAACACGCAAGCGCTCTCCATGCCGCTACCAGATAGGGATTGGGGTCATGGCGCGAGCCTTATAGCGCCAAAACTGCCGAGCTTGGCGACAACATTCGCAAGAAAGCTCAGCACAGAGGCGCATTTCAAAACATGATTTAAAGTCCAACACAATTTCAAAACGTATTTCAACTTTCTCGCCAATTTCAAAACGTATTTCAACTTTCCCGGCAATTTCAAAACGCCATTCAAATCTTTTCTGAATTTCAAAACGGAATTCAAAACTCGGTTCACAATCCGTTCAAAATGCGTTCAAACCAATAGCCTCATCGGTGAACGCATTTTGAAAGGATTTTGAACGATTTTTGAACTTCTTTTGAAATCGAGAAAGAAAGCTCTTTACTTGAAGCTTGCTCCCGGAGTTTCAAGTACATGACGAATACCAAAGAGAAGCGGCTCTCGATCACCCACAACATGCACAAGGGGCAATGTCCTAAACCCGCCCCGCCGGCGAGCAATGGCGCCAGGCACCGTCGATATCACTGCGACTGCCTCCTGAGAGGGGGCGCGCAGAACGACGCTCCCAATCGTAGTGCGCGGAACCATAAGCAATCCCGGCAAGGGCGCCGAGCTGCAGAGGAATAGGAGCGCTGCTGCACAGGAAGCGAGGCCTGCGCCATGCCCCTCCTTTGCCCGTCGTGTTGCGTCACAGACATGGGCGCCAATTATCGCTGCAACAGGTACAGGGGGCGTCGCTCTGTGTGGCCTGAAGAATTCATGGCCGCTAGACGCATCAGAGAAGCTCATCGATGGCAGTGCGCCAACCCCCAAACCAATTACCCCCCGGACACACACATAGGAGGCCGACGCGTTTGCCGTGGACAAACGGCATACTTCCACAGCGGCCCTCCTGTAAATTTCGACCCGATCATCATCTTCCCAGACAGGGAGAGACACTGTACGACAAAAATATTTTTAAACCGAAACACGCAACAAAATTACTGGAGGGCCGCATAAGTGGAACACCAGATATTGACACTAGACTACTACGCCGGCGTCCAGGACGCCGGCGATAGGTCGTCTAGTAAATCTAGACGTAAACACCCAGGACAAAACTTGGCAAGCGTGGGGGTGCCGGCTAGGCGGAAGACTCTTACCATTGGGAATCTGCTACCTAGCGCAAGCGCGGCCACTATTAGAAACCCCGCGGGCGGTTTTAGCATGGAAAACCGGACCGCGCTTGCTAGTAACCGCAACGCCCTTCCCTAGTAGCGGCCCACATTAGATGGCGCGCCTTCTTTCCTTCCCTGAGCTAAGCTTCTAGCTCGCCCCCACCGACCCGGCCGCGGGCCTTGGCCTGATTGCCCTCTTGTGGGCTGTCTCATTTCTAGGTAGGACCTCCCGCAGCGCCTCCCCTGCCGATTCGCCGGCCCCTTCATTCTAAAAAGAAACTCGCCTGGTGGGGCCGCTCCGTACCAAAAAAAAACTTCTAGACCGGCCCCCCTTACTACCCAACACCTATGGACCGCCCTCGAATCTAGGGAAAGAAACAAATCGGAGCCAAAAAGACCGCTATTGCTGTGCTATTTCCTGCCCACGAGGCGGGCGCGCTTGCAGCATTTCTGGCCCCCACAATGCGAGCGAGCCAGTCGCTCTCTTCGGCGCATCTTCGGAGCATTTTCGGAGCACCTTTCCAGATTGATATATCCCCAGACGAATAGGGCGTTGCGCCCTTGCCTTTTTGGTGGTTCTCGCTCGGCAATAGTGGGAACGGCCGCCCGTTTCGGTTTGCCGGGTTTGTTTCATCGGCCCCCCCAGCCCCCCCAAACGGGGCCGGGGTATGGGGGTAGCCAGAATAGGGCTGCTAAACACCGGCCGGGCCGCCCGCGAGGAAGACACACCCGCGGGATGTTTGGTCCCCACCGTGCCAGTCTTTTTGTTTTACGTGCTCCCTTAGAAGTTTCCCCTAGACGCTTCCTCTAAGTGCTCACTTAGAGGAAGCTTCTAGAAAGTGATCTCCCTACTAATCATTTTTTAAGGAAGCCCCTATAATCTATAAGGGCGAAAAAATGGACCAAAAATTCTCTATTGAACCGAAACACGCAAGAACAAAATTACTGGAGGGCCGCACAGGTGGAACACTATGAGACAAATTACTTGATTAATTCAATTTCGATTCAAAAATCAGCTTTTGTATTTTGAAAGAAGCCGGTATAGCCTCAAAAAGGTGACGCAAAAACGACGCCCATTCCAGCATTGCGACGCGGCGGCACAGGTTGCCTCTTTTTGGAATGTGTTTTGGTGATCTAAAATAGGCTCCAATGTGAACTAGCTAGATAAGGAGGAAGGTAGGAAGGCGGCGGTAGACCGCTAGTATGGTGGCGCTTTTCCATCGCAGAGCCATGGCTGGAAGCGGCATTTGGCGACCCCTTCTGGCTGGCGTAATGCTGCCCTCAAAAAGGTGACGCAGAAACGACGCCCATTCCAGCACTGCGACACAGCGATACAGGCTGCCTCTTTTTGGAATGTGTTTCGGTGGTCTAAACTAGACTCCAATTTGAACCAGCTAAATAAGGAGTGAGGTAGGAAGGTGGGGTCTCCAGAGAGGGCCCCCTGATTTGCTTTCGCCGATGCTATGCTGTAGAAAAGAGGGGGGCTTTTTTGGCGTCTTCCTGGAGAGGTTTCGGCCACCTCTTGAATCGTTGATCTGAGTTTCTCAATAGAGCTCCAAGCGCCCGCATGCTACGATGGACTTTCCATGACAAAAAAAGGCAATTTTACTTCAGAGCCCCTTCAACACGCTACCAAGATGTCAGGGCCCCGCCCGGGGCCCCGGCAGCATTACGTCAGCCATAAGGCACCAAATGTGGGCAGTTTAACGGCGGCAGCAGTGGGCAGGCCTGGCTCTCTTCCGCGGAGCCTTCAGGAGCCTCATTGAAGCATCGCCTTAACTACTAGTTCACATAGGAGCCTAAGCTAGTTCCTCACTCCCGACATCACATCTTATCAGATTCCCCGGATCTTCATCTGCGACGGCGAAGCAACATTGAAAAAAGCATGCGAATCAAAATGAAAAGCAGGCTTACGCCAGCCACAAGGCACCAGATGAGAACAAAATTACTGGAGGGCCGCACAGGTGGAACACCAGATTAAGTATTATTAATGATCATTTAGGGCGTTGAGGGGTCGAAGGCCCCCCGAAGGAGGTTCATTGACCCCCCTTGGCTGCCCTGAACTACCCCTTCGAAAACCGAGGCCCCCCGAAGGCCCCCCAAAGGCCCCCCGATGGCCCCCCTTGCGCGACCCCCTTCGGGTGGTCATTGAACCCCCTTCGGGGTTCCGATGCCCCCGAAAAGTTGTACTAAATTTCAGCTTTCTCTCGGACACCCATTCGGGGGGCCTTTGGGGGGCCTTCGGGGGGCCTTTCGAGGCCTTTGGGGGGCCTTCGGCCGGGGGGCGTTCAGAGGCCTCCGGGGGGCCTTCGGGGGGCCTTTGGGGGGCCTCGAGCGGACGCCGTCGAGCGTGCGGCGCTGAGGCAGCTTCCTTTACGATGGCAGTACTGGTCTTCCTTTATGATGGCAGTGCGCCTCTCTCACTTGCGTGGAGGCGAAACAACGATAGAACCCGAAACAGCGACGGCGTTGCGTCCTTCGGTGGGTTGCGCCCTCGGCCAAACAAGCCAAGGCTTTTGCTTTTTGTGGGCGGGGCCGTTACGGTGGGTTTCAAATGCGGGCGGCGCCGCTGTGGTTTCGCTCCTTCGTGTTCCGATGCGGGCCGAGCCGTTATGGTTTGTTTCGGTTTTTGGTGCGGGCGGCGCCGCTTTTGTTTCGCTTTTTATTTTTTCCGAAGGCGGGCGGAGCCGCTTTAGTTTGAAGGCGGGCGGGGCTGCTCAGGTTCTTTCCGTCGCGCTACGCGGCGCGCTTACTTCTTCGCGCCTCTGCCTTCCCCCGGGCTCGGCGCCTTCCTTGGCCTTCGAGACGGCTTCCACCATAGGGGCCGACAGAGCGCTGGGGCGCAGTCGGCTGGATTTCGGCGCAAGGCGCGCAGACGCTCGCAGAGCGCGGGCGTTTTCGTGGCCAGCCCAGCCGCCTACATTCCAACGCCCCGGGCGGCGCGAGAAGAATCAGCGGCGTTGGAGTGTAGTCGGCGACATCGATCGGGGCGCAAGTGGCGCAGATGCTCTCTTTGCGAGCGAGGTCGCTCTGGCAAGCCAAGTCTTGCCTGGAGAGTCCAGAGCGGGCGCCGGAGTTTAGGCGGCCGAACTAATTTGAGCGCAAGGGGCGCAGATGTTCGCTCACTCTGCGAGCCCCCGTGGCCAAACCTTCCGCCTATGTTCTAGTGCTCTGAGCCTCGCCAGAAGGGCCAAAGGTGGGCGCTGAAATGCAGGCGGCTGGATCTGGGCGCGAGCTGTGGGGCTGTTCGCTCTGCGAGCTCCCATGGCCAAGCCAGCCGCCTGCGTGTGTTCCAACGCTTCTAGCCACACCACCCGCCTGCGCCCCATCGCCCTGAGCCACACTAGGAGAGTCCAGGGCGCTGGCGCCTAGGGGCTGGATTTTGGCGCATGTTGCGTGGATGGTTGTTTCGCGAATTACAAAATTACTGGAGGGCCGCACAGGTGGAACACCAGATATTGACATGACTCTTCTTATACTCACCTCACGACATCACACTGAAATAAATATCGACGCGCCCCGGTTGTGGACCATTCGCAAGCCCTATGCCATGTACTTACACGGAGCATTTCGCTTGAAAAACGCAACGCCACCACTTAAATGCGTCTCATTAGTTTGGGAGGGTGTTTGGCTTGGAATTAGCACGGCCACAAGCTCTGGGCCATGGCATGGCGGCTCAAGATTGAACCGCCAGGGCCCTTCGAAAATCCAGCTGACAGACACCACATCCGCCCAAAGCCACCACGCATGGGGCCAACACAATTCCATTCCCGAGGCGGCCGAAAGGTGGCCCAGATGCAACCTCGCCTCTCGATTGATCGGGCCTTCCTGGTGCCTAACATCAAATACGCCACGCCACAGACCACACCAATACCAGAGCGATCTCGCAGAGTGCCCAATTTCAAAAGGAAATTGGCTGGCCTAAGCAATTTCAAAAAGAAATTGGCGGCCGGAACGGAATTCAAAAAGAAATTGGCGGGGGCGATGGAATTCAAAAAGAAACATGGCCCCAAGGTGCCGGCAATAATAACACGAAACAGAAGTGTGAACTCGGCCAAGACGGAGACTTGCAGAGCCGGGCGGGGAATAAATTCAAGGGCGCTGAAGGTGTCCGCGTACTCTGTATTTGCCGCTTGGGGCACTTCCAAAGCCAGGGCGGGACATGTCCCGAGGCGGCGCGCGTTTCAGACTGCCGCTTCTAGGCGAACCCGTCAGAATGTCGCTGACTTATCCCGAAGGCCCTGCCCATACACCAAAGTCGCGGCCAAGGCCTTGCGTGTCCTGTACCATGAGGCCACAGTGCCAAGGACTGAATCCATGACCGCGGCTGCTCCTGAGGACACTTTTCTCCTGGCTTTCGGGTAGCTAGCTAAGTACTAAGCTGTATCTCTACGCCTATGCAGATCTCTTTTGCGCTTGCCCGCTTGTATGCCTTTGAAGTACCGTAAAATCTTATACTCACTTCACGACATCACACTGAAATAAATATGTCGTTCTGGAGTCATATGGATGGTCCCGGGCCATATCGCTCACAGATTTTTGTCCAAAAAAATGCCCACATTTTAGAACTTCGATCAAGGGGTGTAGAATACGCGCCACACATTTTGGCAGCCCGTATTTTTGGCTTTCCCTGAGATACCGTTTCGCGATTCCGAGTCCGAGGAAGCGAGAAGTAGGAGAGACGTACTCCCTGCCCATGCGCTGCTGTTGCTTTCTCCATCGATGTGTCTGAGAGCATTAGCAGCCATGGCGATGGAAGCGAGGTGGGGCGGCGCGAAAGAATAACAAAAGTTGTGCATAAACGGGAGAGCACCTGTAGAAAAAAGAAGAAGAAGGCCGGCCCAAAAGGGTGAAGCCCACTGCTAGCGCTACTGGCAGATATGAAGACGAGCTTGCCCGCCTGGTTTTGTTGACTTTTGGCGGCCTGTCGTGTGTTCCCTGTGCCATGACAGCCGCTGCGCTGTCTCCTGGCACCGGGTTGGCAGGCTTTGGACTGCATGTGTACTTCGAAGAAAAATCAAAATGCCCTGTCTGCCTCGCCCGCCGTGAGTATCGGCCAGTCCTCCACGCAGACCGTAGCTGTGGAGACGGGAGTGGGAAGGGAGGCACGCAACCCGTTTCGCACGCTTTTCAGTAGTTCCACAAATGAGCATTTTCGGGCTTCCAGAAACCGCCCACGCGACCATCTTTTTCATCGTCCCCCGGCGCAAAAAAAATGCCCACAAATATTGCCACAAATCGCTGCGCCCAACCTGCCACAATTTTTGTACAGGAAATCAGGAGCGTTTTTGCGTGGTCGAATTGTGGCAGCAAATTGTGGCGCAATTTCTGGGCATTTTTTTCCGGAGCAAAAGTGGGCGTTTTTGAAATTTGTGGCAGCTAATTGTGGCAGCAAAAGTGGCAGCGCGGGCCGCACTTTTCAAAAGAAAAAAAAGCGGACAAAAGTGTGCCGAGATTAGCTTCCGGGGCAGCGCAAAAAAATGGCGCCGGCGCCGCGGAAGCAGGCGCGCCGTGCTGGGCCGGGGGCTCGCGGCACGCCTAGGCAATGCCCCTTACTATTTAGCCGGGATGTCTGCGGGTCCGCTGCGGCACGGCCGGTGATTTTCTTTTGATTGGTGTCTACCCTTGACAGGGAGTCAGGGCGATGGCCTTTGTCTTATACTCACCTCACGACATCACACTGAAATAAATATCTCGTTCTGGAGGCACGACCAGATGCGTTTTGAAGCAGGCAGCTCTTTACTACTACTTTTGGCAAAAAGTAGTACTATACCAAGGATGTTGCTGAGCAAGCAAATCAACCACGGATATTTTTACGAGAAAGAAACTAAAGCTTTGGAGTTTTTTTTGAACGATATAAACCATCTATAGGTGCTGATCAGAATCAGCTGTAATTATATCCTGTACTGAGTATTATATGCAGATCTCCATCGATCATCACGATCTCCTGGCCCTGGGATGCATATGCATATGTTTGTAAATCCTAAATCGTTGAAGGTCGAACACAGAAAAAATGAATTTTCCTGTCAGTGTAAAGTAAATCGTAGAAACCACCTAGACAAGAACTTCTTAGTTATTTGCTAGGAGCAGAAGCTGCGTCATCAGCGCTGTAGTGTGGGCTGTCTGGTCAACAACGCTGGACCGTCCTGCCGTGTCGTACTGGTCTTTCACTTCGAAGATACTATGGCCCCCTTGATGAAGGTGGTCATGATGTGGGGAAGAGTATCAACTGTAAAAATGTCTGAATCTGGAAGATTCTGAAACTTGTCATGCACATTTTGCATGAGCCATGATGTCTGTGATGCATACCCTAGCAATACAGATTTTTTGAGGGCTTCTTGATGCCTATTCCGCATGACAAATGCCTTCTCAGCGTAGCAAAAACTGCATTCCCTTTGGTACTCATGCAATACAGATGTTTTTGGAATCCAAACGCAGCATCACAAGTTACATCCTTCCAGACCCAGACATTTTTACATTTGATAAAGAGTCTACTAGTCGTGCGACTAGTTGTCCGCGTGCTGCCTCTATGAATTGCAAAAATGTCTGGGTCTGGAAACCAGTTCCAAATGCATCACAGCATGACAACTTTTGAGAACGCTTTCTCGTAGGAAATCCGCATGAGAAACTGCGTTTCTGCCTGTGCAAAAGAGGCTGCGACTTTTGTTGGTTATGCAATACAGATTTCCTAGGTATGGAGAGCTAGCATTACAAGTTGCAGCCTTCCAGACCCAGACGCTTTTGCAGTTGATAGCCTCTTCGTTGTTGATGTTGATGCCCCCGCCCGAGCTGCCTGCTTATCCAAGAAAAAAAATGTGTAAGTGTAACTTTTTTGCAGGAACAGCATCACAGATTTGTTTTGCACGACAGAGAAAACCTGCCATGCGTAGCTAGTACGCGAAAACACGTAGGAAAATAGCCTCTGATGCATGTTCAGCATGACAAGCGTGACTGTATTGCAACATCTGCAAGACAAAGTTACGCTTACGCAGTTTTTTCCTTGCATACTGCTGTCTCTGTCATCAATGCAGCTGTCCTTCTGTTGACCACTTGCGAGTTCTTGATTCTTATCGTCAGGAAAAATCCCCCCTACTGCCCATATCGAAAAGGAAATTTGCGATGCTGATTTGTGGCCGCAAATCAGCTCTGTCTTGCGTACCAGGCAAACAGCACCCATGTGGCGCATTGTGCAGCGAGTCTGTCATGCGTTTCGCCTATGTCAAAGACTTGTTTCTCATGCTCAGCTGCTAGCCGGAGGCGTAGTAGTACCCAAATGGGCTTAGAATATGCAGACAGGCTCTTGCTGCAATACAGAGTTCGTTTGTGTTTAAACAAATCCAGCATACACAAATTGTCTTTTGAGTACTATGGGGTCGTGGGGGCTTTTTGCACTTTGATAATTCTGGGGTGATATACCACCAGCCTTGCTGCCAGAGGATCAGCAACACTACTTTTGCCCCCATTATTATACGACAGATGTTGCGATGAAGATGAAGAAGTAGATCCTAACACGGCGACGCTGCTGGTTTCAAAAATGCCAGCAAATTTTATCGCCGCCACGGCGCTCAGAAAAGCTACGCAAAGGCCGAGCTGGAAGGTCGGCAGCAAGTAGTAGAAACCTTGTCGTTCTTTGTTCTCCCCGAGGCCGCCCCGGCTGCAGCTGCAGAGGGATCCGAGATGAATAGGCCTTGTGCTCTTGTACAGACATGTGCATCAACTGCAAATATCGATCTGGGTCTGGAAGAATGCAAGTTTATTGTCTGTGCTAGCATCACAAATATAAATATTCTACTGAGGGCTTCTTGATGTTGCCTATCCCGCATGACAAATGCCCTGTCCGCGTACTAGCAAAAATCTGATTCCTCTTGCTGCTCATGCAATACACTTTTTTTTAGAATCTTCCAAATGCAGATCACAAGCTGCAATCTTCCCGACATCCAGGGATATGTGCAATCCATAACGTGGCGAGGGTGACAATCACCGCGCCCACCGGCATATGAACTGCAAAAGTATCGCAGTCACGTACTAATCGCGTTTGTGCATTACAAATCTTTTTGTTATAGGCAAATCCGCATCACAAATTTAATTTGTAATGCTAAGTCAATTTGTAATGCAATGTATACAAAAGTACGATACTTTTGCAGTTCATACGGCACCAGCCAGTGGATCTCGTCGCGGAACACGATGCCGGTGATATCGTGAGGGAAAATGTTCCCTCCCCATATCGAAAAGACACGCCTCAGAAAATTTGCAATGCTGATTTGTGACCACAAATCGGCTCTGTCTTGCAAGAAGGCAACTCCACAGGCTCCGCCGCATAATGCAGGCGGTTTGTGATGCTGTTGGTCCTACAGCGTAGACGTTTGCCATGCTGGGCGCCTATGTCAAAACCTCCTTGCTCGGGCTTCGTATGTGCCTGCAGTGCTCTACTACAAGACAAACCTGATTTGTGTACTCAAATCCAGCATCACAAATTTCGTTTTGATATGGGGAGGGGGGATTTTTCCTTTTGATAGGTGATGAGAACCGTGAGGATGAGCGAGATGGCGTTCATGAAGTCCTTTTGCACGATGTTGAACTCGCGAATGATGAGGCCGCAACAAATCCCTCCGCTTGCCTGCAGCAGGATGGAAAGCCAGAGGCACTATCAATGTGAAAAAAGCCCCCACCCCATATCGGAAAGGAAATTTGTGATGCTGTACTTGAGTACACAAATCGACTTGTATTGCTAGAAGGCCAAGCGACGCAGCTGCGGCCTGAATTGCAGGCAATCTGTCATGCTGTTTCCCACTTCCAGTTGCCTCCTGTCATGCTGGAGCAGCAAGGATTTCCCACGCTAGGTGGCAGCACTGCAGTCCGCATCTTTTGCCTTCTAGCATTACAAAGCTGATTTGTGACCACAAATCTGCATCACAGATTTCCGTTTTGATATGGGGACGGGGCATTTTTCATCGTAGTAGGTACCAGGGGAACCCTTCCGTGCTAGGCAGGAGCACTTGCTTGCCGATTTCCGAAAGCGAAGGCGCCGGCGCGGATTTTATCAACTGTAAAAATGTCTGGGTCTGGAAGATTCTGACACTTGTCATGCACGTTTTGCATGAGCCATGATGTCTGTGATGCATACCCTAGCAATACAGATTTTTTGAAGGCTTCTTGATGCCTATTCCGCATGACAAATGCCTTCTCAGCGTAGCAAAAACTGCATTCCCTTTGGTACTCATGCAATACAGATTTTCTTGGAATCCAAATGCAGCATCACAAGTTGCATTCTTCCAGACCCAGACATTTTTGCACTTGGTAGATTTTGCGTAGCTCCCAAGCACGAGCTTGAGCACCACGCCAACTTATCGTAAGGAAAAACCGCTCCTCCCCATATTGACGAGGTGCGTTTTCGGGAATTTGTGTTGCTGATTTGTGACCACAAATCGCATCTGTCTTGCAAGAAGGCAACGCCACAGGCGCCGCCGCTTCATCCGGGCGGTTTGTCATGCTGTTGGGCCTACAGAGCGGACGTTTTTCATGCTAAGCGTCTAGGCAAAAACCTCTCTCCTCAGGCTCGATAGGGGCCTGCAGACCTCTCCAGCAACACAAATCTGATTTGTGTATGCAAATCCGGCATCAGAAACCTCGTTTTGATATGGGGAGGGGGGATTTTTCCTTTTGATACAACTTCGCACAGAATCACGCTACTTACCGCAAAATTCAGGTTCCTGTCCCAGTAGGACACCGTGCGGTCGACGAGCAGCTTCTCAGTGCACACGCCCGCGAGACCGTTCGCGAGGGACGTGAGGAACAAGCCCGCGATATCCCGGGGAAGAATCCCCGCTCCCCATATCGAAAACGTATCCGTCTGAAAATTTGTGATGCGCATTTGTGACCTCAAATCCTGTCTGTCTTGCAAGAAGGCAAGTCCAGAAAGCGCTCCGCGTTTTGCAGGTGGTTTGTGATGCTGTTGGGCTTAGAGCATACACGGTTGTCATGCTAGGCGCGCCTACGTCAAAACCTCTCGACTGGGGCTTGACATATGCCTGCAGTCCTCTACTGCAAGACAAATCTGATTTGTGTACGGAAATCCAGCATCAGAAACCTCGTTTCGATATGGGGAGGGGGGATTTTTCCTTTTGATACGCGAAGCACAGCACCTCTGCAGCGACGGTGATTTCTCCCGCACTTGTAGTTGTTGTTGGCGTTGTATTGAGAGGAAAAATCCCCCCTCCCCATATCGAAGCGGTGCCTTTCTGTTGCTGATTTGAGGCCACAAATCACGTCTGTCTTGCAAGAAGACAAGCGCAGAGGCTTCCGCACCATTATGGAAGCGATTTGGCATGCTGTTGGGCCTAGGGAGCAGCCATTTGTAATGCTAAACACCTACACCCAAGCGCCCCCAGTACCTACGCTGCGGATCTGGCTGCGATGCCTTACTGCAAGACAGTGCGCATTTGTGTACGGAAATCCAGCATCAGAAACTTCGTCTCGATATGGGGAGGGGCGATTTTTCCTCACGATACGTTGCAGACGAGGAAGAAGTATGCATTGCAAATATTCCTGGATGTCTGGAAAATTGCGAGATTTCTCATGCTAGTTTGGCATGGCTCTGAGCTCTGTGTTGCGTGGCCACGAAGACCTCCTCTTCTCTATTATGCAAAAACGATGTTTCTCATGCGGAATACGCAACACAGAGCCACGAGAAAATCTGTCATGCTTGGCGGTGCATTGCAGTGCGCGTTCTGTTCACTGACATGGACCACAAGTAGTTTCCAGACCCAGACATATTTGCACTTGTTAAGAAGAGGATGATGCTGGTGGTAGTTGTGCCTTGTTGGTGTTATTGCTATTGCTGCTGCCTCCATTGAGTGACTGAATCTGGGGAAGCTGAACGACAATTACGCCAACGTACATGAGCAGGAGCGCGACCCACTGCCGCCTGGTTTGCGCGCGACTGAGAATGCAGTACGAGAAAATGGCCGCCCAGATGGTTTTTTGCTGCATCCCGATTAGGAAGGTGGCGGGGTCAATGAAAAGGAGCAGGAAAACGCCCATGTTGTTCTGCACCGCATACAAAAACGGGGGCAAAAAGTCCACCGCACGGGAGAAGATGATACTTGGAGCGCGTCGCGCGTCCTGACTGGTGGAAAAAACTGCGCGCCCGACAAGGACGGCGGCACAGATGATTACCTTGAAGATCTTATCGTATTGAAAAACGTCCCCACCCCAGAGTTGTCATGCAGATCCGCAAGCGCAAGTGCATTTGTAATGCGCATCCCCATGATAGGCATTCCCGATCGTGTTTTGGAACTTGTAATGCTGTAAACAGGATAAGCAGATGGATTTGTAATGCGACTTCCCTTGCTAAACTGCACTACAATACAGCCTGCAATTTGTCATGCGTGGCTCCCAAAACTTCAAGGTTTGTGTTGCAAAATCCCGATCTTGACTCTGGTGTGGGGACGTTTTTACTCAGGATAGATCTCCTGGTACAAGACCACACTCTGCACCGCGACTTTTTTCTCCTTCACGCCCAGTATGCAAGAAAACAACTGTCGTGTTAGTGTTAGTCTTTTGGGAAAACAGCATCACAAGAAGTTTGTCTGCCATGACAGGAACAAAAACTTGTGATGCGCAGATAGGAAGGGAAACAACATAGGAAGCGAGCCGATCATGCATGTCGAGCATGACAAGTGTAACTGTGTTGCATTTTCTGCATCACAGACTTACACAGTTTTTATTTTCTTGCATACTCAGCCGCAGTAAAATAAGCGACACCGCGTGCTCCAGGATGTAGTAGCCGCAGAGTGCTACGTATCCTGAGATAAAAGTGTTCCAGTTACACACGTAGTCTAAAAATGCAGGCCAAGCATGACAGACAACCTCTGTCATGCCAAAAATAAATTTCGAGCTTCATTTCTTCATATGTGTTTTGCCTATATGGTCTGTGCATTGCAAGTTTTCCCTCGCATGCAGAAAAAATTTGTGTTGCTGAATTGACAACAAGTGTGTAACTGTACCACTTTTTTCTCACGATACCACGTGAATCGTCCGCATGGCGCCGCGGCCTGCGCTTTTGCTTTATTTCGATATTTCCACGACCCACGACGTCGCGTTGCTCGCGGAGAAAGAATTTCTAGATAAACATCGTACTTTCTTATTCTTACCGGTTTTTTACAACATATTGACAGCACAACCACACTATAACTGCGCCGGCGTGATGTCTAGGACGCCGGCGATATTACTATTTCACGTCCAGACGCCGAAGAGCGTCTAATTGTACTACTACTATATTTCATTATTCATATTAGCTAGAGCTATATAATATTTTGATTTTTCTAAAAAAACTACAGACTGTACTCGTCAAATGTACTGGTTGGAACTAGGTGAAATAAAATGAAAATAGAATCAACGAAGCTCCTCCTCGACTTAGAAGAAGGCCAACCTTGTTGTGCTTGTTCGCCGGATGAGGTAGGGTAGAAATAAAGTCATTGCAACTAATATTTCATCTCCTCGGCCCGGTAGGATTCCAAAACATCTCCGGCATTCTTTATTGTCTCCTGAGCAGGATCCGCTTTTTGAGAAGATCGACGGCATATCTTGTGTTAAATCTTTAGGGGGATGAACACAACAAAGCGACCCGATATTTATCATCAACTCGGAGGCATGAAAAACTCCTCTGTTGTTTGAAAGATGTTGAAATAGGTTCTTTCTACGGTTTTTTTTCCACGTCGGGTTTACTAAGAGTGATCATCTGAAGAAGCAAGTATAATCTTTGTCTCGCAAAAGGATTTTTCGCGTTTTCAATCTTTTGTGTCGTGCCCCCGCGTGGTTCCAAATGAATCGGAACTATCAGTTATTGTGAACCCACTGCAGCGGATCGGGGTGAAACAAAATGTCTGCAAACCTGGCTTGCTGCAAAAAGCGATCGACCACGCCATACTTTTGTTCGTCCGGCAAAAGCCTGATCCTCGGTGGAAGACAGAGGCGCGGGCGTATCGTAAAGAAAAATCTCCCCTCCCCATATTGAAAACGCATCCGTCTGAAAATTTGTGATGCACATTTGTGACCTCAAATCTTGTCTGTCTTGCAAGAAGGCAAGTCCAGAGAACCAACCGCGTTTTGTGATGCTGTTGGGCTTAGAGCATCCACTTTTGTCATGCTAGGTGCCTACGTCGAAACCTCTCGACCGAGGCTTGACTTATGCCTGCAGTCCTCTACTGCAAGACAAATCTGATTTGCGTACGGAAATCCAGCATCAGAAACTTCGTTGCGATATGGGGAGGGGGGATTTTTCCTTTATTTGATAGGGCGGGGTAGAGCCGCGGAATTCCTTCCCTGGAGCAGCTCGTCCTGCCTGGCCGACTGGGGATATGAGAGTGCACAACTCCCCCTCCCCCTCATTTGTCATGCAACATACCTTATTTATGACGCCTTGCCCCATGGCAGTGTCTGCATGAAGAGTTCTGGCAGCCCAAATAGCACTACACTTCTGTCCACATTTGTTATGCAAAACCTGTATTCTTGCTGACGCTTGTATTGCTGTTCATGCGATACAAATGAGGGGAAGGGGGAGTTGTGCACTTTCATAGGGGGACGAGGAGGTGGCGAAGCACGGTGATCGCGATCAGGAGTTCTGTCGTCTTGTCATAGTGGTAGTTGTGGCGCCAAAGGGAAAGACACCCGTCTTTAATCATCCTCCACGAGTCGAAGAGCGCAAACGACTTTAGTGGCCCACCTCCGGCCGCTGCGGCGGTAGACTGCTGATCGGGGCCGGCCTGCTATCCTGAGTAAAAACGTACCCACACCAGAGTTGTAATGCAGATTTGCAAACAAGACAGGAAGACTTGTAATGCGCATCCCCATGAGAGCCATTTCCAGTCGTGTTTTGGAATTTGTGATGCTGTGAACAGGATGAGCAGATGAATCTGTGATGCGGATGCACTTGCTAACCTACACTACACTGCAGAGTGCAACTTGTCATGCGTGACTCACAAAACTCCTAGGTTTGTGTTGCAAAATCCCCATCCTGACTCTGCTGTGGGTACGTTTTTACTCAGGATACCTGCTGCGAACTACGACGACCCAGGAGCCAGGAGGTCCACAGCGACATGGTTGAACCGAAGATCGTCTGGACGGGCAGCTTACCACTTCCTTCTTGTTGTAATAAGTTGTGCTTTGCAATGGTTTCGAGCTGACACTGGTATTCCATATCGACGTTTCTTCATCCAAGAAAAAAACTATGTGAGTGTAAATCTGTGATGCAGAAAATGCAAAACTATATACGATTGTCATGCTGGATGTGCGTCATGGGCCACTTTCATACGTGTTTTCACGTACTAGCTCCGCATGACAGGCTTTCCCTGTAATGCAAAGCCAATTTGTGATGCTGCTCTTCCTACAACAAAGTTACACTTACACAGTTTTTTACCTGGATATTCTTGCCTGGATTCCCTTGTGCTCAATGCCGAAGGGATTGGTTTGCCACACCACACGCCCGCCGTGTATGGTGAGCGAAAACGTCCCCACCCCAGAGTCAAGAAGGGAAATGTGCTAGACAAATCGCCCGGCTTTGGCTGTTGCGCATGACAAATTTGGGCTCTCCATGTAGGGGTCTTTACCTAATGCAGGAGCATCATCACAGACAAACATACCATGCGGATTTGAGCATCACAAATCGCAAAACATCAAAAAAAACTGCTTCTCATGGGTCTCCGCATGAGGAACATTTTCAGCATGCACATTTGCATTACAACTCTGCGTAGTTGGGGACATTTTTACACGTGATACCGCGACGGCGGAAGTCAGGAGTCGCCTCCAGCTCCCGAAACGCCTCCACGATCGGGCGAAACCAAGATGCGCAGTCGGTGTATCGCGAGCAAGAATCAGGTCCCACCCCATAGCCAGGTTGGGAATCTAGCAACAATCCAAGTTTTGGGAGCTGGGCATGACAAGTTTCTCTCTCCAGTGCGGTGCTTGTTGGCACCAAGGGAGCCCGCATCAGAAGGCCATTTTCTTACCCCGTTTTGAGCATTACAAATGCCATCAAAACGCGATTGGATGAAATGCCTCTCAAGGAGCTGCGCATTACAAATCGATTCCTGTCACTCTTGCACATTTGCATGACAACTGTCAGGAGAGGACGTAGTTTTTACTCAGGATACGGTGGTCTCGTTGTACTTGTCCGACATCTATCCTGTGCAAAAGTATCGTACTCGTAGTAATCGCAGTCATGCATTACAAATCTCTATACCAAGGTAAAACAGCATGACAAATTTCATTTGTCATGCTGACCGAATTTGTAATGCGATTTCTACTAGTACGATACTTTTGCAATGCATAACATCCAGAGCCCGTGGGTGACCCAGACCAGGTCCGGCGTATGGAAGTGTCAGGATTGAAATCGACAAAGTTGAAAGAAATGATTTGTCATCGACATAAAATGGATGCCAGTTGGAGCCCAGGTTTCAAGTGGCGCATGACAAATTTTATTGGTGGTTCCTAAATCCAGTTTGTAATGCTGTTTGCGTAACGAAGACGCCTTTTGTCATGCTACTTTATCAGCGCTATTTGTTCTACCCCTCAAATTATTGCAGGCTTACAATCTGCCTCCCTTGCCTACTCTGCAAGACAGGCACTTTGCGGATTGCATTTTATGCATCACAAACTTTTTCAACTTTGACGATTTCAATCCTGACGCCTCCATACGGCGTTCGTGTCGCGTATGGGGTTCTCAAATGTTACATTCTCAACTGTTACATGAACTTGTGATGCAAAATTGGGGGAAGTGAAAGGGGGAAGGTTGCACCTGCAGCATTACAAATTCGGCACAGATTTAGGTGCGGTTTAGCCCTTCGCAAGTTTGTCATGCGGAGCAGCTTGATCGTGAGGATGATGATGGTGCTTTTGCATGACAAATTCATGTAACAGTTGTGAATGTAACAGTTGAGAACGCCATATCGCGTAGGGGCGCGGAGGCATCTTGGCATCCGTAGATGCTGTCGGTGCAGAGGCCGGGTGATAGTCGATTTCGTCAAAGTGCTGCATCTTTTTGCGTAAAGTATTGTGAGGAAAAATCCCCCCTCCCCATATCGAAAACGAATTTTGTGCTGCTGTATTTGAGTACGCAAATCGACCTGTATTGCTAGAAGGCCAAGAAACGCAGTTGCTCTCTCCTTTGCAGGCAATTTGTCATGCTGTTTCCCGTTTCCAGTTGCTTCCTTTCATGCTGAAGCCGCAACGCTTTCCCACGCCAGCCTGCACTGCAGACCGCATCTCTTCCTTTCTAGTATGACACCATGATTTGTGATCACAAATCATGCGTACACAAATCTGCTCCCTTTGCGTACGGGTAGAGGGGATTTTTCATTCTGATATAAGGCCTCTGGACTTTTGGTGAATCGGAAACTGACAGTGAGTATCAAATGCAAAAATGTCTGGGTCTGGAAGAGTCATGCTGTTTCTGCATGACACAGAAGGTCTGGCATGGAAGCTCTAGCATCACAGGTTTCGCGAAGCTTCCGCAATGCCGGATCCGCATGACAAGTCCCCCATTTTGGTGACAGAAAGCGAGCACAGCAGCCCTTGCTGCCTATGCATCACAGATTTTTGTGTGTTCTGAAATGCGCATCACAAGTTACATCCTTCCAGACCCAGACATTTTTGCATTTGATAGTGAGCGAGGCCGAGGAGATGGACGACGTCGACCGGCTACTACTCGTGCTGGTACTGCTTGTCGTATCCCACGAAAACAAAACTGTTTCACTGCGATGATTTTGCAAGATCTGCATCACAAGTTTGTTACACATGACACCGAAAATTTGTCATGCGTGCACTTCCCATAGGGGAAACGGAAAACACGGGTGAAAGTCCAACGTTCTATGCAGATGGAGCAAGACAAAGCGTTCTGTGTTCCATTTTCTGCATCACAGGTTCACAGCGAAACAGTTTTTTCTTGCGATATGTCGTCGGGGTGCCAAGCTGAACTGCGTCTGCTGCCAGTTTTCCGGTGAAGTAGAAATTTTCGTCGGACCATATGACCCGCTCAGACGTTACAATCTCAAATCGGTTACCATAAAGTCCGGACTTTGTACTTATTGCATGATGAGCATGACAGATTCGGCCAGCATTCCACTTTCTGCAATACAAATTTCGCCAGATAATTGTAGTGCGTTTATTTGGGACGTCGACCCCGGAACTTGTGATGCGCAATCTTAGGGGACAAGTTGGCTAGATAATGCACTTCTTGCATCACAGATACCAGCCATGCTCCGGCTAACGCCGGAGCGCACGGCTGTTGTGCTGGGGTGTGACTATTTGCTGATCGGACCGCGACGTAAGAGCTTTGGGGGCAGCGTGACAGGCCGAGGGAAGTACTGCCGCATGACGGCTTGCGCCATGTCAACCCGCATGGGCCCCTGCGCGCTTCCCGCGCCTTTAGGCGCTATGCGCAGGGAGCAACTGCAGGGAAGCTTGGGGGCGAAGGGAAGCCGCCGCGACGTAGGTGCCGAAGCAAAACGGGGACCGCGCAGCCCTTTGTTGATCACTCTCCCGCGCCCGCCCATCTGATTCCCAGGCGGAATCTGTGGGCGCGGGGGTGGTGCGAGAGGATCGATGGCGCGAGAGGGTGGCGCGAGAGGGTGGCGCGAGAGGGTGGCGCGAGAGGGTGACGCGAGAGGGTGCGCGAGAGGGTGCGCGAGAGGGTGCGCGAGAGGGTGGCGCGAGAGGGTGGCGCGAGAGGGTGCGGGCCGACGCATGAAAAAGCCCCAAAAGAATCGACCCTGCGCCGGGCGGATTCGGCTTCTTTTAACCCTCTCGCAGGCCCTCTTTTTCACCTCTCCCGAGAGGTGTTGCTAATAATCCGGCTATACTCGCCGGTAGAGGTCTTCAGAGGTGGCCGAGAGGTGGCCCAGAGGGTGCGCGAGAGGTTCGCCCTTATTCGCGCAACCTCTCGGCACCTCTGTCCCCCTCTCGCTTACCCTCTCGGGACCCTCTCGGCCACCTCCGGGCCCCATAGGCGCGGCTTTAGGGCGAGTCCTTCGGCGGGCTATACTCGCGCACCCTCTCGGCCACCCTCTCGAATGACCTCCCGCGCCACCTCTCCACCTCTGTCGACCTCTTTTTGACCTCTGTTGACCTCTTTTTTACCTCTCGGCCACCTCCCTTCGACCCTCTGTAGACCTCTTTTTTCGCATGAATATAATAGATAGTAATTCTATGGTAACCGATTTGAGATTGTAACACCTGAGCAGGTTATAGACCAAACTTTCTGCCCGCAGATGTTCTGCAACTCCACGACCTGCTGGCCCTGGTTATTTCCTTCGCCCGTGGAAGTAGTTGCGGTGGTGTTACGCAAGCTATCGAAATGAAAAATCCTCCCACCCCATATCAAAATGGAAATCTGTGATGCGGGATTTGTGTACACAAATCGGCTTTGTGTTGCAGTAGAGGACGGCAGGCAGGTGCACAGCCTGAGGAGGGGCGTTTTGGTGTAGGCACCTAGCAAGGCAGGCGCGTCCTCTGTAGGCGATACAGCATTACAAATTGCCTGCACAACGCAGCGGAGTCTCTGGAGTTGCCTTCGTGCAATGCAGAGACGATTTGTGGTCACAAATCAGCATCACAAATTTTCAGGAGTATCCCTTTTTAGGATGGGGAGGGGGGATTTTTCATTTTGATACAAGCAAGTTCTTCGCCACGCGGTACAGGAATTCGCCTATTGTGAGGAAAAATCCCTCCTCCCCATACTGAAAAGGTATAATGGTTCTAAAAATTTGTGATGCTGCTTTGTGACCACAAATCGTGTTTCTCTTGCAGAGGGCAATTCCAAAGAGTGCGCCGCTCTATGCAGGCGGTTTGTAATGCTGTTGCGGCTACATGGCAGGCCTCTGCTATGCTAAGCGCCTACACCAAACCACTCCTGCACACCCTGTGCCTGCAGTACCTCACCGCAAGACAGAGCTGCTTTGTATACACAAGTCCAGCAACAGAGATTTCCTTTTCAATAGAAGGACGGAGGAGTTATTTGCATTTTGATATCGCCCAGCCAAGGTTCTCGCAAACGCGGAGCTGGGCTGGGGTAGCCTTGATGCACCAGTCAGTATCGAAAACAGGGCACTTTGTCACATAGTCGGGGCTGATCAAATGCAAAATATGTCTGGGTCTGGAAGAGTGTAAACTTGTCGTGCAGTTTTTCCACGACCCATGAGGTCTGGAATGCGGGGCCTAGCATGACAGAGTCTGCGAGGTGGTCTCTGCCATGCCTGTCCTGCGTGAGAAACTCCCTCCCAACTTGGTCGAAAGTGGGCAGCCTTTGCCACTCATGCAACACAGATTTTTGCATCATTCGGATTTAGCATGACAAGTTACCACCTTCCAGACCCAAACATTTTTGCGTTTGATAGGGCTGATCAGCTCCAAAAGCCGGAGCGTGGTTCCCCGAATGTTGCTGTCCCCGATTAGCATTACCCAGGTCGTGCTAGTTGTTCCGTCAGTGGAAGGCAGCTCGGGAGGTTGTTGACGATCCGCCTCGGAGGAAGTCCGCGGCATCAACTTCTGCTGCACCTCCTGCTCGGCCGGCGCGACCTGTTTGTTAAAGATCAGTGACCGGTAGTCGCTTCTTAGTGTCGAAGATGTTGGGGCCCCTTGTTGGAGGTGCGCAACAAGTCTGCGGCGGCGGTATACAATGGACCCAGCACCGAAGGTGCCGGACCGACGCACAAGCCCGCACGAGGGCGGCCGACAGACATACATTAATATGCCTAGCACCGAAAAGCCCAGCCAAGTAGACTGGTGCGGGCGTGGTCCTCGCAGTGGTCTGCTGGTTGTACCAGCGCCGTCGTCGAGGGCCATCCTTCGGAGTGAAATTGGCCTAGCAACAGGGTGGCTTTTGAAACGGTTTCTAAATCAATGCCCATGACCATGGCCATGAAAGGCCAATCTGCTATCGGAAGTGGTGCTTGAGCCAAAATGGCTACGGAGTCGCTCTTTTTACCTTATGGCGGGGCGCGGGTTTTTGGTTTTTTTTTTTTTGTCAAAAAGGCATAACCTTCTGCCTTCAGCCCGCCTGTAAGATGCTCGATTTTTTTGGCGACTTTTGCGGAGCCCAAATGTGGGCGGTTTCTATCGTCTTGGCATTATTTTGGGCGCCCCAAACCGCCAGAAACCACAGCGGTGGGCGCCTCAGAAGGGCGCCTCTTTTGCCTGCCCCGGCGCAGCCCCGGCCACTTGATAAGCGCAAATTATTTTTTTATGATGTGTAAAAACACAACTTCCGGCCGCTTGAAAACTACTGCCAGTCGTTTTTCACGATGCATGGCAAAAAAGCCGCTAGATTAAAACGTTCGTGTGTGACCTCACGTCTACGTATTGAACCGAATCGCTTTATATCTTTCTTGCACTGCGCAATCTAGTCTCTGGCCTCCAGGAGAACAAATATTAAACTTCCGTCAAGTGAAGATGGATCATAACTGTTGACGCGCACAGCGAACTTTGGACAAAAACAAAATCTCGACGCCCGGCGCTTGGGCTTGGGCTCTGGAAGGGGCCCGGCGCCCGGGCTTGGGCCCAGTATTGATATTGTTGAGCCCCATCGGCCGTGCCCCGCAGGCGACGGAGGCGTGGGGGCGCCGCCCGTTGCCAGGCGGGCGGCAGAGGGATCTGCCAGAGCGCTGGCCCCCCTGCTCTTTTGTTTGCTCTGGAGCGCCGGATCGGTCGCCCCGCCCTTTGCGCCGGCGCGCAGGTAGGTATGGGCCTTTTTGCTTGTCTAATGCCCGGCGCGCGCGCAACTGAGTGCACACCGACGACCGAGCGCGGGGCCACTTACTTTGCCGGGGCTGCCACCGAATTGCGCAGCCTGCCGTGGTGGCTCATATGGGGGCGCTTGTTTTTATGTGCGCGCACAGATGCGCCGCACGCGGACGCGTTCCGCCCGGGGATGTAAACTGGCGGCTCGCCCGTTTGCATTCGTGGCCGGGTGCGATGCGGGCACGCGCTTCTACCGCGGCCCCGATCGGCGCCACGGCAACATGGGTCACCACTTTGGGCCCTTGGGCTGGCGTTGTAAACCAACAAACCCGCGTCGCGTAGCCATGTTTCCGCGCTGAAGATATGGGGCGGCTCCATACAACCTTGCTGAGCAGCCCGTGCATTTTTGGAGCCGTTTCTTCTTATTTTTCGCTCCACTACAATCACCCGAGAAATTCGGTTTTCGCATATCAATCCGGAAAGGTAAGAAATAAATCCCTTAACTTTGAGTTAACCAAAAGCATCTTCGTAACCCCATAGATGGATCATAACTGTTGACCCGCACGGCGAACTTTGGACAAAAACAAAATCTCGAATATGAGATGGACTGAGCGATTCAAAGTTAGCGGATTCAAAAATTTTTTATCTTCTTTCATTGACCATTTGATTTCCAAATAAAAGCCGCCACTTTTTGTCATGATTTTTGATATTTTTCACGGTCGCCGGAACGTCGCCAAAAAAGAGCACCCAATGAAATCGCTAGGCCGATCTCAACTTGAACTAGTTGACTTGGAATATGTGAACGCAATAAAACTAAGTGTAAGGCGAGCGCCTGCATTCATAAACCCGAAGCATTTGAAGAAGCAAGGGCCAACAGAGTAGGCGATCCAACAGATGCCTCTCAGGCCCACACCCTCCACTACTTGGCCCCAAAACGTAGGCGCAACCGCTGTCGGAAATAGCGGCTTCACGTGAGCGGCGGCAGAGAGGCGACGGGCTATGCACCTAAAAAAGCAGGGCCGTCCCCAACCGGAGCTAGTCAGAGTGGCGCCAACGCGCGGCCCATTATTCTGCCGCCGCCTAGGTGGCGTTGTCTCCTGCGCGGTTTTTCTCGCATAGATACAAAGAATAAGGGGCCGAAAGCCTAGCGACGAAAAACGCGCCCGCCGTTGTGTAGTGGGGGCCCCAACCCCGAAACAATGCCGCGCCACTCTCGTCATCCGTTTTGCTTTTTCGTTTGGTTGCGGGCTACTCTCGTCATATCGTTTGGTTGCGGGCCACGAAAAGTCCGCCAGACCTCTTGTGGAGGATGGAAGGCGGCGTGGCCGATTTCAGTTTGGGCTACGGGCGTTGCCACCGGGAGAGGGAAAAACACGACGCGCTGCGGCCGCATTGCCAAACATGGCGCAGCGCCACCGAATAAAAGCACATGACGCTTGCGCCGCTATGCTACCCAGGGGCCCGGTGCTAGCGGTGCGGACTTTTGGCAACTTTCCAAGTGCGCTGCTGAGCATGCCGCCTTGGCCGGGCTTACAATGTGCTATATCTCCACTTGAGCCCACCCGACGGCAGCTTCTGCGCCTTTCCTGTAGGTGCCTGTGATCGGTGGGGCAGCGTTTGCCGGTCCCCCCACCAGTGGAAGACCCTCGTCTCTGGCTGGCTGCCTTTTTGTTCGTGGCCCTTTTCTTCTGGCCGCCAAAGTTTATTGAGCAACAGCACGGGGCTCCGCCTGTATTTCTTCAGCTTTGGCGTCGTGCATCAGCCGCGTGCCGCCGCGTATCCGCCAAAAACCTGCACAAAAAGAGCTGATCGCGGCACTTTTTGAATAGAATGTAAGGCGGAAAATACAAATTCCACGGCTTTGCAATTCGGCGACTCAAATGAGGTCCTTTTGAATCGCCGAAACCCTTCAAAAAGGACCTCTATCGAGATCCAGCATACCGTCGTGGTTCCGGCTCTCGGGGGAGGCCAAAAAGGAGGTCCCGGATTGACCCCCTTCAGGAGCCGAAATCGGCCAAGCGCGACGGTATGCTCAAGAACAATGGAAAATCACGAATCGCGATGCTATGGCGCCCTCTTTCATAATAGTGGCCTCCGCACCTTCGGCACCATGCCCGCCACGCCCCTTCCGAGCGCCGCTACAAGGCTTGCAAAGCCCCGCCATCAGGTCTCCATCCTGTTGACGCGCACGGCGAACTCTGGACAAAAACAAAATCTCGAATCAAAGTCTCCATTTTCACCAGCCAGACGGGCGAAAATAAACATGTCGGGCACGATGACCTTCAACATCTCTTCAATATAATTCTCTACCTCTACAATCTCATCAAACGCTACAATAGAATATGGAAATCTGTGCTGCAAGAAGTGCATGATCTACCCTACTCCCACAGGATTGCGCATGACAAGTTCTGGAGTCCAAATCTGCACTAGAATCTGGCAAAATTTGTATTGCAGAAAGTGGAAGGGTCTGCGCGTCTGTCATGCTCATCATCCAACACAAATTCCAGATTCTATGGTAACCGATTTGAGAATGTAACGTTTGAGCAGGTCATATACGTTGTCTATGGAGAGAAAAAAGTTTGTCACAGTCACTAACTTGCAGGCTTTGCATTACAAATTTTCTCAGCATCACAAACTTTCCTCGTATTGCAGAAACACTAGGGAAATTCCTAATAAAGTTTGGCTGTGATGCATTTTTACGCATGACAAACAATTTTGTATTGCAAGAATGCGCATGAGTGATCGTGACGAACCAACTTTTTTTCTTTGATAAGATGGGTCATAACTGTTGACGCGCACGGCGAACTCTGGACAAAAACAAAATCTCGAATCAAAGTCTCCATTTTCACCAGCCAGACGGGCGAAAATAAACATGTCGGGCACGATGACCTTCAACATCTCTTCAATATAATTCTCTATTTTATAAAACAAAATCTGTCTGAAGCAACAACGGGCCGAGCAAACGAACGTGGGTCGTCAGACCAAAATTGACAACCCCCCTCCTCCCGCGGGAGGAGGTTTTGCTTCAGGCAGAAAGGACGAAAGAAAGTAAGACAGGGAAGGGACGGGCGGGACAAAAAAAATCATCAATGACATCGAATCGACCGACGGCCTCGAGTTTTGGGTCTTCCCGGGACCAACAACGACAACGGGTAGGAGGCTTTAATTTTATAAAAACGCGCTTTGTGTTCGCGCAAAACCACCAGGAGCCGCTTCGCTAGGCTCGTTGCGCTTTCTTCATCACACAAACCATAACTTTTATAAAACAAAATCTGTCTGAAGCAACAACGGGCCGAGCAAACGAACGTGGGTCGTCAGACCAAAATTGACAACCCCGGTGACGGAGGAAGCAAGGCCCGTTGGTGCGAACAAAAAGAATAGGTGAAGCACAAGAAGAAGAGGAAGAAAAACCACATAAAGACACCCATTTGTGCTTGTGGAACAGACAGTGCGAACAGAAAGCCTGACAGGCCTTCATAGCGGAAACCTCCGCAGTGAAGAGTGCATATAATTTCGGCCAAGAGCTACAGCGCCATACGGTTGTAGTAGCAGAGTAAATCCTCCGCGGACCATCTACAATGGCGCAAAACTGCATCGACAGGCTCGAGTCCGTATAGATAATGCGCACACCCCACTCGTATACAGTGGGTTTTCGACCCACCTGCGGTCTGTTTCACAAAGTCCCAGAATACAGCAGGGGAAAATGAGTCGAAGTGCTTGAATTCCTGATTGTGAATGCACAAATCTGGCCGATCTTTGCAAAGACACCGGATGCGAAGTGATGGCGCTCTTTCATCGCAGTGATGTCGGGCACGATGACCTTCAACATCTCTTCAATATAATTCTCTACCTTTATTGCCAGCATTTGCATTTCACTACACCAAAGTCGCGGAGAGTAGAAGAAGAAGTTCAACATCTACAACAAGATGTATGACAATATAAATATCCAACTGCGCAACTACACTCAAAAAAATTGCCGAAAATGAAATGTTCAAATGAATTCACTAAACAGTAAAGAAACAATCACTGCTGACCTTTGTTTGTTTGTTCTGAATGGAAGTCGTTGGCGTTCTTCCGGTGAAAAATGAAAGCTGTGCTTTCTTCTCACCACGACGCTAGCGCTACTTCAAGAATATTAAACATACTTACTCTGCGGCTAAATCAATCAGAGGCACTACAGATTCAGTTTGCAGCTTAGACCTGAGAAAAACTACCCGGGAGGACTTTGCCTCCTCGTTTAATAAAGAGAGGCCGGTACGTGCTGAGGCCTAGATTTGTATTCACGATGCTACGATGAGTGTTACTATTTTTGTGTCGCGCATACCATCGGGGAAAGCAGGGGGCCCCCGCCTCCCGCCCTCTCACCCGCTGCGTATCCCGCGTCCGCAGGGGGCCCCGCCCTTCCGCCTCCACAGGGGGCCCCCGCCCTTCTCCCGGGCCGCCTGCCTGGTGAAACAGGGGGCCCCCGCCTCCGTCCCGCCTTACCGCCCGCTGGGCATCCCGCGTCCGCAGGGGGCCCCCGCGCTTCCGCCTCCGCAGGGGGCCCCCGCCCTTCTCCCAGCCGGGCCGCCCGCCGGAGGCCGGGGGGGGCCCCGTCCTTCTCCGCGGTAAATTTCTCCCGCCCGCAGGGGGCCCTCGGCCTCCACCTTTGGAGGCCGGGGGCACCCAAGGGGGCCCCACGCCTTTCTCTCCCGCGCGCGGGGGGCCCCCGGCCTCCGCCTTTGGTACCCAAGGGGGCCCCCCGCCTTTTTCACCTGGTCGCGGGGGGCCCCCGTGTTGTTCGGGGTCCCCCGCCTTCCTTTCCCACTCGCATGCAAGGGCTCTTGTCGCGTACATCGCTCCGCGCCCGCAACAGGGGAAACGCAGCGGGGGCCCGCCGCGCAGTCGGCCCCGCTGCCGCAGGCAGGGAGCTCGCCGTGGTGTCCTTTCGTCCCAAGCCGCAACACATTCATGGAGCCCGTGCGGCTGAAGTGAACCAGTGGCGCCGTCTAGGCCTCTGCGCAGGGTCAACCGCAAATACGCGGCCGAAGTGAACTAGTAGTGCCGCATAGGCCTCGGCGCGGGGTCAACCACAAGTGCGCGGCCCGGAGCAGGGCAGACGTACGCAAAGGACCGCGAATAACGCCTGAACACAGGGCGACGGTGACGTGGGACGGCGGGCACAGAGTTGGGCACACTACCCGGGAGGACTGAGAAAAACTACCCGGGAGGACTTTGCCTCCTCGTTTAAAACAGGAACCTGACACGTCGCGAAAGAATATCAGGTCATCAACAAAGTTGTATTTGCCGAAAGCTGTAAATAATTTATTTTGCGCGCCTTTTTTTTGTATTTTTTTAAATATCAACCATTCCGCATACGGATTACCGTATAGCCTCCCGCTACAACATTGAATATTACCTGATACACAACTATTCTGTGTAGAAGTAGGAAGATATTATATACATTTTCAAGGGTGCAGCTGCAGTTGTTAAAACTGCTAGTCATATAAGCCACAGGAGCCACAGTATGCATTGCAAAAGTGTCTGGGTCTGGAAGCTTTCCAGGTTTGTCATGCATATTTTGCATGACTCAGATGTCTGTAATGCATGATCTAGCATCACATATTTTTAGAGGCCTTCCTGATGCCTACCCCGCATGACAAATGCCCTCCCCGCGTAGCATAAACTGGGATCCTCTTGCTGGTCATGCAATACAGATTTTTTTAGCATCCAAAGTTAGCATCACAAATTCCAACCTTGCAGACCCAGACATTTTTGCATTTGATACACAGCGAGCTTTTCCTACTTGTCGGATACCGAGTCCTCGACGTCCACTTCTATTTATCCCGTGCAAGAAAAGTATCGCACTCGTATAAAAAATGCAAGTCTACTTGCATTACAAATCTTGTTGCCAAGGCAAATCAGCATGACGAATTCCATTTCTCGTGCTGAGGAAATAATTTGTAATGCATTTATACGACGAGGACGAGTACGATACTTGTTTTGCAATTCATATTATTACTTGGCTGTCGTCCTCCTCCTCGTCGACTGCCTCCTCGGCGGTTGGGACAGGTTCGTGGTCGGTTTTCCTATTTTTTTTCATCGCTGCTTCCGGATCCTCGGGGAATCGGACGTACTCGTAGCTGGCCACGGTGTAGACTAAAAATCCTAACATATTGTGAGGACAAATCCCCCCTCCCCATATCCAAAATGAAATTTGTGTTGCTGTATTTGAGTACACAAATCGAATTGTGTTGCTAGAAGGCCAAGAGACGCAGCTGCTCCCTCGTTTGCAGGCAATTTGTCATGCTGTTTTCCGTTTCCAGTTGCTTTGTGTCATGCTAAAGGCGCAAGGCTTTCCTACGCCAGCCAGCACTACAATCCGCATCTCTTCCCTTCTAGCATGACAACATGATTTGTGGTCACAAATCATGCTACACAAATCTCCCTTTCGGTATGGGGAGGGGGGATTTTTCATTTTCATATAACACGAAGCCCGCGTCAATTTTCTTCGCGAACACGAGCCAGGAGACGATATCAAATGCAAGCATCCCTGGATGTCTAGAAGAGTGCAACTTGTGATGCTGGGTTTGGATTCTAAAAAAATCTGTATTGCATGAGCCGCAGAAGGAGTCCAACTCTTGATACGCGAAGAGGTGGGCATTTGTAGTGCGGGATAGGCATCAAGAGGACGCCCTAAAAAACTCTCTGATGCTAGGGCGTACTACGTCACAGATCGATCATGGCTCATGCAAAACGTGCATGACAAGTTCGCATCCTTCCAGTTAACCCAGACCTATTTGCAGTTGATAGACGAAGCTCACCAGCAACATCACCCCGACGTTCGCGAAATTTTTCACGATGTTGTCGTAATACTTCAGGTATCCTGTGCGAAAGTATCGCACTCGTATAAATGCAAGTCTTGCATTACAGATCTTGTTCCCAAGGCAGATCTGCATTACAAATTTTATTTCTCATGCTGAGGAAATTTGTATATGCATTTATACGAGTACGATACTTTTGCAATTCATATCAGGATGCCACTCACGCTGAGGCCCAGGGCGACATTGGTCAAAATGTAGGGCCACGCGGTACCGGGTAAATTCACTAAGTAGGGCTGAAGCTCCTGCTCGGGTTCTTGGTCACGACCCGCCGCGGGAGGTCCTCCAGTCTGGGAACTACGACCGGGTACTAGAATATCAAATGTAAAAGTCCCTGGATGTCTGGAAGAATGCAACTTGTCATGCTAAATCTGAAGCATGCAAAAATCTGTGTTGCATGATTACCAAAAGTCGTCCAGTTTTGTTGACCAAGTCGGGAGGGAGTTTCTCATCGACAGGATAGGCATGAGAGAGATCGCACAGAATCTGTCATGCTAGGTCCTGCATTCCAGACGTCATGGGTGATGGAAAAGCTGCATGACAAGTCGAGCACTCTTCCAGACATCCAGGGATTTTTGCATTTGATATAGAATTGCTGCAGGAGATGCTGGAGTTGTTGATGTGGCCGCACTATGAACTGCAAAAGTATCTGATACTCCTAGAAATGCATTACAAATTTTCTCCGCATGAGAAACAAAATTTGTAATGCGGATGTACCTGTAACAAAACGATTTGTCATGCATGATTGCAAAAATACGAGTGCGATACTTTTGCAGTTCATACGCACCCCAAGCCTGGTAAAGCAGGGGCAGGACCGCCGCGCCGGAGTTGAAGAGGCAGCCCCACTGGTAGGTATACACATTTTTGCGCAAAAAAGTCACGTCCTCGTTATAACCTGCTCAAGTGCTGTTACAATCTCAAATCGGTTACCATAGAATATCGAAATCTGTGATGCAAGAGGTGCATTATGTAGCCAACTCTGATAGGATTGCGCATGACAAGTTCCGGAGTGGTCCCAAACCGCACTACAAGTTGTATCTGGCGAAATTTGTATTGCAGAAAGTGGAATGTTGTCCGAGTCTGTCATGCTCGTCATGCAACACAAATGAGCATGTCATACTCGTCGACCGCTTTCAATAGCCACTCGTTGAGGATGCCCGCGAGCCTATCATTTGTAAAAACGCCACCACCGCCCGCCCAGAGTTGTAATGCAGAATTCCAATGAGCGGCACATTTGTAAGGCGCATCTGCATGAGAAGCATTTCTTGCAATCGTGTTTTGGAATTTCTGATGCTCGAAACAGGATAAGGAGACGGCTTTGTGATGCGTTTGCGCTTGCTAGCCTGCACTACACTACAAAGACAAACTTGTCATGCATCACTCCCAAAACTCCTGGATTTGTGTTGCAAAACCCGGATCTACTCGACTCTGGGGCGTGGGCCGCGTTTTTGCTCAGCATAGAACCCGGAGAGAACGGTGGAAACGAGTAGGAGAGGAAGCCCCAAGAGCAAGTTTGCAACTTCCTCGCGATCTTCGTCCCGCGGGGAGGTGGAACCGGCGGGACTTTTTATTTTCCCGTCGCGGCCGGCGCCGGGTCCCTGCTCGTAGTTCTTTGTTAATGGCTCCTGCAGCTGCGTTATGATATGTTCTTGCTTTTGCCTGTTGTCCGGTGCATCAGCACCTCCGTGGTGGACGACCTCGTGGTCCTGCTGCTGAGTATTTATGCAAAGAAAAAAATGTTACACTTACTACACACGTAGAAGTGTATGCAAAACACGCAAGACATAGACAGACGACCTCTGTTATGCGCAAAATGCTTGCGAGTCTCGTTTCGTGTGTGTATAGCTTTGCCTTATGATCTCTGCATTTTTACAAGTTTTCTCCGTCATGCGAGGCAAACTTATTGTGATGCTGCATTCAACTGCATTGCAAACGTGTAACTGTATTAACACTTTTTTCCCTGCATGGGATTCTTATCCTGCTTAATATGCTCCTTACTTTCACCTTTGCCATCAGCGTCCTCCTATCAAATGCAAAAGTGTCTGGGTCTGGAAGATTCTGAGACTTGTCATGACAATGTCATGCATGTTTTGCATGGGCAATGATGTCTGTGATGCATGCCCTAGCACCACAGATTTTTTGAGGGCTTCGCAATGCCTATTCCGCATGACAAATGCCCTCTCCGCGTAGCAGAAATTACATTCCCTTTGCTGCTCATGCAATACAGATTTTTTTGGAATCCAAATTCAGCATCACAAGTTGCATTCTTCCAGACCCAGACATTTTTGCATTTGATACCTCCGCGGCTACGCGGCGGCGCCCAGAAACAACATATGCAATGCAAAGCATCGTACTAGTATAAATTGCATTACAAATTCCCCCAGCATTACAAATTGAATTTGCAATGCTGATTGACCTTGAGAAAGAGATTTGTAATGCATAAATGCAATTACTACGAGTACGATACTTTTGCACTTGATACAACATCTTCTCCGACAAAAGCTGGCGAGGAGTTATAATTTGCAGGCTGTTCTTGCACCTCGTCGACGACGCTATTTGATATTAGCGTCGCTGTACTTCTACTACCTCCGATGCTTTTTGTGCTGCCCGGCTGTTCTCCTGTTGTTCTGCTAGCCGTACCATCTCTCGTCCTGGTTTTACTTTTACTATTGGAGCTCGTCTCGCTCCACTTCGTCGCGGAGGACGAGGGTAGTTGATAAAAACGTGGAGAAACCTGCTCATCAAATTTCTCCTCTTCTCCTTGTTTCTTTGCACCGGCTGGAGAAGAAGTTCTTCTACGTCCTCCACCTTTGGCACGAGCTAACTCCTCTTCTGTCGTTCCACCTTTTTTTTAGTATGAGATCAACTATAAACCATAAGCAAAGAGAAGTAGTGCAGATCCTAGTGTTCAAGGAGGATTAAGTTAGGTCTCTGCTCATCTCCTCCTCCGCCGCGGTTCAACGTGATCAACATGCGTCTTCGGGACTTGTCCGACATCAATGCGGGGCCGTCCGCAATGATGTATTAGCAAGCCGAGGCTCCTCATCCTCGTAGGTACGTAATCGCTCCACCCCGTCACGCTTGGGAAGACACAGCCAGGGTGCGCACGATCTTGCTACGCAAAGAAAGCGGGCACCCAAGAGGCTGGCGCTGTCTTCGACTCCGTTCGCCTCTGCTATGTCTTGGCGGCTGTGTCACTATACCTGTCTCCTTGTGCCCTGGCGTCCAAGCTGACTAGCCCAAAACAAAGCTTTTTGTTGGATAAAAAAAAGGGGGATTGGAAGGCATGGTCATCAGCGAGGAACGACAGTGGCGGACATTTTTGGAAAGAGCAATCATGACGAGTTTGGCAATCATGAGAGTAGAGGGTCGCGGTAGAGGGTCGCATAGAGGGTCGGAGAGGTTCCACAATATAGGGCGACCCTCTATGCGACCCTCTACCGCGACCCTCTCCGGGAACCTCTACTCTACCTCTCGGCGGACCCTCTCGGGACCTCTCCGACCCTCTCCCGGACCCTCTTCGCGACCCTCTCCGAACCTTTCCCGGACCCTCTCCCGGAACCTCTCTGACCCTCTCCCCGACCCTCTCCCGGACCCTCTCCCTGAACCTCTACCGGAACCGCCCCCCCAATGCAGTTCGCCCGCCTGCGCGCAGTGCCTGTGTCTTAAAGTAGGAGCGAAGCCAGCTGGGGCCTAAAGCTTATGGTCTGCAAGTCTTTTGACTCTCTGCAGACCAGGGCGGCTGTTCAAAGTGAATGCGCCGCTCTGCGTCCCCCGGGGGGGGCGCGGCGCCACGCCTTAACGTAGGCGGCCACCTAGGGTGGCCGCAACTTCACACAGCGCCCGCGCGCGGGCAACAGGTGCGGCACCTTTGTAGCGCCGTGGACGTGCTTGCAGCCAAAGCAGCGAAAGTCTTTCTGTGCCAGTTGTCTACTTCGCATGCACGTGCGAGTCTCGCGGCGTGCTCGCCATTTAAGCTTATTCCAGCTCGCTACTTTTCGGAGGCACTCCGCCCTCTTGTTCAGGGCGCACGCCTCCACCAGACTACCCCTCCAAGAAAGGCCACCAAGCTCCAAGAAAGGCCACCAAGCTAACTCCTCTTCTGTCGTTCCACCTCCGCTGAGTGGTTGTATTTCCTCAGAAAATAAACTTGTAGTTTTACTTGTACCTTCCGGCTGCTCGCCGTGCTGTCGTGTAGTCGGCAGGAGACGGCGGGGTGCTGCACTCCTGTTTGCCAGCATTGTGATCCCGGCGGTAGTAGCTGCAGTTATTAGAGAACTACCTCCTTCCGCTAGTCGTGCCACTGCTGGTGACAACATCAGAGAAGATGAAGAGGCGAGCGCTGGTGCAGCGGCGGGGTTTATTGATGTTCTTGTGGGCACGACAACCTCCACAGAAGAACTCTGAAGAACGTCGAGATTTCTTGTCGTTGATGATGGAGCTAGTTCATGTACAACTTCCCCGAGGGAAGAGTGAAGGGGATGGAAAAAATTGCGGGAAAAATAAAACGGGAAATAAGAGGAACTGTCGATGTGGTCGTGGTCGTGGTCCGTTGATGATGGTGTAGTTCCAGTTCCAGTTCCTGCAGCAGAACTATAGAAAAGATCCAAATTATCCACCTCACGTATGGGATTCTCAAATGCTACATTCTTACATGATTTGTCATGCAAATTTGCCACCAAGTCCAAGATCGCCACCATTAAGCTGCTTCGCATGACAAATCTCCGAAGGGGCTAAACAGCATGTAAATCAGTGCCAAATCTGTAATGCAAAAGGCGCAAGCTTCCCCCATTCACTTTTTGCCGTCCTTGCATTACAAACTCATGTAACAGTTGAGAATGTAACATTTGAGAACGCCATATCACGCAGAAGCCGCTGCAGCGGGCAAGTTTCGGTGCCGATCTGGAGCAAAAATTTCATCTATGCACTGCAAATATGTCTGGGTCTGGAAACTTGTGATGCAGGGGAGGGAATAGTCAGAACACTGTGATGCGCTCCTCAGCACGACAAGTTTTTCCGTGGTTTAGAGTTGCGCACTCCGCATGAGAAATTGCGTGTTTGCATGACTACAGACAAGAGGACCCCTTCGCGGGCACGCAATACAGAGTTCAGAGTCATGCCAGACTAGCATGACAAATCTCGCAATCTCGTCCCAGACCCAGACGCATTTGCATTTGATATCATCTGCGAGATGACGATGGAAAGGAGCAGCAGAAAAATGGCCAACCACTGGACCTCGGAGAACTTCTGCTTGAGCAACACCCTTATGGATTGTAAAAATGTCTGGGTCTGGAAGATTAAAACTTGTCATGCTAGATCTGAATGATGCAAAAATCTTTGTTGCGTCAATACCAAAAGCTGTCCGCTTTTGACCAAGTTGAGAGGGAGTTTCTCCTGCAGGAAAGGCATGCGAGAGACCTCAGAGAATCTGTCATGCTGGGTCTCGCATTCCAGACCTCATGGGTCACGGAAAACCTGCATGACAAACCTTGCATCCTTCCAGACCCAGACATTTTTACATTTGATAACCCTTGCAAACACGGCGGAAAACATCAGCTTGCCGTTGCACAGATCAAATGCAAAAGTGTCTGGGTCTGGAAGAATGCAGACTTGTCATGCATATTTTGTATGATCATTGATGCCTCTAATGCATGATCTAGCAACGCAGATTTTTAGAGGGCTCCCTAATGCCTATTCCGCATGGGAAATGCCCTCTCCGCGTAACACAAACTGGAGTCCAGTTGCTGCTCATGCAATACAGATTTTTTTGGAATCCAAAGACAGCATTACAAGCTGCAATCTTCCAGACGCGGACATTTTTGCGATCCATAGCACAAAAGAGAAAAAACGTGCGCGCCGAGCAGGGAAATGGCGTAGATGTTCACGTTGTTCTGCAGTGCGTAATATCAAATGTAAAAATGTCTGGGTCTGGAAGGATCCGAACTTGTGATGCGTGTTTCGGATCCCACAGAGATCTGTGATGCATAACGTGCAAAAGGTCCCTACTTCTGGCCATGCTGAGAGGGCATTTCTCATGCAGAATACGCATCACCAAGGAGCTGCAGAACCTGTGATGCTAGGCCCTGCATTCCAGACGTGGGGGAGCTTGGAAAAACTGCATGACAAATCTCGGAATCTTCCAGACCCAGACATTTTTGCATTTGATACGTAACACAAGGCAGGGCCGCCGTATCGAAACCAGTTTCGCCACGAAGTTTGATCCTTGTCGAACTCGTAAGTAGACGACCCTCCGTCGGCGTCGAAACTGTGGAGGATTGCGGGCCCGAAGTGAATATGGATTGCAAATATCCCTGGATGTCTGGACACTTGTAATGCTGAATGGTCATGATTGACTGCGCCCGTAAGTGCAGCGCAGCATGACAAATGTTTCAAACGCTTTATTCTCATGCGCAGAACGCATGACAAACTGCGCTTTTGTAACATCACGAAAATGTGGCGCTTTATTTGCTGCTTATGCAATACAGGTTTTTTAGAATTGCGAAACATGCAATACAGGTTCAACCTTCCAGACCCAGACAGCTTTGCATTTGATAGTGAATGAGTAGGTAGCAAATTGCGAGTTTCAGTGCCTCGATCGCCAGGACTATCCAATGCAAAAGCATCGCACTCGTATAAATGCAAGTCTTGCATCACAAATTTTTTTCTGAAGGCAAATCAGCATTACCAATTTTATTTCTCATGCTGAGGAAATTTGTAATGCATTTATAAAATAGAACTATAGAATTTTTACTCGGATTTTTAGCCCTTATAGATTATAGGGGCGCCCTTAGAAAAAGAATTCTAGAAAAAAGGGCATCTAGAAACTTTCCTTAAGGGAGCCCCTAAGGGAAGCTTCTAAGTGAACACGCGTAAGAAAAAAATGGCATCGCGGGGAACAAAAATCCTGCAGGTGTGTCCTCCCTGCGGGCGGTCCGGCCGGTTTTTGGCAGGCCTATTCCGGCTACACCCAAACACCGGCCCCATTTGGGGGGGTAGGGGGGGGCGATGAAACTCGGCACGCATGCAAAACGAAAAGGGCGGCCTTTCCCGCCAAAAGGGCAAGGGCACTCACAACGCTCTGGGGATATATCTGGGGATATATCTGGGGATATATCTGGGGATATATCTGGGGATATATCTGGGGATATATCTGGGGATATATCTGGGGATATATCTGGGGAGATATCTGGGGAGATATCTGGGGAGATATCTGGGGAGAGATCTGGGGAGAGATCTGGGGAGAGGCCTCCTCTAGAGATCAGGCGGGCAGCCCAAAAGCGGGGGATTAGGCCAAGGCCAAGGCCGACGGCCGGGTCGGGCGGGGGCGAGCTTGTTAGGAAGAAGCCCCGCAAGCGAAGGCGCGCGCGTCTACTAATGTGGGCCTCTACTAGTGAAAGGCTTCAGTAGCAAGTGCGGGCCCGTTTTGTCATGCTAAAACCGCGGCCCGAAGGGCTTCGAATAGTGGCCGCGTTTCCGCTAGCAGATTCCCAAGAGCAGGCTTCTTCCGACTAGTCTTCAGCCCAACGCTCTCCAAGTTTTCTCCTCTTTGTTGTTAGTTTGCTTGGTAGTTGCGTTTAGATTTACTAGGCCACCTATCGCCGGCGTCCTGGACGCCGGCGTAGTGGTCTAGTACGAGTACGATACTTTTGCAGTTCATAAGGACGGCCTGTTGCGTGCTGTATTCAATTTTGTTGGTTTTCGCGCTCTATCAAATGCAAAAATGTTTGGGTCTGGAAGATTGCCAGGTTTGTCATGCAGGTTTTCCATGACCCACGCGGACTGGCATGCACGGCCTGGCATGATAGGTTCTGTGAGATCTTTTTCATGCCTTTTCTGCATGAGAAACTGCCTGTAAACTTGTTCAAAAGTGGACCTCTTTTGGCAATGATGCAACACAAATTTTTCCACGATCCAGATGTAGCATGACAAGTGACCCTCTTCCAGACCCAGGCATATTTGCAACGCATACGCTCTTCGTGATCTCCACGGACAACATCATAGACGCGCCATATCAAGAAGAAAAATCCCCCCTCCCCATATCCTTGCATCTTCAGCATGACAGGAAGCAACTGGAAGTGGGAAACAGCATGACAAATTGCCTGCAAACGAGGCCATAACTGCGGCTCTTGGCCTTCTAGCATTACAAGTCGATTTGTGTACTCAAATAGACCATCACAAATTTCGTTTTCGATATGGGGTGGGGGAATTTTTCTAGTTGATACGCCAAGGAAGATGTACACGCAAAGCAGCACAGCCTTGGCGACACGCGCCCCAATATCCTGAGTAAAAACGTCCCCACCCCAGAGTCAAGATGGGGACTTTGCAACACAAACCTAGGAGTTATGGGAATCACGCATGACAGGTTGCAGTCCGTAAGGTAGTGCAAGGTAGCAAGGACAGCCGCATTACAAATCCATCTGCTTATCCGTTTAGAGCATATACAAATTCCCAAACACGATTGAAAATGCCTGTAGTCATGTTGACATGGGGGTGCGCATCACAAATGTTCAGTTCTTGTCATTGCAAATCTGCATGATAACTCTGGGGTGGTGACGTTTTTACACAGGGTACCCAAAGCCGGGTCGTCCCGCCTCATCCGAGCCAGACCTTCCCGGGCCGGAACCTCCGGAACCGGGCACACCCATTGATGCAGCCACGACGGATTTCTATTTCATCTAGGATGCCACAATAAAAATTTCAATCTATTTTGGGTTTGCGATCGCTTTGGCGCATTTTCACATAGATCTAGTACTGGACTTCTTCTTCTATACCTTTGAAAAGTATAGACATAAAATTTTCGAACTCGGTCTCGAATTTTTCTATAATCCGGAACTCCAACACAGTAGGGCTCCTGCAGCTCCGCTGGCTCTAAACCAATCTAGTACAACCCGCCAGAGAAATAGATTCTTCTGCCATCGTTTTGTGGAGCTGCTCTTGATGGGTTCGATTTTACCGATCCTCCTGTGTGACGAGAGCACCAGGCCAGAACCAGATCCGGTACGGTCTTTTTGCTTCACAATAAATCTCCGGCTTGAATAACATGTGAGATTCTTGTTGTATAAAATGCAAATATTTATAATAATGATCCCTGGATGTCTGGAAGAGTGCAACTTGTGACGCTGCCTTTGGATTCCAAAAGTCAAAATCTGTATTGCATGAGCAGCAAAGCGAATGCAATTTTTGCTACGCGGCGACGAGGGGGGCATCATTATTGACTTACATTGCTTGGCTTCCGGGCCCTGGTAACGCGTACCCCGGGCGACAGGTGACCGCGACAGGTGGCCATGACGGGTGGACACCCTCCCCCCCACTAGTGCTCTGCGCGCGCCTGGTGTGAGGCGAGGGGCGGACGCCGCCCGCCCCGATGCCGAACATCCTTGCCCCACTAGTGCTTCGCGCACTATTGAGCCACTGTGCGCGCGCCCTGGTGTGAAGCGAGGGAAGGACGCTGCCCGCCCCGATGCCGCACCTCCTTGCCCCACTAGCGCTACTAGGGATGGGCGCAAGGCCCCAGCGTGGGGACCCTATTCTCTCGCGTGGACCTTGCTTGTCGTGCGAAATTATAACGCATCAGAAGGCCCTCCAAATTCTGTGATGCTAGCGCATGATGGCTCACGCAAAACGCGCATGACAAGTCTCAGAATCTTCCAGACATGATCCAAGGATATTTGCAAGGCATATCATGCAGCAAGAGATTCCTATAGCGGGCCATGCCCGTTACGAGGAAGTAAAAAAGTCGTGGTATTGAGAGGAAAAATCCCCCCTCCCCATATCACCACGGAATTTCTGATGCTGGATTTGTGTACACAAATCAGCTGCGTATTGCAGAGAGGCATCGCGGCCAGATCCCCAGGCTAGGCGCGGGCGTATGGGTCTACTTGTTCAGCATGGCAAACGGCTCCTCTTTAAGCCCAACAGCATGGCAAACCGCTACCATAATGGGGCGGAAGCTTCTGCCCTTGTCTTCTTGCAAGACGCATGTGATTTGTGACCTCAAATCAGCAACACAAATTTTCGGAAACATAGCTTTTCAATATGGGGAGGGGGGATTTTTCATTTTGATACGTGGCCGTGCAGTCCGACCGTAAACAAACAAACATAAAACAATTAGTATTGGGACGCCTACTATATTAAAACGGTTTTTGATTGATATGAGGACCTTGTTGGTCTCATTTATATACGTAAAAAGAAAAGAAAAGTGATGTATAAAAATAAGAAAGTGTGAAAGTGAAAATATAAAGCAATGACGTAGAAGAAAAATCGAATCTCTTTCCAATCACACGACCAGAAGTCATTGCCATTAATACTAGCATAATGACCCGGAGACGAGGTGGACCAAGTCAGGGCGACAAAAACGACAATTTTGGAAGTGGTGCGAGTCGCCGATTGCAAAATGAATTATTCTAGTCGAAGGAGCTGCACAGCAGGTGACCACAGAAATCAAACCTACGGCAAGCACTCCGTTTCTTCGTCGTTCAGAAACCAGTGCTTCCACTTAATGGCGCGTTCCACTTTCTTGGCGTTCCCCACCACCCAATTGTTCAAAATGACGGTGGGCAAGGTGGTGGAGTTTTTTTGAAAAATTTTCGTATGCATTGCAAAATAAGTATCGTACTCGTATAAATGCATCACAAATTATTTCCTCAGCATGAGAAATGAAATTACTATCTAAACTGCAGCAGCTGGTCAAAAATGCATGCGAGGGGTATGTTCGGGGGTATGTTCGGGGGTGTGTCAGGGGTATGCAAATGGCAGTCAATCACGACCTGAATACAAATTTTTGGCGAAAAAGCAACAGGTGGGGTATAAACATACCCCAGACACACCCCAGACACACCCCAGACATACCCCAGACAGACCCCCGAACACACCCCAGGCAAAAAGTCCGAACATACCCCAGACACACCCCGGACACACCCCGGGCAGACTTTCCGACACACCCCGGGCAGACTTTCGGACACACGCCGGACACACTTTGGGACCTCGCCACGCGAGATGCGCAATGCCGGCCTCCAGTTTGTCACGCGAGCCGCCAGCCTGTCGAGCTTACCGGGCCCCGTGGGCAAGGCCCAGGGGCGAAAGGCGCCCTCGGTCAGCGCGGGGACCCAATCCCCGCGTCATGACCTGGGGGCCAGCTTCCTTTGGGCGCTTCCCGGACACCGTACGGCCCAGGGGCAAAAGCTCCAGGTCAGCGCGGGGACGCGGTCCCCGCGTCATGACCTAGGGGCCAGCTTTGGGCGCTTCCCGGAAACTAACCGCGCGGCCCAGTGGCAAAAGCCCTAGGCCAGCGCGGGGACTCGGTCCCCGCGTCATGACCTAGGGGCCGGCTTTGGGCGCTTCCCGGAAACTAGCCGCACGGCCGAGGAGCAAAAGCCCTAGGTCAGCGCGGGGACTCGGTCCCCGCGTCATGACCTAGGGGCCAGCTTTGGGCGCTTCCCGGAAACTAACCGCACGGCCCAGGGGCAAAAGCCCTAGGTCAGCGCGGGGACTCGGTCCCCGCGTCATGACCTAGGGGCCAGCTTTGGGCGCTTCCCGGAAACTAACCGCACGGCCCAGGGGCAAAAGCCCTAGGTCAGCGCGGGGACTCGGTCCCCGCGTCATGACCTAGGGGCCAGCTTTGGGCGCTTCCCGGAAACTAACCGCACGGCCCAGGGGCAAAAGCCCTAGGTCAGCGCGGGGACTCGGTCCCCGCGTCATGACCTAGGGGCCAGCTTTGGGCGCTTCCCGGAAACTAACCGCACGGCCCAGGGGCAAAAGCCCTAGGTCAGCGCGGGGACTCGGTCCCCGCGTCATGACCTAGGGGCCAGCTTTGGGCGCTTCCCGGAAACTAACCGCACGGCCCAGGGGCAAAAGCCCTAGGTCAGCGCGGGGACTCGGTCCCCGCGTCATGACCTAGGGGCCAGCTTTGGGCGCTTCCCGGAAACTAACCGCACGGCCCAGGGGCAAAAGCCCTAGGTCAGCGCGGGGACTCGGTCCCCGCGTCATGACCTAGGGGCCAGCTACACATCCGGCGCCAGCTTCTTCCTTTCTGTTCTCTTTGTTCGCGGTAGGCCAACGGGCCTAGTGTGGGCAAGCAGAGGGGCTCCGTCCGCAGATCTGCCGCGGATCAGGGGGCGCAGGCCACACAGAGACACCGGGCTGCAGGGGCCTGCCTGCCCAGTGCCAGCCACCACAACCCCCGAACTCGTCCCAGACAATTGCCGGAAGGTCGCCGCACGGGGACTCTGTCCCCGTGCTCGGACCTTGTTTGTAATGCGGATTTAGCGTAAGAACAAGATTTGTAATGCATGATTGCAATACGAGTATCTGATACTTTTGCACAGGATATTTCGGGTTCCGGTACCAGACGCCACAGGCGAACCGGTTATCAAAAGGAAAAAATCCCCCTCCCCATATCAAAACGAAACTTCTGATGCTGGATTTGCGTACACAGATTCAAGCTGTCTTGCAGGAGAGGACTGCAGGCCCAATCCAAGCGGGAGTAGCGAGGTGTTGGCCTAGGCGCTTCGCATTAAAAACGTCCGCGCTGTAGGCCCAACAGCATGACAAACCGCCTGCATAATGCGGCGGAGCCCGTGGAGTTGCCTTCTTGCAAGACAAATGTGATTTGTGCCCACAAATCAGCAACGCAAATTTTCGGAAACATACCGTTACAATATGGGGAGGGGGGATTTTTCCCCACAATACCGGTTCGGCGGCAGCCAGTGCACCTTCGCACCGTGTTATCCACAAGAAAAACTGTGTTACTGTAAACTTGTGATGCATGATGATAAAATGGAACACACAAGTATTTGTCTTGCTACACATGCAAGAAAGTGGGGTTTTAGCTGTGTTTTGTTTCCCTTGGGAAGCTTGCATGGCAAATTTTCTCTGTCATGTAGAACAAGCTTGCGATGCAAAACATGCAAAATCCTTACAGTGAAACACTTTTTTCGTACGATACGTGTCGTTTCAGGGCCGGCGGAAAGTAAAGCTGGTCGTTCCCCGCCTCCCCCACGTCCTTCGTTTTTCCTCGGACCACGTTTTCCATCCTCCGGATCACCTCGCTCCACACCTTCAAGTTTGCCTCCGAAGGCTTCGCGAGGAGAAAGCCCCCGTTCAGGTACTTTCCCGGCGGCGGCATGTCCGACATGGTCACAATGTCTGCCTCTTGCTGGAGCACCTCCTCGGAAGTATCCAAGAAAAAAAGATCGTACGTAGGTGTAACACAACTTTCTTGGAGGATTAGCATGACAAAATCAAAAATCTTTCGGCTCTCGCATGACAGGAAAAATAACCTGTCATGCGCAGATAGTACGCGAAAACGCCTTTGAATGGACCCTACAATGCAGGCACAGCACGACAGGCGCAATCAATTTGCATGTTGCGCATCTTCACAAATTTACAATAACAACGTTTTTTCTTGGATAGGAAGGGTCTCGAGACCAGTACGCGTCTGCCTCCACCTGCCACACCGTCAGCTTGGCTTGCAGAAGCTCGCGAATCAACTTGCCACGCCACATATCCTGTGCAAAAGTACTATCGCTCTCCTCGTACTAATTGCAAATATGCATGACAAATCTTCATCCTAAGGTAAAACAACATTACAAATTCAACTTTATTTCCTCTTGCCAAAATTTGTGATTCAATTTACTTATACTAGTACGATGCTTTAGCTTTTGCAATGCATACCACAGGAGGAAACTCCCGTACACAGCCTGCCCGTACCGAATTACGGCCGGCATCTTGTAGTATCAACTGGAAAAATGTCTGGGTCTGGAAGAATGCAACTTGTCATGCTAAATCTGAAGCGTGCAAAAATCTGTGTTGCAAGCTTACCAAAAGCTGTCCACTTTTGACCTAATCGCGAGGCAGTTTCTCATGCAGGATAGGCATGATGGAACTCGCACAGAATCTGTCGTGCTATGTCCTACATGCCAGACCTAACGGGACATGGAAAACCTGCATGACAAGTCTGGAACTCTTCCAGACCCAGACATTTTTGCATTTGATATGTAGGTCACGTACACAATGCTCAACCCGGTGTCAAACAGTTGCAGCTGCTGTCCAGCCTGCCGCTCCGTGGCAATAAAGAGCGCGTGGTCCGCAAGCCAATTCGGGCCCACGACTTTCTTCACGTTACAGATCCAACTCTTCATCATCTTCACGAACCCCTGGTTGAAGAACAGCACGACAACGTACCCAAATTTCTGTTGCCGCGCCTGCCCGGCTGCCAACAGGGTGTCAAACTCCGTATGAAATGCAAATATGTCTGCGTCTGGAAAGTTGCAACTTGTGATGCTAGCTTTGGACTCTAAAAAAAACTGTATTGGATGACCAGCAAGAGGAGTTCAGTCTGTGCTACGCGGGGAGGCCATTTGTCATGCGGAATAGGCATCAAGACATAGTCAGAAAATCTGTGATACTAGGGAGTACATCACAGACGTCACGGGTCATGTAAAATCTGCATGACAAGTTGCAACCTTCCAGACCCAGACATATTTGCACTTGATACTCCGTGCGGTTAAACTATCAGACTCGACGCAAACGTTACAAACTCAACTGTCTTATTTCCATGGTTTGTCATACCCTGTTTTATTTCCATGTAATGCAGAAGGCGCAAAAAAAATCTTCTTCCTTTCAGTTTTGCCATTCTTGCATCACAAATTTATGTAACAGTTGAGAATGTCGTAACAGTTGAGCACGCCATATAAACGGAAACGGGGAATCGGTGGTATCAGCAGGAGATGAAGGTGAAAGTGTAGTTGCCGACGTTGGCGCGATTTTTGTACTAGCAGTTGCGCCGTCGCTTTTCCCCTTGTTGTTCTCTGCAAGAGCTTGTACAACTTGTCCTCGAGCTTTGACCTCGTAGGCCCAACCGGTGCGCAGCATCTCGCGCAAATCCGTAAACCTCATCAACTACAAAAATGTCTGGGTCTGAGAGAGTCGGGGCTTGTCATGCACATTTTGCATGACCCGTGAGGTCTGTGATGCTGGTGCTAGCATCACAGATTTTTTGAGAGCTTCTTGATGCTAATCACGCATGAGAAATGCCGTCTCCGCGCGCCAAGAAGTGGGTCCTCTTGCTGCTCATCATGCAACACAGATATTTTTAGAATCCGCAGACAGCATTACAAGTTCCAACCTTCCAGACCCAGACATATTTGAAATCCGTAAACCTCGGCTTCCACTCTAGGTCCCGCTGTATCTATCCTGTGTAAAAACGTCCCCACCCCATAGTCAAGTTGGTAAATCTGCAACACAAATCTCCAAGTTTTGGGAGGTTTGCATGACAAGTTTTCATCTGTAGCGTCGTGCTGTTTAGCAAGGGCAGCCGCATGAGAAAGCAAGCCTCTCATCCTGTTCACAGCATCACAAATTCCAAAACACGATTGGAAATGGCCCTCATGGGGATGCGCATTACGAGTCTCCATGTCTTTGCAAATCTGCATTACAACTCTGGTGTGGGTACGTTTTTACTCAGGATAGTATCTTCGCGCTCTTCGCGAACAACTGCAACGGCTCCTCTTTCCCGAGGTATCAAATGTAAAAATGTCTGGGTCTGGAAGATTCTGAGACTTGTCATGCATGTTTTGCATTGGCCATGATGTCTGTGATGCATGCCCTAGCATCACATATTTTTTGAGGGCTTCGCGATGCCTATTCCGCATGACAAATGCTTCTCCGCGTAGCAAAAATTGCGTTCCTTTTGCTGCTCATGCAATACAGATTTTTTTGGAATCCAAATTCAGCATCACAAGTTGCATTCTTCCAGACCCAGACACTTTTACATTTCATACGAGGGGCTCCGTTTCTATCTTCACGTCCACACCGGACACAGCGCGGAAACTTTCCACGAACTCGGCGATCGAATTTGGCTTCCCGAGACCTACGTTGTGGACGGTTATCCTGTGTAAAAACGCGCTCCCCCCAGAGTTGTCATGCGGATTTCCGATGACAGGAAGATTTGTAATGCGCATGTCCATGCCTATGCTTACCAATCGCGTTTTGGAATTTGTGATGCTGTAAACAGGATCAGCAGACGGATTTGTGATGCAATTGTCCTTGCTAACATGCACTACCCTACGGACTGCAACTTGTCATGCGTGGCTCCCAAAACTTCTGGATTTGTGTTGCTAAGTTCCCAACTTGACTATGGGGTGGGGACGTTTTTTCGCAGGATAACGGTCAACACAGTTTCTTCTTGTTCGGAGGTAGTTCTTGTTGCTGCAGCTGATTCATCATGAATTGCAAAAGCATCGCACTAGTAGTAATGGCATTACAAATTTCCTCAGCATGACAAATGGAATTTGTCATGCTGTTTTACCTTGGGGTGTAGATTTGTACGGGTACGGGTACGGGTACGGGTGCGGTGTGGCGAGTAGCGTAGCGCCTAAAACTTGCGCCAAGTACGACTACTTGTGCTCGACAGACTCGGGCACCGCAAAGCAGTTAAACCCTCCACCATAGCACTACACTAATAAGACTATTGCTTCCCGATGCTATACGCAGGGCGGGCCACGCATAGTGGTCTTGTAATGAAACAAAAGTCGAACTAGCGCGCCAAGTCTGAACACAGACTTTTTCCTAAACCCTGTCTATTGTATCATCCTCATATTAAATAAGTACTAGCTTCTTGTACGAAATCTTTTCTGCTTTTGAACTTGTAACGCTGCTTGTAGGTATACCCTAAACCCGTCTACTTCTACGCGCGTGCTGCGTACCGACGGTCTTTCTAACTGGCACCATAGACTATAGCAGCTTCTTCTACAAAAGGTTTTCTCACAACAGCACCGACTTTCATTCTGTGCCAGGCGCTAACGCGCGGGCATGCATCACGACTAACGCTATAATGCATAAATGCAATTACTACGAGTACGATACTTTTGCACAGGATATTCATCGCCGCGCGATTGGCGACCCTTGTCGAAAGCCAAAAGGTGGGCCGAAGCCAGGTCGGAAACGTGCACGAAGTCACGTTTGGCGTAGTCTCCCGTCTTCGGGTCCACGCGTAGCTTGACGGCGGGGCGGGCGCCGCGCGCGGCGTCCACGCAGGCCGTCCAGAGTCGGCCGTACGACCGGAGCTCGGGCCGCGGGTTTTCTCCCAGACGCTGCAAGGGGTCCGCGCCGATCACGTTGAAGTAACGCAAAATGTTCACGCGAAAGGAGGGCGCTGCGAGAGCTTGCAGCACTTTTTCCGCCTCCACCTTGGACGGGTATCGAAATGAAAAATCCAGCACCCCCGAAACCATATGAAAATGGAAATCTGTTATGCTGAAGTGTGGCCACAAATCACCTCTGGCTTGCCTGTAGGGTTGTAGTGGGAGCTATTTGGCGCATGATTCCACAGCCAGTCTGTCATTCTCATGCGCTTATTTCGACTACTGCAAAGTGCAAACCTGTTTGCCAACATGCTTAATTGCTAGCCTTTTGCATATCATTACCCAATAAACAGGCCTAGAAAATGCCGCCAAGCACTTTCTGCAAGACAATCTGATTTATATTTTTTGTATTTATTGTGCATGTGCACGCACATCCAGCATCAGAAATTTCCTTTTGATCATCTGGGGAGGGGCCCGATTTTACCTTTTGATATTGAGGCGTAGGGGCTCAGGGGCTGAATCGCCGCGGACTCGTCCAGACCTTCCCCCGGGTTTGCCGGCTGCCCGTACACAGAGCACGAGCTGGAATACACGAACCGTGGCACGCCCGCTGTTTTTGCGGCTCGACCGAGGATTTCCGTGTTCGCAGTCACGTTGCGGCGATACAGGTCGGGGAAAGCAATCGACTCCCCCACAAACGCGATGGCCGCGAAGTGGAACACCGCCGCAAAGTATCAAATGCAAAAATGTCTGGGTCTGGGAAATTGCGAGATTTGTTAATATGCTAGTCCGGCATTACTCTGAACTTTGTATTGCGTGGCCGCGAAGAGCTCCTCCTCCCTGTCATGCAAAGACGCAGTTTCTCATGTGGAATACGCAAGAACTCAGAACCATGAAAAAAGTTTGTCATGCATGGCAGCGCATTACAGTGGGTTCACTATTCCCTTCCTTGCATCACAAGTTTCCAGACCCAGACATATTTGCAATGCATACAAAGGGAGCCTGTTGCGGCTCTTGGAAGAGTGCCGCCACTGCGGACGGAAGGCCCAGGTCCACTTCTTTGAAGACGAAGGCGTCCTTTGGCAGGTTCAAGGTAGCCACGATATCGTAAGGAAAATCGTATCCCCCCTCCCCATATCGAAACGAAGATTTGTGATGCCGATTTGTGACCACAAATCAGCTTTGTCTTGCATACAAGGCAAACGACACCCATGTGGCGCATTGTACAGCGAGACTGTCACGCGTTTTCGCCTATGTCAGCCTTGTCTCTCATGCTCAGCTGCTAGCCGGACGCGTACCCAAATGGGCTTAGAATATGCCGACAAGCTCTTGCTGCAAGACAAAGTTCATTTGTGTACACAAATCCAGCAACACAAATTGTCTTTTGAATATGGGGTGGGAGCTTTTTTCACTTTGATACGCGACCGCGTGCAGCTTCTCGATAGCTGCGCTACTTCCCCGGGACAAGTTGTCAACGCCCACGACGTGAAGCCCCTTGGTGAGGCAGAGGAGCACAAAGTGACTCGCGATGTACCCAGCAGCGCCGGTGACCAGCACCACGACCCGCGTCGAGGACGAGGAGGAGCTACTCTTGGAGGTCGACCTAGTCGTAGTGACAGCTCCTGTAGTTGATGTTCTTGAAGTCGCTGCTGCTGCAGGAAGATGATTATTTTCATTTTCAGCATCATGCCTCCTGGTCGTCTCCTCTTCATCTCTTCTGTCTGGCGATTTCCTTTGTCGCAGACCGCAATGACGGTCGTACCGTAGGAAGCCACCGCTGGGCCCTGACGAAGACGTAGAAGTTGCAGGTCCCTTGCTCGTATGAACTACAAAAATATCGTACTCGTACTAGACTACTACGCCGGCGTCCAGGACGCCGGCGATAGGTCGTCTAGTAAATCTAAAATCAAAAAACTATCTTGAAACGCTAGCGGAGCAAATTCGGCGACAGAGTCGCCCGATTGTGAATCTGCTAGCGGAGACGCGGCCACTAGGAGGAGCCCTCTAGGCGGTTTTAGCATGACAAAACGGGCCCGCGCTTGCTAGCGACGCCCTTCACTAGTAGCGGCCCGCATTAGAAACGGACGCGCCCGCCTTCGTTCCCTGGGCTTCTGCGTGCCCCGTCCCAGCCCGGCCGCTGGCCTTGGCCTGCTTCCCCTTTCTTGAGCTATTTGACTTCTACAAAGAACCACCCGCAGCGCTTTCTAAGCCAGCGACCGAGGCCGTGATCTAGCGAAGCCCTTTAAGCGAGGCCTCTAGAAGGCAAAGAAATTCTTAGCGCCACTCCCTCCACTCTTACTATAACTTCTATGGGAAACCCAGCCTCCGAATCTATAAGGTCGGGAAATCGGAGCAGGGAAGCTGTACTGGGGTGCTATTTTCCGCCCGCGAGAAGGCCAACCACATGCAGGATTTCTGGCCCCCCCAGCGCCGCTCGCTTTCTTCAGAATGCAGGCGCTGCCCTTTTCTTTTATCCCCAGATATACCCCCAGATGTATCCCCAGATGTATCTCCCGATATCTTCCCAGATAGCCCCCCAGATATACCCCCCGATATATCCCCCGACATATCCCCCGACATATCCCCAGATATCTCCCCAGATATCTCCCCAGATATATCCCCAGATATATCCCCGCCCAGATATTTTTGGATGGTGTTAATCTGCCTGAGGCCCGGGGGACGCCCCCACCCCCGTTTCGTTTTGCTACGTTCTATCGCCCCCCCCTACCTCCCCCAAAACGGGGCCGGGGTTTGGGGTTAGCCAGAATAGGCCTGCTAAAAACCGGCCCGGTGTTTTTTCCGCTTTTTTTCGATTTCCTTGAGCCTCGGGGCCCGTAGGAAGCTCTGCGGGGTCTTCTTCATTTTGCGACACGCGTTCCTTCGCCTGTCTTTGCCAGGCAGCCAAGCTGTCGGAACTCGCAAGCACCGCCGCCCGCGCGGGCAGCCACTTGCAGCGCAGGCCGCAAGGGCTGTCAGCAACACCTGGGCGGCTACCGTTGCAAGATGCGACCTGCGCTGCAGGGTGCCGCCTGCCCTCGCAAATCCTTTTGGCCTGCGTTGCAGAGTGAAACAGCTCACGCTGCAAGTAAACTGCTTACCGACCGGCTGCGCTTGCGGCGTTTCTATGTGTGCCGTCTAGTCAACCGTCCTAAGGCCATCCCCTGGGGCTATCTCCTAGGGCTATCCCCTAAGGAATAGCCCTAGGGGAATGCTCTAGACGCCTTCTTTTCTAGAATTCATTTTCTAAGGGCGCCCCTATAATCTATAAGGGCGGGAAATCCGAGTAAAAATTCTATAGTTCTATTTTATAAATGCATTAATACAAATTTTCTCAGCATGAGAAATAAAATTCGTAATGCTGATTTACCTCAACAAAAAGATTTGTAATGCATGATTGCAAGAATAGATACGAGTACGATATTTTTTGCACAGGATAGATCGAACTCAACAAGAGCCAGGTAATATGCATTGCAAATATCGTTCTGGGTCTGGAAACTTGTGATGCAGGTCAGTCAATAGCAAATGCACTGTAAAAATGCGCCGCCAAGCATGACAAGTTTTTTTGTGCTTCTGTGCTACGTAATCCGTACGAGGAACTGCGTTTTTGCATGACAGACAAGACAGAGAGGCTGTTTCGATGGCCCTACGCAAAAATACAGAGCTAAGAGTCAACATGCCGGACCAGCACGAGAAATGTCGCAATCTTCCAGACCCAGACATATTTGGTGCATTTGATAGACAACACACACGTATCAAATGTAAAAATGTCTGGGTCTGGAAGAATGCGCGATTTGTCATGCTGCTTTTCCGTGACACATGAGGTCTGGAATGCAGGACCTAGCATGACAGATTCTGCGGGACCTTTCTTATGCCTATCCTGCATGAGAAACTCCCTCCCGACTTGGTCAAAACTGGACGACTTTTGGTAATCATGCAGCACAGATTTTTGCATGCTGCAGATTTAGCATGACAAGTTGCATTCTTCCAGACCCAGACATTTTTACACTTGATAACACGCACGCTAGCGCCCGACGAAGGCCCCCTCGCGAGGATTGATGTTCCTGACTGCTCATTATCAAATGTAAAAATGTCTGGGTCTGGAAGAGTCCAAACTTGTGATGCGCATTTCAGAACACAGAAAGTTCTCTCATGCATAGGCAGCAAAAGTTCCCACTTTCTGTCACCAAAGTCAGGGATTTGTCATGCGGATTCGGCATTGCGGAGGCTTCTCGAAACCTGTGATGCTAGAGCTTCCATGCCAGACCTTCTGTGGCATGCAGAAACAGCATGACTCTTCCAGACCCAGACATTTTTACACTGGATACTCATCGTCCCCAGGAACGTCAAGTCGTCTCCGCCGTTTTATTTGGAAGCGCCACGACGAGAAAGGGTACTAGACGAAGGTTGTTCCTCTAGCTGTTGTTCTTCCCAACAACTGGTGCAAGAGCTAGAGCTATCAAAGGTGGACCACGAGCGGAAACAACCGGGTCGTGCTGTTCCTCGTGCAGCTTCGCACTTCTTGCATACGAAGATCTCTTTCGATTTCCTCGTCCACCGATCCATTTCTTGTCTTGTTTACAACGTCCATCTTAGCTAACTCGATAGGGTTCCTCTTTCGACTCCTGATCCAACATCTTAGACTTATATCGACATCAGCAAGAACGACCGCTAGAGTTGTCAAAGTTCATCATCTTCAACATTTATTATAGTAGCAAAACAAATTTTTTATAACGATCAGACAACCTTCACCATAGCGATTGTAGAACAATACGCGAGAACAAATTGTAAAACGCATGTGTCCACGGAAATAATAGAAAAACAAAATTTACATTTTTTTTGGAAGTGTAGATGTTTTATCATACAACTCGTCTCGCGAGGGCAGCAGCTGCACGGGGCTCTGTGTAAAAATAGTGCCATCAGCTGCCTCGTCCTGTACCAACAACATCAGCAATGGTTTATTATATCAACTCAGTTATAGGCGGCAAGCTTCAGCTTCGTGTACCACACAATGGCAATCGCTGTCACGCTATCAACTGTAAAAATGTCTGGGTCTGGAAGAGTCATGCTGTTTTTGCATAACACGGAAGGTCTGGCATGGAAGCTCTAGCATCACAGGTTTCGAGAAGCTTCCGCAATGCCGAACCCGCATGAGAAATCACCCACTTTGGTGGCAGAAAGTCGGCAGCTTTTGCTGCCTATGCATGAGAGAACTTTCTGTGTTCTGAAATGCGCATCACAAGTTTGGACTCTTCCAGACCCAGACATTTTTACATTTGATACACGCAGATGCCGATGGAGCTACGAAAGGTCGGCTATTGCAAGGAAAAATCCCCCCTCCCCATATCAAAACGAAATTTCTGACGCTGGATTTGTGTACACGAATCAGCTTTGTATTGCAGGAAGGCATTGCGGCCAGATCCCCAGGCTAGGCAGAAGGGGCGTATGGGTCTAGTTGTTCAGCATGGCAAACGGCTCTCCTTTAAGCTCGACAGCATGACAAACCGCTTTTCTATAATGCGGCGGAAGCATCTGCACTTGTCCTCTATGCAAGACGCGTGTGATTTGTGACCTCAAATCAGCAACACAAATTTTCGGAATAAACATAGCTTTTCAATATGGGGAGGGGGGATTTTTCATTTTGATATCGGCTCTTCATTGAAAACCAAATAGCCCGACATGACGATAAACACCGCCTTCGTCCTATCCTGATTAAAAACGTCCCCACACCAGAGTCAAGCTGGGGATTTTGCAACACAAACCTCGGAGTTTTAGGAGTCACGCGTGACAAGTTTCAGTCCGTAAGGTAGTGCAAGTTAGCAAGGAAAGCCGCATCACAAATCGACCCTCTGATCCTGTTTACAGCATCACAAGTTCCCAAACACGATTGAAAATGCCTGTCATGGGGTTGCGCATCACAACTGTTCCTGTCATGGCAAATCTGCATGACAACTCTGGTGTGGGGACGTTTTTACTCAGGATACATCCTGGCCATTACTTGGTACGTCAGCGGGCTCGTGTGGCCCAACACGCCCGCGGCACTGGTGCTATATCAAATGTAAAAATGTCTGGGTCTGGAAACTTGTGATGCTGGGTGGCGTCTCATGATGAGGCCACAAATGCTGGCTCAGCATGACAAGTTTCTGAGCTTCTAGGTGTTGCCTATTCTGCATAACAAACTACGTTTCTGCATCACAGAAAAGTGGAGCTCTTGGGTAACGTGCCTGACAGATTTCAGAGTTATGCCAGACAAGCATGACAAACATGCATTCTTCCAGACCCAGACATTTTTACATTTGATATGCTAACAACGCACGCAACCACGCAGGATACGCAGAGCCAAAACACCAAGCCTGGACTTGCCCAGGAAGGTGGGGAGAAAAGTACTTTAGTTGTTGGCGGAACAGAAGAAGAAGATGACGCTTCCTCTTCAAGTAGAACTTCTCCAGCCCCCGGAGGACCACGGGGGAACAAATCCTTTTCCAGCAGAAACACCAGCGGCACCAAGATGAGTATGCATTGCAAATGTCTCTGGGAGGTCTGGAAGAAAAATGCAACTTGTGATGCGCATTTCATAACGCACGCAAATCTCTCATGCATAGGCAGCAAAAGACGCCCAATCCCTGTCACCAAAATGGGGCGTTTGTCATGCGGATTAGGCAACATTGCGGAACATTCATCTCGAAACCTGGGATGCTAGAGCGTCCATGCCAGACCTTCAGTGTCCTACAAAAACAGCATGACAAAAAGCTACGTTCTTCCAGACCCAGACAGATTTGCATTTGATAGTGAGACAGGCGAAGCAACTGCTGGTGTACGTCAGCTGCGGAGGCGTCAGCTTCAGCTGTTTCTGGTATTCGCTGTTCCAGATCTGCTGCAAGCTCGACAAAAGCACGCCGAGCATCCCGAAGAAGAACCCAAACGCGTTGGCCTCCAAATGGTACACGGTGGCAATGTATGCATTGCAAAAATGTCTGGGTCTGGAAGGTTGCAACTTGTGATGCTGTTTTTGGACTCTAAAAAAATTTGCATTGCATGACTAGCAAGAGGGGCACAATTTGCGCGACACGGACAGGGCATTTCTCATGCGGAAGGTGCATCAGGAAGCCCTCTAAAGGTCTGCGATGCTAGGTCATGCATTACAGGCATCATGGGTCATGAGAAATATGCATGACAAATCTTGCATTCTTCCAGACCCAGACATTTTTGCATTTGATACAATGGTGGTGCCGATACACATCAGCGCCAACGCACGCACATGAAATGCAAATATCCACCCTGGATGTCTGGAAACTTGTAATGCTGAATGGTCATGGTTGACTGTGCCTTTAAGTGCAGTGCAGCATGGCACATTTTTCAAACGCTTGGTTCTCATGCGCAGAACGCATTACAAACTGCGCTTTTGCATAACGAAAGTCTGCGGCGCTTTATTTGCTGCTTATGCAATACAGGTTTTTTAGATATGCGAAACACGCAACACAGGTTCGACCTTTCCAGACGTCCAGGGATATTTGCAGTTCATAACACACCTCCTGTCTGCCGACCGTTTTTCCGTACAGCACGTATTGCAACAGCAGCGTGACCTATCAAGAGAAAAAAGTTCGTCACGATAATCACTCATGGGCATTTTTGCAATACAAAATTGTCTGTCATGCGTAAAAATGCATCACTGCCACACTTCATAAGGGATTTCATCCCTCGTGTTTCTGCAATAGAAGGAGAAGTTGTGATGCTGAAAAAAATTGTAATGCCAAACCTGCAACTTCGTGACTGTGACAAGCTTTTTCCTCTTCATATCACCGGGGTGATCAGCACCTTTAAGAGTTGGAACATGCTGACCACTATCCAATGCAAAAATGTCTGGGTCGGGAAGATATTTCTAGATTTATTGTCACGCATAGTTTATTCCATGACCCTTGCTGTCTGTGATGCATGTGTCCCCTAGCATCACAGATTTTTAGACGACTTTGTGATGCCTCTACCGCATGAGAAATGCCCTTTCCGCGTAGCACAAACTGGAGTCCTCTTGCTGGTCACGCAGTACAAATTTTTTTAGAATCCAGAGACAGCATTACAAGTTGCAGCCTTCCAGACATCCGGGGATATTTGCAATCCATAACCGCATTGTACCGCAAAGAGTTGTTGTTCACCAGAATGCCAAAACTGTAGGTGAGAGACAAAGCGAATAGCTTCTTTGCCTCGGCAAAGGTTAAGTCGGTGACCCACCGGGGAGTCAGCAGCTCCCGTGAGGACGCTGCTCCCGCGCCGTCGGCGTCCTCGTTCTTGGAGAGGCTTTTTACGCCTTTAATACCTCCGTGGAACTTATGCAAGAATTCCTGTTGTTCCTTGTCGTGGTCGCGCCTCGTCGTGGTCTCCTTATCGATCAGTCGCAGGCGGTCGAGATGTTGATCGTAACCATCTTCGCATGTAGTTGCACAACTTCGGCGGAGGTCCTGTGCAAAAGTATAATCGCACTCGTATTGCAGTCATACATTACAAATGTTTTTTTCAAGTTAAATCCGCATTGCAAATTTCATTTCTCATGCTGAGGAAATTTGTAATGCAATTTATACTAGTACGATGCTTATTTGCGGTTCATAGCGGAGGTCCTCGTCCAGCTCCTCCACCGCGGCCGTCTGAGGATCTGCTTCTGCCCCGGCGGCGGCCTGCTCGTCATCTTCTACCACTCGAACTGCTGCAGCTTTCTGGCCGTCATGATGATATCAAATGCAAAAGTGTCCGGGTCGGGGAGGATGCAAACTTGTGATGCTGTCTTTCGATTCTAAAAAAATTTGTACTGCATGACCAGCAACCAAGAAGAGGAGTCCACTTTATTGTACCACGTGGGGAAGGCATTTCTCATGCGTAACAGGCATCAGGAAGTCCTCTAAAAATCTGTGATGCTGGACCATGCGTTACGGGCATCAGGGGTCATGCAAATAAGGCATGACAAACCTCTCACTCTTCCAGACCCAGAGATTTTTGCACTCGATAGATGAAGTGGATCTCCAATTTGATGTTCACGAAGGTGGTCCTTTTCCTCTTTTTCCAGCCCCGCCCAAGAGGGCTGTGTGTTGATGAACTCCGCCTCATTTTTACCGAGATATGAACCGCAAAAGTATCGCACTCGTAGTAATCCCATGCATTACAAATCTTTTTTTCATACGTAAATCTGCATTACAAATTTTATTTCTCATGCTGAGGAAATTTGTAATGCATTGATACGAGTACGATGCTTTTGCAATGCATACGAGACCGAGTTCAACAACGACAACATCCGCTACAACTCATGTATGGCGTCCTCAAGTGTTACATTCTCAACTGTTACATTGATTTGTGATGCAAGAATGGCAAAAGTGAAAGGGGTCACCTTGCGCGTCTTGCATGACAGATCTGACAAAGATTCTCAGCCTGTGTGGCCCTTCGAGAATTTGCCATGCGAAGCAGCTCGATCGTGTCGATTCTGATTGTGATTTTGCATTACAAATCATGTAACAGTTGAGAATGTAACATTTGAGAACGCCATATCGTGGCTCCTCGTCAGCTCCTCGCCGTGGCGTGCTCAGCGACGAAGAGCTCGAACATGATATTGAGAGGAAAAATCCCCCCTCCCCATGTCGAGAAGGCATGCTTCCGAGAATTTGTCTTGCTGATTTGAGACCACAAGTCACGTCTGTCTTGCAAGAAGACAAATGCAGAGGCTTCCCGGCCATTATGGGAGCGGTTTGGCATACTGTTGGGCCCAGAGACCAGCCGTTTGTAATGCTAAGCAACTAGACCAAAACGTGCCGCCCTAGGCTGCGGATCTGGCTGCGATGCCGTATTGCAAGACAGCGCGCATTTGTGTACACAAATCCTGCATCACGGATTTCCCATTTGATATGGGGTGGGGGGATTTTTCCTTTTGATAGATGATGTTCTGGGCACGACCACCGGAGCTAAGGTTGATCTTGAAGTTGATGTGCTCGAATTCTTGTTTTTGTAATTATTGTACTGTGAGGAAAAATCCCCCCTCCCAATATTCAAAACGAAATTTGTGCTGCTGCATTTGGCTACACAAATTTGCGACATGTATTGCTAGAAGGCCAAGAGACGCAGGCGCTACCTCATTTGCGGGCAATTTGTCATGCTGTTTCCCGTTTCATCTACTTTTAGTTGCTTCCTGTCATGTTGAAGACGCAAGGCTTTCCTACGCCAGCCAGCACTACAATCCGCATCTCTACTTCCCTTCTAGCATGTGACAGTCGGAGGTGATGTGTGATCACAAATCACGCTACACAATAAATCTCCGTTTGTTTGTTGAGTATAGGGAGGGGGGATTTTTTATTTTGATATATTGTTCACTAGTACAGCACTCTGGTGCAGCCCAGGCCCGGCTTCAATAATCGCAAGAGGAGATGATAGGTTCTTTTTTCGAGAAGAACTCACCCGCCAGAGCAGATGCAAGCCCAAGGCCGTAGTGCCCGCATGTAAAAGAGTGAGAGCCACCGTCCAGTGAAACCCGCCAAGCAGTACCCATTTCACGGACCATATTATCAAAATCGCAGACCAGAAGTTCACGGCAAGATAAATTCCGGTGACGCAAGCACGAGCGACCATCTTGGTTTTGTTTATTTTAAACGAGCATAAATTTACATCTTTTTGGCCACTTTTCTTTCAATATATCTTACCGACCAGCACTAAGACCTCCGCTGAACAAAAAGTATTGAAGAGAATTTTCCCATAATTTACCACGTCAACACCTCCGGAAATAGTATTTTTATCTGATCGCACAGCAAGTTTTGCATCCGAAAGACCTTTCCCCATAAAGAAAGACCGATGATCACACATAGCATCCGAAGGTTTCATCCATTTCGTAGTTCCCCAAAAGCCAACAGTCGTAAGCTATTCCTTGTAGGTTTTGCAATCTCGTCCTTGCGCGTTCGGTTTTGGAATCCATACTTCTAGTTGCTCACAGAAGTGGTCTATAGCTCCTCTTCCGGGTATAGTACATGGCAACATCGCGATAGCAGAAGAAAGTACAGTATACAACATGGAGTCCTGATTCTTGCCGGCGCGTTTCGAATCTCCTTTCTTCTTCTCACTCTATCCACCTATTTTCAGAAGGAGCTATCAGTAGACTAGATCTAGATGCCAGGAATCGAAAATGAAATATCATATAAACACCGATCTACTTCAAAATTAATAACGGCGTCGAGTAGTTTATTTTCTTGGTGCAACTAATATTTTTAAAAAGACCACAGAGAGACTTAATATCACGATGGATAAGCAGAAAAAGCCGTCCTTGTATCCAAGAAAAAAACTGTGTTAGTGTAACTTTCTTTGGCTGACAGCATCACAGATTTGCTCTACATGAGAGAGAAAACCTGTCATGCGTGGCTTATAAGGGAAAACACACCTGGAAAGAGGATTTCGTGGCTGTCTGGCATGACAGGTGTAAATCTTTTGCATGTTCTGCATTACAGAGTTACACTTACACAGTTTTTTTCTTGCATACCTTATCCCGCGGCCTTTCTTCCGCCAGCTTGATCGCCGTACCCTGCGTAAAAACGTCCCCACCCCAGAGTTGTCATGCAGATTTGCGATTACAGGAACATTTGTAATGCGCAGCGTTACGAGAGGCATTTCCGGTCGTGTTTTGGGATCTGTAATGCTGTAAACAGGATGAGAAAGCGGCTCTCTCATGCAGCTTCCCTTGCTAACCAGCACTACACTGCAAATGGAAAGTTGTCATGCACAACTCCGAAACCTTGGAGATTTGTGTTGCAGATTTGCCAACTTGGCTATGGGGTGGGGACGTTTTTACTCAGGATACGCCGAGTAGGTGATCTATCAGCTTTCCAAACGATTCCTGCGTCACCACCGTGGCCTTTCTGGCCTCCGATATCGACTGCAAATATGTCTGGGTCTGGAAGAGCACAACTTTGTCATGCGCGTTTTCCATGATCCATGATGTCTGTGATGTATGCCATAGCATCACAGATTTTTTGAACGCTTCTCTATGCGCATCCAGCATGACATCAAATGCCCTCTCCGCGTAGCCAAATTTGAATTCTCTTGCTGGTCATGCAATACAGGTTTTTTTAGCATTCGAATGCAGCATCACAAGTTTGGCTCTTCCAGAACCAGGCATTTTTGCATTTGATATCCGAGGCAAGAAAAACAAACACGGTCGCGACCAAAACCGTGTTCCCAAGCTGTATGGATTGTAAAAATGTCTGGGTCTGGAAGGTTGGAACTTGTAATGCTAGCGTTCCATACCTAGAAGATCTGTATTGCATTACCAACAAAAGTCGCAGCCTCTTTTGTCATGCAAAAACGCAGTTTCTCATGCGGCTTGCCTATGAGAAAGCGTTTTGGGAATTTGTCATGCCGGACTGCGTTCGGAAGTGTTTTCATCGTGCACATTTTAGCATCACAAGTTTCCAGACCCAGACATTTTTACATTTGATAAGCTGCGCGAGCGGATCATAATTCTCGGAAGTGACATCAGCCTGGGGAAACACGACGAGCACATTATTGGGAGGGAAAATGCCCCCACGATCCCAGAGCTTGGGAGCGTTTGTATTGCAAACCTTTCCAAGGGAAACACTCGCCCTCTTGCATGTATCAGCATCAAAGGTTTTCTATCGTGAGGAGCAAAGCTTTGTGTTGCAAAAGATCCCAGCAAGAGCGGCACTTGTCATGCAAGCGATGCTGTATACGACTAGGCTCTGTATCAGAAAGATTTATAGTTTTGCAATGCATGACATAAGGTTTATTTCATTTGAAAACTTCGCATCTCAAATTATTGCAACTTTCGGGGTCGTGGGGGCATTTATTTTCTGTGGTACACATGCTGCACATTCTGGCACATCAACACGTGAAACTGCAGCACGTAGGTCTCCAGTGTGTTCCTGCCGAGAAAATCCAAAAACGCGGAGAAGCGGTCGCAGAAGGGGCGACTGCAATTTCGCACTAGCAAGTAGCCCAGCAGTGCCAGAATCAAAATGTAGGGATGTCTCTTGTTGTACTCAAACTTATTCGCATTGTACCCGTAAAGAAAATACCAGATCAGAATCAGTTGCACCCCGACCGCCGCTATCAAATGCAAAAGTGTCTGGGTCTGGAAGAATGCAAGACTTGTCATGCTCGGCTAGCATGACTCTCAAGTCTGTCATGCACGTTACCCAAGAGCGCCGCTTTTCTGTCATACGGAATCGCAGTTTGTCATGCAGGATATTAGACTACACCGACTATGTCAGAAACTTGTCATGCTGGAACGGCAATTGCGGCACCCTAATCATTCGCCAACCAGCATCACAAGTTTCCAGACCCAGACATATTTGCATTTGATAGCCGCCAGGCTACAGCGGAAGGCGGCCACGCGTAGCCGTTGACAAGCAGCCGCTCTTATGCATTGCAAATATGTCACTGGGCCTGGAAGCTTGTGATGCAAGGAAGGGAATAGTGACTGCATTGTAATGCGCTGCCAAGCATTTTTAGCATGACAAGTTTTTCCGTGGTTCTGCGTTGCGTACTCCGCATGAGAAACAGCGTTTTTGCACGACAGGCGAGAGGAGGAGCTCTACTTCCGACGGCCCTACGCAATACAGAGTTCAGAGTCATGCCAGACTGGCATGACAAATCTTGGAATCTCCCAGACCCAGACATATAATTTGATGCATTTCATAGCTCTACCTCGGATTTTTAGGCCGGCACCAGGTCGCTCGCCCTCTCGGCGTATGAATTGCAAACGTCCCTGGATATCTGGAAGAGTGCAAACTTGTGATGCGCATTTCAGAACACAGAAAATTCTCTCATGCATAGGCAGCAAAGGCTGCCCACTTTCTGTTAGCAAAATGGGGGATTTGTCATGCGGATTCGGCATTGCGGAAGCTTCTCGAAACCTGTGATGCTAGAGCCCCCATGCCAGACCTCCTGTGTCATGCAAAAACAGCATAACTCTTCCAGACCCAGACATTTTTGCTTTTGATACGCCGCTTCTCGTGCGACGCGCTAGCGGTAGCGCTCGTGCCCGGCGGGGTGGTCACCAATGATGTAGTATGGATTGCAAAAGTGTCTGGGTCTCCTGGAAGAATGCAACTTGTGATGCTGCATTTGGATTCCAAAAAAATCTGTATTGCATGAGTAGCAAAACGAGTATTATTCTTGCTACAAGCATAGGGCATTTGTCATGCGGAATAGGCATCAAGATGCCCTCAAAAAATATGTGATGCTAGGGCGTGCATCACAGACATCATGGCTCATGCAAGACGTGCATCACAAGCCTCAGAATCTTCCAGACCCAGACATTTTTGCAGTTGATATGTAGTCGCCCAGTTGTTCGTAGCTGCACTCAATATCGTATTTGAAAACGTCCCCACCCCAGCAGAGTTGTAATGCAAATCTGCATGCTCAGAATGTTTCTCATGCGGAGCCCCATGAGAAGCATTTTCTAGTCGTGTTCTGCAATTTGTCATGCTCCAATCTGCATGATCTATTAGCTCTGTGATGCTGCTGAGCTAGCTCAAACAGCATTACGCTAAGAGTCCAAATTTGTCATGCAAAACAGCCAAAGCGTGTGGATTTGTCTAGCCGATTCCCCATCTTGACTATGGGGTATGGACGTTTTTACATAGGATACTCATCTCGAGATCTTCTTGCGGAAGCTCCGCAGCCTTTGATGCAGTAGTTCCGGGATAATTTTTATCGTCAAGATGAACTTCTGTGGCAGAAGTTGGAGCATGATGATCAGTGTTGCCGATAATTATGACAGTGCACAACCCCCCCCCCCTCCCCCTCATTTGTATTGCATGAACAGCAATACAAACGCCATAGAGATAGTTAGACCCTGGAGCTTGCGCATTACAAATTTATGCACCTACAACTGTACTAGTACTGTTTGGGCTTTCGAAATTTGTCATGCAAACGGTGCTACAGGGAAGCGACTGGATTTGGGATTTTACATGACAAATGAGGGGGAGCAGGAGGAGTTGTGCACTGTCATAATAATTATTTCACTGCTACTCCCTATGGCACGAGGACCTGATATATCCTGTGCAAAAGTATCGTACTCGTATAAATGCAAGTCTTGCAAGACAAATCTTGTTCCCAAGGCAAATCTGCATTACAAATTTCATTTCTCATGCTGAGGAAATTTGTAATGCATTTATACGAATACGATACTTTTGCACAGGATATGATACCAGCAGCTCATCCTCGGTGGCAGTTCCGACCACCTCGGGATCTCCTATCAAAAGAAAAAAGTTCGTCACGATCACTCATGGGCATTTTTGCAATACAAAAAAATGCCTGTCATGCGTAAACATGCATCACAGCCAAACTGCACACGGGATTTCACTCCGTGTTTTTGCAATACAAGGAAAACCTGTGATGCTAAAAATTTGTAATGCAAAAGTTCCAAGTTGTTTCCAAGTTAGTGACTGTGACAAACTTTTTTCTCCCCATATCTCCCCACTGCAGAATCAGGTTGGTCACTGATTCCAGAAAGATCGCGCAAAAAATGCCCTGCCAGGCGGAATACTTGTCTGCCTGAAACCTCCAAGAGAGTTCCCTATGCATTGCAAAAGTGTCCGATACAACTCGTATAAATGCATGACAAATTTCCTCCGCATGACAAATGAAATTTGTAATGCGGATTTACCTAAAGAAAAAGATTTGTCATGCATCCCTACAATTACTACGAGTATCAGATTATACTTTTGCACAGGATATTCCCGGCTCCAAAACAACGCCAGATCACACACTCCCCCCTATCAAATGTAAAAATGTCTGGGTCTGGAAGATTCTGAAACTTGTCATGCACGTTTTGCATGGGCCACGATGTCTGTGATGCATGCCCTAGCATCACAGACTTTTTGAGGGCTTCGCGATGCCTATTCCGCATGACAAATGCCCTCTCCGCGTAGCAAAAATTGCACTCCCTTTGCTGCTCATGCAACACAGATTTTTTTGGAATCCAAATTCAGCACCACAAGTTGCATTCTTCCAGACCCAGACATTTTTACATTTGATACCCCCTCAAAGAAGGCAACGTGCAGTGTATTGCGAGGAAAATAAATCCCCCTGCCCCATATTGAAAAGGTACATTTTTGGAAATTTGTGATGCTTATTTGTGGTCACAAATCTTCGTCTCTGTTTTGCTGCAAGGAGGCAAACCCAGAAGACTTCCCGCATTATGCCAGCGGTTTGTGATGCTGTTGGGCCTACGGCATAGACTTTTGTCATGCTGACCGCCTAGGCTAAATAAAACCTCTCCGCGATAGACTTTTGCCATGGGCCTGCAGTCCTCTACTGCAAGATGACAAGGCTGATTTGTGTACGCAAATCCAGCATCAGAAATTTCGCTCTGATATGGGGAGGGGGGATAATTTTTCCTCACAATACAGTAGAAGGGAAAGAAACAGGCCTGCGAGGTCGGCGGCCATTTTTTATCCCACGAACAAACAGTTTCACTGTGGTGATTTTGCAAAATCTGCATCACAAGTTTGTTACGCATGACACGACTGAAAATCTGTCATGCGGAGTTCCTAAGGGAAAACACAGCTAGAATAAATCCATTGTCTTGCATGTGTAGCATGACACACGCTTCTGCGATCCATTTTCTGCATCACAAGCTCACAGTGAAGCAGTTTTTTCTTGCGATATTTTTATGGTGATTCTTGAAGAGGAACTGGCAGCTGCACCAGTGCTATCAAATGTAAAAATGTCTGGGTCTGGAAAACTGCCAGACTTGTCCTGCAGGTTTTCCATGACCCAAGCGGTCTGGTATGTAGGGCATAGCATGACAGACTCCGTGAGAGTTCTATCATGCCTATCCTGCATGAGAAACTGCCTCTCGATGAGGTCAAAAGTGGACAGCTTTTGGTAATCATGCAACACAGACTTGTACGTGATTGAGATTTAGCATGACAAGTTGCTTTGTTCCAGACCCAGACATTTTTACATTTGATAAGTGCTATTTTGCTCCTGCCGCCCCATCAGAGTCGTTATTTTCCGCGAGGAATAGTAATCTTCAAATTGGTCCGCAAGCACCTGCTGCAAATAGCAGGTCGCGTAGGTCATGAGGAAGCCACAGGTGTTATTTTGTGTAAAAACGTCCCCACCCCAGAGTTGTCATGCAAATCTGCATGCTCAAAATGTTTGTCATGCGGAGCCCCATGAGAAGCGGTTTCTGGTCGTGTTTTGGGATTTGTAATGCCTCCAATCAGCATGATATGCTAGATCTGTGATGCTGCTGAACTACCTCAAACAGCACTACACTGCGAGTCCACATTTGTCATGCAAAACAGCCAAAACTTGTGGACTTGTCTAGCCGATTCCCCATCTTGACTATGGGGTGGGGACGTTTTTACATAGGATAGGTGTGCAGCGGCACCACGTAGTACAGCTCCATACCGGATATTACGCTCCCACGATGCACGAACACGCACAGGATATTGTGAGGAAAAATCCCCCCTCCCCGTATCGAAACAGTGTGATTCCGAAAATTTGTGTTGCTTATTTGAGACCACAAGTCACTTCTGTCTTGCAAGAAGACAAGCGCAGAGGCTTCCGCGCCATTATGGAAGCGATTTGGCATGCTGTTGGGCCTAGGGGACAGCCGTGTGCAATGCTAAACAACTAGGCCCAAACGCCCCTACCTAGGCTGAGGATCTGGCTGCGATGCCTTACTGCAAGACAGCGCGCATTTGTGTACGGAAATCCAGCATCAGAAACTTCGTCTCGATATGGGGTGGAGGGATTTTTCCTTTACGATACAGGAGCAGCGGCAGCCAGTTGATCCGCACTAGCATGAGAAGAACGCGCTTCAGCGAGAAGTCTTTTGTATCCAAGACAAAAACTGTGTATAGTGTAACTTTTTTGCAGGAACAGCATCACAGATTTGTTTTGCATGACAGAAAACCTGTCATGCGTAGCTCGTACGCAAAATAGACACGTATTTATCAAAATAGCCTCTGATGCATGTATATCCGGCATGACAAGTGTAACTGTATTGCAATATCTGCAAGACAAAGTTACATTTACACAGTTTTTTTCTTTCATATTTCGTCTTACTGAAGTAGCAGTAGTTCCCGAACCCGGTGAGCCACACGTAGCAAGAAACGAAGACACGGATCTCGTTGTAGACAAAGCGGGCACGGTAGTAGTGGTAGAGAATGAACACCCACTGCATCCATCCTTTCCACTCCTCCGTCTGCTCTCGGCACAGCAGCGTGGTTTTGTACCTGGTTGGGTCTTTTGCCAACGTCCGGCGATTTTTCACACTGGCCATGGTGAGCAGGAGGCATAGGAGACAGCCGGTCCAAAACCCCGTGGGACTCACATTTTTGTTGCGTTGGAAGCTGTACGGCCACTCGTTTCCCACACACGCACAGGCAATTACGAACAGGAGTTTCACCTGTGCCACGGAAAAGGTGCGGACCCACTCTCGCATCGAAAATTGTACTGAAACCGGCTGCACGCCCGCGGCGTTGGGCGGCCCCTTGCAGCTGCCAGAAGCAGCTGGTGTTTGTTGATTCAGCATTTTCATGGATTGAAAAAATGTCTGGGTCTGGAAGATTCTGACACTTGTCAAGCACGTTTTGCATGAGCCCTGATGTCTGTGATGCATGCCCTAGCATCACAGATTTTTTGAGAGCTTCTTGATGCCTATTCCGCATGAAAAATGCCCTCTCCGCGTAGCAAAAATTGCATTCCTTTTGGTACTCATGCAATACAGATTTTTCTGAAATCCAAATGCAGCATCACAAGTTGCATTCTTCCAGACCCAGACATTTTTACATTTGATAATTTTATTTCCAGGTTTTAAGGTCATGATGATAGATACTACGTATTTATTCTTGTCTGGTTATCATGATCTTCAATATCATAGTTCTTGTGCTCACGACCGTAGCTGTAGTACTCCGGCGGCGCCGCGAACCCTGGCAGGAGACCCTGGCTATCGGAAAGGGAAGTAGGAGAAAAGAACGTTATTTCCGACAACATTCGTTGTAGCCGAAGTTGAGACGACCTCCGGTTTGTCCTGTGCAAAAGTGTCGCACTCGTAGTAATTGCAGGCATGCTTTACAAATCTTTTCCTTAAGGTAAGTCCGAGCTACAAACTTTATTTCTCATGCTGAGGAAATCGAAATTTGTTTTTGTAATGCATTTATACGACGACGAGTACGATACTTTTGCACAGCATACGCTTCTTTCCGCGTCCAGTTTTGGCCGGCCGAGCCGCTCGAGGTGGGCATCCTATCAAAATGAAACCTCTACGTGCAGCCCATATCAAAGTGGAGATCTGTGCTGCGGGATTTTTTGTGTACACAAAAAAAAAAATCGAATCTTTCTAGCAATCGATGACTGCACACAGTAGATCCTAAACAGTATGGTTTTAATATTGCATGACAGATCGAAGAGGAGCTCTTCCTCTGGCCACGCAATTCAGAGAAGTTCAGATGAACACAAGAACGGCATCAAACAATTAGTGCTCGTGACGCAATTATATCTCGGACACCCTCGATATTTTTTCGTTGCGTTCCTTCCATCTGTTATCCTATGCGCCAAACCAACCCGAGTAACCCGTTGGACGGCGCCATTGGGGCTGGGTCGAGCGGGTCGAGCCCTCGCTTCCGCAGCAGGGAGCGACCCACTCCACCACCACCAGGCCAACAGGCAAGACCCCCCAGAACCCCACCGCAGGTGGTTGAATGGGGGGAGAGGAGCGCCAGCCCAGCCCCACTTGCCCCAGAGCCACCACTCCGGAGCAATCCATCGCCTGCACGGCAGGCGAGCTCCATGAAACCGCGGAAAAGATCATGACATTCGGAACCGGCAACATAGCGACGACACCAATTCCGCCATAGTAAACACAGCAAAGCCTCAAAGCCCGCAAAACTTGAAAAGTAGCTGCCCTGGGCACAAACCGCCCCAGCGCCTGCAGAGGTCTTCGTGACACAAGAAACGCAAAAGCGTCCGAGCGCCAGCCAGCAAACGCGAGTAACATCTTCGAGAACGTCCCTGCCCGCGGGGTGGGACTGCCCCGTATAACGGACCAAAGGTAGAAGCTGTAGCAACTGGACGCAGAGGCGGAAAAACTGAAAGAGCAGGGGGCCATCCCCGGTAGTGCGTCCCCAGCGAGTCAAGCCAAACAATAACCCAAAGAAGCCCGCAAAAAGGGCACTACTTACTCCCCGATACTGACAAACAACAGAAGACCGAGCAAGAACAGCCGCCCCTTCGCGCCCCCCTTCCGCCTCCACGGTTGCCTAAGTCTCACTCGAGGCACTAGACCTAACAATGCCTGCTGTGGCTAGCGACAAGCAAAGCCATCCCCAAGGAGCGCGAGGCGAACGAGAGCGCTATCGTAGCCCCCAGGGCATGCTACAGGCTAGCGCGCGAGCCCCTTCCCGCCGGTAAGAATCCGTGCGCCGATGATTGTATCGACGCGATAACGAGAGCACACTGTGCTCATACAGACTCCCTGTCATATTCATAGACTAAACTAACACCAGCACCAGGGAACCATCCCGAAGAGCCATCTTCGCCCCACAAGATGCAATAACAATATATAGCCGCGCCACAAAATATTATTGACGAGGAGGATCCTCGGCCCCGCCCTGCTAAGGGAACAGAGGTCGAACAAATTGGACACCAAGAACCCCAGCCGAAGCATGGGAACAAGTTCGCAAGGGTAACGGATTGGGTACCGCCAGTGCCAAACGACCCCTGTTCCCAAAGCAAGGCGAGATCGAGGACAGAAGGCATATCGATATCGTCCAAAGACCACGGGAATAATGCGCCAAACGACGTTTGGACAGTGGCGACCCCGGCCACAAGATGTCATCTTTCCCCAAATTAAATGCTCGCAAAACTACTCCCCGCGGGAATTGGCCTTGTAGCAAAACACCGCGACCCCGCCTCCGTTGAGGCCGCCCTCATGGCGAGCATGCGCAAACCTGTCCCCGCAGGCTGGGACTGCCCTTCCGGCAGATGCCTCGCACTCTAGCGAAGCTTCGGCGAACGCCAACTGTCCCCACTGGGACTGCCCTCTAGGCAATGCTCCACACTCAAGCGAAGCATCGGCAAACGCAAACTGTCCCCGCTGGGACTGCCCTCTAGGCATCAACCAATTAGTGCACAAGAACGGCATCAAACAATTAGTGCTCGTGACGCAATTATATCTCGACCACCCTCGATATTTTTTAATATTCGCGAACAGCAAAAGTTCTGCTTACGAAACAACGCAATCCTCTCGAACGCGCCAGGGATGCTTTTTGTCCATCAAATTGACAAAAGGCCAGCGCCGATTCACAAAGCCGTAAAGCGCTGCAGCGCCTCCCATGCTGTCTCTAGTACTTTGTCCAGCAACGAATCCGCATGGGGTCCAGCTGGGCGTCGTGCTGCCGCTGCGATTATCATCTTCGCCACTAGCAACTTGCCAGGTCGCAAGGAATTCGGGCTCCTTCGCAAAGAAAGTGCGAGCTTGTCGAGCTTCTTCTTCCTCTTGCTCAGCAAGCACGTCATCGCTAGGAGTTCCTCTTGTGCCATAAGTGGTTCTTTCTCCTCGTCGCATGATCCTTTTTTGCTCACCTTCCACTCCCTTCGATGTCAACGGTTGTTTTGGCATCCCTAGCACGACTACCCGTTTGACGGACTCTCTGTGGGGCCTTGAAAACAACAATTCTGGTCGTGTGCCGCGCTTGTTCAGCACTTGCTCTGACGTGCCACCTACTTTGAGCTGTTCTAACCGCTGGTTCTCGTTGGTAAGGATAACCAAACTCCAAGTATGCCAGGAAAAAAGTGTTACAGTTACACATTTGTAAACCCTAAACCCAGGAAATTTACTCAGGATACGCTGTAGAAACAAAAAATGGCAAATCACATCAAATTTTTATGGGCAAAAGAAAGTAGTTTTGTGGAGGTGCACGCACTTCGCCTGTTTCTCTTGGTCATGCACAGCGCCTCTGCTCTTCGTCGCCAGTGTCCCCCGCCAGGCCTAGTCTTTTCCAGGATTCATGGGTAGTATTTTTCTAGAATTATTCCGGGAAGCGTCGTTCGGCAACGGACAGCAGTAACCCCGCCCCCGCATTCAATTCTGGAAGCGCCCACCGATCTTCTTATTGTCCCTCTACAGCTGGGCAATGAGAATGCGGACCTGCGAACAGTCGGGTGCTTCCGGAGGGTGTCGAAGTGGGGGGGTGAAGGGGGTCGGCAGGGGCTTTCGCTAGGCTACCATTTCCGTACACCTCAAATCCGCAGTTTCTAATGGGGTTTAGGGGGTTACTTTAGGCCGTACAAAAATCGGCGAGAGGAGGTGCTTGGAAGGGGCGGCGGAATGGGGCAAAAACGCACCCCCCTGAGCACCCCCCCTTGCCGGGTCTCCTTCTCCCAGCGCCGGGCCTTGTCGGGCTCCAGTCCCGGAGGCGGCCCGACCTTTTTTCGATAGGCTGGCCTATCAAACATCGCCGGGCGGTCTGAGCGACAATGCACAGCACGAAGGCGCTGCCGCATCTTTCAGGTCTTGTTCTTGAGGCCCTTCGAAAGTCGAGCTACTGTGTTTCTCGTGGAGCAGACGAAGGGACGGGCTACGCGTGCCGACTTTCAAGAAGTTAAGTCCTCCACAAAGAAAGGCTTTCGACCCCCCACAAGGGTGCGCCTAAAAAATTGATGTGATTTGCCAATTTTCCCGCCCTAATCATGCCCAGCAGGGGCTCGTCTCGTCGTCGTCACCGTCGCGTCTCCCTGGTTGGGTCTTATGAAATCCACGTCTGTAGTCCTCGTTGAACCTTGTTGAAGAGCCACCTGTGCAAAAGCATCGTACACGTAGTAATTGCTGTTATGCATGACAAATCTCATTCCTAAGTTAATAAAACAGCATTACAAATTTCATTTGTAATGCAATTTATTCTAGTACGATGCTGTTGCATTCGATACAGCTGGGCGTCGCCCCGCTGCGGTTATCATCTTCGCCACTAGCGATGTGCTATGAACTGCAAAAGTATCGCACTCGTATATATAAATGCATTACAAATTTCCTCAGCATAAGCAATAAAATTTGCAATGCGGATTTACCTTAAGAAAAAGATTTGTAATGCATGACTGCAATGCGAGTGCGATACTTTTGCACAGGATACGTGCCAGGTCGCAAGGAATCCCGGCTCCTTCGCAAAGAAAGTGCGAGCTTGTCGAGCTTCTTCTTCCTCGTCTTCAGCAAGCACGTCATCGCTAGGAGTTATCAACTGCAAATATCCCTGGATGTCTGGAAACTTGTAATGCTGAACTGTGAATAATGAATGCTCTGTAGTAATGCACAGCCAAGCATGAGAAATATTTGCGCGGCTTTGTGTTGCGTTTCTCGCGTGACAAACTGCGTTTTTGCATGACAAACGAGAACGTCTTTTCTTGGACACGCATCACAAACTCTTTACTCATGCCAGACAAGCATGACAGACCTTACCTCCTTCCAGACATCCAGGGAAGATGTTTGCATTTGATAGGAGTTCCTCTTGTGCCGTCGTTGTGTCCTCCTCGTCGCATGATCCTTTTTTGCTCACCTTCCACACCTATCAAATGTAAAAATGTCTGGGTCTGGAAGGTTGCCAGGTTTGCGACGCATATTTTGCATGACCCAGGATGTCTGTAATGCATTACCTAGCATCACAGATTTTTAATAAGGGGCCTTCTGATGCGTATTCCGCATGAGAAACGCCCACTCCGCGTAGCACAAACTGAACTCCTCTCGCTGGTCATGCAATAAAGATCTTTTTTACCTTCCAAAGACAGCATCACAAGTTGCAACCTTCCAGACCCAGACATGTTTGCATTTGATAACACCCTTTGATGTCATCGGTCGTTTTGGCATCACGAGCACGATATCCTGTGCAAAAGTATCGTACTCGTAGTAATCGCAGTCATGCATTACAAATCTCCATCCCAAGGTAAATCAGCATGACAAATTGTATTTCTCATGCTGCGCTAATTTGTCATGGGATTCATACTAGTACGATGCTTTTGCAATTCATACACGACCGCCCGTTTGACGGACTCTCTAGGTGGCCTTGTTGAAAACAACAATTCTGGTCGTGCGCCGCGCTTCTTCAGCACTTGCTTTGACGTACCACCTACTTTGAGCCGTTCTAACCGCTGCTCCTCGTTGGTAAGGATAACCAAACTCCAAGTATGCCAGGAAAAAAGTGTTACAGTTACACATTTGTAGTCAATTCAGCAACACAAATTTCTCGGCATGAGAGAGAAAACTTGTCATGCAGAAATCCTACGGGAAAACACCTATGAAACGAGGCTTCTATGCGTATCCGGCATGACAGAGCTGGTTTGTCTTGCTTGGCCTGCAACACAATGTGTAAGTAACTGTTGTAACACTTTTTTCTTGGGATACCAAGGCTCTACTTCAGCGTTGTCCACGTCGGTAGTCCTCGTTGAACCTTGTTGAAGAGCCACCTCGCCTGTGTAGAAACAAGCGAATTCTGCCTGGCTGAGTTGTTCTGGAAAAAGCAATATGAAAAGCAAAAGCATCGGACTTCTACGTATAAATTGCATAAATACAAATTTCCTTAGCTGCATGACAGACGAAATTTGTAATGCTGTTTTAGCTAAGGAAGGCGATTTGTCATGCATGTCTGCAAGTAGTACGAGTAACTGATACTTTTGCACAGTCGATAAGCAAGCGAAGTAGCTGCTGGGCGATGAAAGAGTAAGAAGCTACCGATATCAAAATGAAAAATCCCCCCTCCCCATATCGAAAGGAAATGTCTGACGCTGGATTTGAGTACACAAATCAGGTTTGTATTGCAGGAAAGCATTGCAGTCAGATCCCCAGGCTAGGTAGGGGCGTATGCGTCTAGTTGTTCAGCATGGCAAGCGGCTCCCCTTTAGACCCAGCAGCATGACAAATCGCTTCCATAGTGGGGCGGAAGCTTCTGCCCTTGTCTTCTTGCAATACAAATGCGATTTGAGACCTCAAATCAGCAGCACAAATTTTCGGAAACATACCTTTTCGATATGGGGAGGGGGGATTTTTGCTTTTGATAACCGACCGCCGTGGCCGACCACGCCGGGCGGTGAAATTTATTCCTTGAAGATCTACCTCATCATGCCCAGCAGGGGCTCGTCTCGTCGTCGTCACCGTCGCGTCTCCCTGGTTGGGTCTTATGAAATCCACGTCGGTAGTCCTCGTTGAACCTTGTTGAAGAGCCAAACTCCAAGGCTCTGCAGTATGGAGTTCTGAAATGTTACATTCTCAACAGGTACGCGACTTTGTAATGCAAGAACGGCAAAAGTGAAAGGGGGAAGATTGCTCCTTTTGCATTACAAATTCCGCACATATTTACATGCTCTTTAGCCCTCCGGAAATTTGTCATGCGTAGCCGCTTGATTATGTAGCGGCTTCAGCTAGTTTTGCATGACAAATCCATGTAACCGTTCGAGAGTGTAACATTTGAGAACGCCATATGCAGCGTTGTCCACGTCTGTAGTCCTCGTTGAACCTTGTTGAAGAGCCACCTCGCCGCTGTATCAAATTTAAAAATGTCTGGGTCTGGAAGAATGCAACTTGTCATGCTGATTTTGGACTCTAAAAAAATTTGTATTGCATGACCAGAAAGAGAGGTCCGGTTTGTGTTACACGGAGAGGGCATTTCTCATGCGAAAGGTGCATCAGGAAGCCCTCTAAAAGTCTGTGATGCTAGGTCATGCATTACAGGCATCGTGGATCATGAGAAATATGCATGACAAACCTGGCAATCTTCCAGACCCAGACATTTTTACAGTTGATACGCTGTAGAAACAAGCGAATTCTGCCTGGCTGAGTTGTTCTGGAAAAAGCAATATGAAAAGCAAAAGCATCGGACTTCCACGTATAAATTGCATAAATACAAATTTCCTTAGCTGCATGACAGACGAAATTTGTAATGCTGTTTTAGCTAAGGAAGGCGATTTGTCATGCATGTCTGCAAGTAGTACGAGTAACTGATACTTTTGCACAGTCGATAAGCAAGCGAAGTAGCTGCTGGGCGATGAAAGAGTAAGAAGCTACCGATATCAAAATGAAAAATCCCCCCTCCCCATATCGAAAGGAAATGTCTGACGCTGGATTTGAGTACACAAATCAGGTTTGTATTGCAGGAAAGCATTGCAGTCAGATCCCCAGGCTAGGTAGGGGCGTATGCGTCTAGTTGTTCAGCATGGCAAGCGGCTCCCCTTTAGACCCAGCAGCATGACAAATCGCTTCCATAGTGGGGCGGAAGCTTCTGCCCTTGTCTTCTTGCAATACAAATGCGATTTGAGACCTCAAATCAGCAGCACAAATTTTCGGAAACATACCTTTTCGATATGGGGAGGGGGGATTTTTGCTTTTGATAACCGACCGCCGTGGCCGACCACGCCGGGCGGTGAAATTTATTCCTTGAAGATCTACCTCATCATGCCCAGCAGGGGCTCGTCTCGTCGTCGTCACCGTCGCGTCTTCCTCCTGTGCTTCGCATGATCCCTCCACCATTTTGAAGGGATGAGCTGGACGGTACCACACGTGCTCTACTATGGCGCCTACTAGTTCCACCAGAACAAAATACTCCACCGACAAAAACGGGAAGTACTCCGTCAGTGAAAAGGTCGTGAGAGCCCAGTGGTGCGGTGTGGCCAGATTGGTAAGGAAAAGAGGAGGAGCCGGCTGCAGGAGTTGTTGCGCATAATTTTCAACGGAGTTGTGCCCTATTTTAAAACTTTGTGTAGTAGAAGCGTTCACCAGCATCTTCACGTTCTCATTGGCCCCCTCGTCGACTTCATCTGCGCGGAAACCATAAAAGCTGCCACGAGTTGTAATTGTAGGCCGCACAGCTGCAGGCTCGAACTGAGTATCAAATGCAAAAATGTTGTCTGGGTCCGGAAGAATGCAAGGTCTGTCATGCATATTTCTCATGACCCCTGATGCCTGTAATGCATGACCTAGCATCGCAGACTTTTAGAGGGCTTTCAGATGCACCTTCCGCGTGAGAAATGCCCTGTCCGTGTAGCACAGATTGTACCCCTCTTGCTGGTCATGCAATACAAATTCTTTTCGAGTCCAAAAACAGCATGACAAGTTGCTTTGTTCCAGACCCAGACATTTTTGCAGTTGATAGAGAGGTGCCAGCGCTAGCGTCGCGGTTTGGTTTCTCAAAGCCCTTGTTCGGAGAAAGCTTTGCAATCTTAACACTGATAACAGGCTGCTGTGTAATTGACCACGGCTTGTCCAGAAGTCGGTACTTGGTGAACGAGGAGAAACCTCGATGCGCCACGGGACAGCTATACTACCGTCACGCCCAACATGTTGATCATAGCATATCCAGGAAAAAACTGTGTAAGTGTAACTCTGTAGCGAGAATAGCATCACAACTCGCTTTGCATTGCAGGGAAAACCTGTCATGCGCAGCTAGCACGTGGAAACACGTGTGAAAGTAGCCTCTGACGCAGACCCAGCATGACAAGTGTAACAGTTTTGCACTTTCTGCATCACAGACTTACACTCACATAGTTTGTTTTTTCTTGCATATAGCAGGCGGCGCCGTTACTTTCCTCGCTGGCCGGTGCACAGGAGCCCTGCGGGCGAAGTGCTGGATGCACAACAGCAATCATGGAAGAGGCCACGGGGAATATTTTTGAACGCAGTGCCTCATTTATATTTTCATCCTCCGTCGCAGACGCCGGATCATTGGCTACTTCTTCCCCTTCCAGCTGGCCGCAGTGTGGAAAAGTTACGCTGCGCAGTATCGTGAGGCAAGCGACTTTGCTGAGTCCAGCGGACACCGCACGGTCGCACTTTGAAGGCAGGCTGCTGCAAGACGAGAGCGAAGGCATTATAACATGATTCTGTGGTCCTGGTCTTCCTGCTGCTCGATCTTCATACTCCTCGACAAAAACTCTTTCAACTGCAGACCTGACAAAGCGAGGGACTCCGGCACAGCAATGTCGCTGTGGTAGAGACGGTCCACGTATATCAAATGTAAAAATGTCTGGGTCTGGAAACTTGTGATGCTGGGTGGCGTATCATGAGGAGGCCACAAGTGCTGGCTCAGCATGACAAGTTTCTGAGCTTCTAGGTGATGCCTATTCTGCATGACAGACTGCGTTTCTGCATGACAGAAAAACTGTGCTCTTGGGTAAGTAACGTGCATGACAGATTTGAGAGTCATGCCAGACAAGCATGACAAAAGTGCTCTCTTCCAGACCCAGACATTTTTACATTTGATAACGTATTCCAGGCGCTGAATGATTTTTCCATCTGGTTTATGATTTCTTGCTGCAGGTGGTTGTACATCATCTATCCAAGAAAAAAACTGTGTTAGTGTAACTTTCTTTGGTTGCCAGCATCACAAATTTGCTCTACATGACAGAGAAAATCTGTTATGCACGGCTTGTAAGGGAAAACACACATGAAAAGAGGACATCATGGCTGTCTGGCATGACAGGCGTAACTCTGTTGCATATTCTGCATTACAGAGTTACACTTACACAGTTTTTTTCTTGCATATCATCAACTACTTGTTCATTCTTGAGTTCAGAGATTAAACTTTCCGGTTCTCGTGCGGCATCTTCCGTTCTTGTTCTTCCGCACTTTGAAAACACATACCCGGGCCAGTAGGGCGAAAATCTCCGAACGCCGCGTCCGTCGCGAAACAACCGCCGGCCGCGCACAAGTTTATTGAAGAAGCCAGAGGCTTGCACTAAACTGTTGTGCAGTCGTGCTCTCCTTTTCTCGGCGGCCTTTACTTCATGCTTGGCCGGTGTCCGTTCTTCTTCTTCGAGAGCAGTGCTGTGCTCCGTGGTCACCATCTCACGTCCTGAGGAACTGACTGTTCTTTCATCTGCTCTCTGCGTAAGAGCCGAAAGGGTTGAAGACCCGCGGTGGGCCGACGGAGTTGCATTCCTCGCCCCGCCCGGGAAAAAATGTTGAAGTCTACTTGTGGCGAAATGTGGGGGGTCTGGGTCTCCAGGCAAATCCCCGGCAAAGGGGTTAATGCCGTTGAAAGTGGTGGTCGCATCTTCTTGCCCGTGCGTGTCGTTTATCCTGTGGAAAATAAACGTCCCCACACCATAGTCAAGATGGGAAATCTGCTAGACAAATCAGCCAGCTTTGGTTGTTTCGCATGACAGTTTTCCCCTCATTATAGTTGTGTAGTCCTGTTTAGCTAGTTCAGCAGCATCACAGATCTAGCACATAATGCTGATTCTAGCATGACAAATTCCAAAACTGGACTAGAAAATGCTTTTCATGGGGCTCCGCATGAGAAACTTTTTCGGCATGCAGATTTGCATTGCAACTCTAGGGTGAACAAGACGTCTTTTCTCAGGATATCGTTTGTTGCTTGTTTAGTACTTCTTTCATCATGCGACAGTTGTAGTTTTCGTAGTCCGTGATACAGAAAATAATGGTGGCGGTAGACGAGATTATCGAACTCGAAAACTTGGTACCGAGCGACCTTCAGCTCCAAAAGGGCCAGCCGGGAGAAAACCGTTCCGTGGTTTATAACGCGCTCAGCTGTTACAATCTCAACTGTTACAATAGAATATGGAAATCTGTGATGCAGAATTGCTTGATCTAGCAAACTCTTGTAGGATTGCGCATGACAAGTTCCGGAGCCCCAAACCCCACTACAATCTGGCGAAATTTGTATTGCAGAAAGTAGAACGCTCTGCGAGTCTGTCATGTTGATCATGCAAGACAAATCTCAGATTCTATTGTAACGTTTGAGATTGTAACGTTTGAGCGGGTCATATGGTTCGCGGTCCAGGAGGAAAATTTGCCGGCGAAAAGGTCATATGAATGGCAAAAGTATCGTACTCGTAGAAACGCATTACAAATTCAATCAGCATGAGAAAAAAACTTTGTAATGCGGATTTACCTCAAGCGAAAGATTTGTAATGCATAACTGCAATGGATTAGTACGACTACGAGTACGATACAGATTTTGCAGTTCATAGGTCGGAGAAAAAGTTGGAGACAAATTTCTTCATTTTGTCCCACGACGCCAATAAGTAGGTGTCTGGCACGCCCACCCAGGCCCGCTCAAAACGAGACGGCGGGCCCGTGGCCGGAAAAATTTCCAGTTGCGGCAGTTCCTTTTCGTGGTCCTCTATTAGTTGTGCGGAAGTGTGTCGTTCTGGTAGTTCTTCTTGCAGGGGAACAGCGTCACCTTCTGAAGCAGAGTTCGTCTTTCTGCGACCACTAGTACTGCTGGTCCACTTTGAGTCAAAGTCGCACCAGTTTGAGACGTAGAAAAACTCCTTGGACAAATGACTCAATATGCTCTACTGCAAAAGTAGTATCGCACTCATCGCAATTGCTGTTATGCATGAAAAATCTCCTTAGTAAGCAGGTAAAACGGCATAAATACAAATTTCATTTGTATTTGTAAATGCTCGTCAGCCAATTTGTGATGCAATGACTCCTAGTATGTTGCTCTTGCAGTTCATACTCAACCGGAAAGGGCGATAAAAAACCTGATCGAATCGCGTCGCCAGCACAAAATCGTAGTAGTCTTGGCGGCTACTGGATGCTGTTGTAGTTGCAAACCCTGGTGGTCGTGCCAGAACACTACCTGGCTCATCATCTTGCAGGTCCATCTTCTTCTTCTTCATTATGTGCCTTTCCATCATGGCCACCCCTCTTGCCAGCGAGATGATCTGACCCGGACGCATGTAGTTTTCCAGAAGCATAAACCGGTCCAGCAGGGTCTGCATTGCAAATATGTCTGGGCCGGGAAGGATGCGAACTTGTGATGCGCATTTCACAACACACGCGAATCTCTCATGCATAGGCAGCGAAATCTGTAATTCTAAAGCTTCCATGACAGACCTTCTGTGTCATGCAAAATGAGCATGACAAAAATCTGCGTTCTTCCAGACCCAGACAAATTTGCATTTGATACAGGGGACTGTGCACTTTTTTCCGCCCAAGATACTCCCGCGGATAGGGCGCGACAGAGATATCAACCAGATTGATCATGCTGGAATTATAGTTTTTCCCGGAGGAGGTGGCCGCGGCGGCCTTCGAGCTCGATAGAACAACTTTGGGGTTCCCTTGTTCATCGTCCTGCTCATGATCAGCCCCCTTCGGAGGTTGTTGTAGAAATGCCTCCGAGAAGATCTGCCGCAAAAGTCCCTCCGTCGCAGCTGATGTCCCGTTCAACATCTTCGGAGCTGTGGCTGTGGTGCTGCCGTTGTGTGCAGTTTCCTCTGTCATCCAGGCTGGCAGAGCCCCACTTGATGGAGTTGGGTAGTCTTTGAATATTTTCGCCGAGGTTATTGACGTTGACTCCCAGCTTATCAAATGTAAAAATGTCTGGGTCTGGAAAATTTTGAGACTTGTCATGCACGTTTTGCATGAGCCATGACGTCTGTGATGCGTGCCTTAGCATCACAGATTTTTTGAGGGCTTCTTGATGCCTATTCCGCATGAGAAATGCCCTCTCCGCGTAGCAAAAATTAAATTCCCTTTGCTGCTCAAGCAATACAGATTTTTTTGGAATCGAAAGGCAGCATCACAAGTTGCATTCTTCCAGACCCAGACATTTTTACATTTGATACAGCTCCACGTCGAGGCAAAAATGTCAAATGCGAAGTCTTCCTATGCATTGCAAATATGTCTGGGTCTGGAAGGTTAGAACTTGTGATGCTAACTGTGGACTCTAAAAAATTATGTATTGCATGACCAGCAAGAGGAGCCTAGTTTGTACTACGCGAGGAGGGCATTTGTCATGCGGGATAGGCATCAGGAAGGCCTCTAAAAATATGTCCTGCTAGATCATGCATTACAGACATCCTGAGTCACGCAAAATATGCATGACAAACCTGGCAACCTCCCAGACCCAGACACTTTTGCATTTGATACTTCCTGGTTTGGCTCGATTACAAAGCGCCGGACGCGCCTTGCAACATCGCGCAACATGCCAGGGGTTAACGCGAGACCGCGGAGACCATCCGGGTCCGGCGCCTCCTTGAGCACAAGGTGGAAAAGACCATGAAATAGCACCGCCACACGAGGCCGCGGACGAGGCGGCCCCATGCTGCCGCGGATGTTGGAGTTTTTTACTAGTACTACACTTCGATTGATTTTTTGCTATAGATCCCAAGAAGTAGAACCCAAACCGCGAGAGAATAAGCTAAGGAGTATTTTTTACGGGAGGATCGTGGCGGTGGTCGTGCTTTCTGGACGAGAATCTTTACTTCGTTGCCATGCTGGACGAGGAAGAGGAGCTTGTTGCCCACGCCCTCTGAATAGTATTACAAATAAAACGAGCGGCAGCTGCTAGGACATTCGATAGGACATCATGATCAAAAGTGGGTAAGCCTATGTATCTATAATTGTTGGATCTTGGAGACCGAGACGGAACACGGCGCAGAAACATCAAAATAAAGGGATTTTTCGTTAATAAGTGCGACAGGAGATGAACGATGCAAATGCTCGTATAAATTCTTCCGTGCTGTTCTTCTTCTTTCCTCAGCCCAAAAACCATCAAAGCATTCCCATCCAATCTTGATCCAGGGTGTCTCGAAGGAGTACACTGTTGACGCCTCTCCAAGTTTCGTAGTGTGCGATCATGCCCCGACTAGCATCGCGCAGGTACTTGTAGTCGCTGGCAACCCCTCGCGGGCCCAGCAGCTCCTCTACAAGAATACAGAGTTGCACAATGCTGTCCCAGCGGAAAAGATAGGGGAGCTGCTCGTAGATGGCCGAGTGCTGAAAGTAATCGTAGGCGACCTTGCGCTATGCACTGCAAAAGTATCGCACTCGTACTAATTGCTTTTATGCATTACAAATCTCTCTCGGTCTCGTAAGGTAACTCCAAATTACAAATTTCATTTCTACAAATGCTGAGGAGATTTGTCATGCAATTTATACTAGTTTTACGATGCTTTTGCTGCAATTCATATGCGTGACCGCGCCTCTACCTCGGGCATCAACTGCCACCCGGACTCGAACCAGGGTCCCGGGTCGATCCCGTTGACGCCGTACACGGTGGCACCGGACGGCGCTTCCATGTGCATCTGAAACATCCATCGCTTCGTCGGCACCAACAGCGGGACCGCGATACGGTAAAACTCCACCAACGCGCGCCCCATCATTTCCGTACCGGAATCAATGATAAGTGCGTAATCTTTCGTGATGGACTCGAAGGTGTAAAAATCCAAATTCTATCAAGTGCAAATATATCTGGGTCTGGAACTTGTCGCGCACATTTTGCATGACCCATGATGTTTTTGATGCATGCCCTAGCATTACAGGCTTTTTTGCGGCTTTCTGATGGCGGGTATAGATACTGCACGACAAATGCCCTCTCCTCGTAACACAAAGTCGACTCCTCTTGCTGGTCATGCAACACAGATCTGTTTAGAATCCGAAATAAACACCATCAGAAGTTGCATCCTTCCAGACCCAGACATATTCACAATGCATAAATTCACCCCTACATGGTCCACCTGGATTCTGGGTGCGTCGAGTGCGGCAGCCGTTCTACTTTGATGTGCGCCGCCGGCGGGGGAGTCGGACGGGGATGAAGATGAAGATGCAGCAGCTCCCTGCAGACTACTTGCACTAGAAGTAGAAGACTCAACCGCCTTATCGCCTTCGTTCAGTAGCAAGCCCCGTTCTAAAATGCTTCTGACCCCCTGGAAATAGCTGTTGCCGACGATGTTGAAGAGACTGGAAAACCGGCTGCGGGCGATCAGCACTTTCTGTTTGTTCTCAGCCGTGCGCGCCAGCAGGGCTTCGTTCGCGTTCCATATTCGCGACCGCGGAATGTAAAGTGCCATGGGGGTGATCACCTCGAATATGCAAGAAAAAAACTGTGTGAGTGTAGCTGTCTTAAAGTGACAGCATGACAAATTCGCTCTGCATGACAGAAAGAACCTGTCATGCGCAGCTAGTACTGGAATTGGAAAACAGGACTTCACGGCTGGCCAGCATGACAGGTGTATCTGTGTTGCATGCTTTGCATTGCAGACTTACACCTACACAATACAGTTTTTTTCTTGGATATCGGGCAGCCGGAACAAGCTTGCGTACTCGCGGAGAATATCCCCTGCGGTGGCGTTCTGAAGGTTCTTTTCCTGCTCCGGTTTGATCACGTGGGTCTCGTTGTGCGCGTCCACGACTGTTTTCACCGTCGTCCACTCTTCTTCAAACAGTTCTTTGCGCAGAATGGTTCCCTTCAACGACTCTGCGCCCTTGAACACCGCACTGAACCAGGGACGCAGGTGCCCGTCGAACGCAAATGCGAACCAGGAGTGCTGGAATTTTTGGGCCACTTGTTCCGAAGACTTCGCCGCGAGGACCTTCGGGTTGCCGAAGCCGTTGCAATTCTCGAACAGTAGGTCCTGGGACCAAATCAGCCATTCCAGCGCCTGGTTGCTATTGTACCCGGCCAGCCGCAAGTGCAACCCCTGCAGGTGCTCGTTTGCGATGCCGGGAGCCCCGTACAAAAGTTGCGCGCCGAAGTGCAGGAAGAGCCGCTTCTTCTCCAGCGGGTTCGGCAGCTTCTGGTTGATCAACAGCAGCGCCTGCGCCAAGAACAGACAAGGCACCACGGGGTGCGCGCACAGCCACAAGTCAGGGAAGTCAAGTGCTGCGCCTTGTTCTTTCCTTGATGAAGTTGTTGACGCAGTAGAACTACCTGTGGACGAGGCCGCCAGTCCGTCCACCAAGTCCGAAAAATTGTCGAATCCGAACTGTTATCCTGTGCAAAAGTATCGTACTCGTAGCAATTGCAGTCATGCGTATACAAATCTCCTTTCCAAGGTAAAACAGCATGGCAAATTCAGTATTTTCATACTGAAAAAAATTGTAATGCAGTTTATACAAGTACGATACAATACTTTTGCAATGCATAACTGTTTCGCCAAGATGTGCTGGAACCACTCCAGCATCATGGGCAGGTCGTAGCTCTGCTCTTCCCGGCTTCCACCCTTCGTGTGCCCGTCGGACTTCTCGTTTCGGTACAGCTTCTGCAAGATTTCGGAGGCGATCAAGTCCGACGCACGGTCGCGGTCACAGTATGGCGTTCTCAATTGTTACATTCTCAAATGTTACAGGAATTTGTGATGCAAGAATAGGAACAGCAAAAGACGGGAGCTTGCACCTCTCGCATTACAAATTTGGCACAGATAATGGTGCTGTTTAGCCCTTCAAAAATTTGTCATGCAAAGCAGCTTCATCGTGTGGATGCTGATTTGCATTTTGTATGACAAATCATCATCATGTAATAGCTGAGAGTGTAACGTTTGAGAGCTCCATACACAGGAGGACGGCGCGAGGTTGCACAGCAGCTGGCAGTGCCAATGCTGGAACCCGTCGCAGAACGACCCGAAAAAAGAAAACTCTATCTTCCGCGTCCAATCCTTTTCCTTCCAATACAGCTGCTCGAACAGACTGGTTTCCTCTAGCGCCCCGGTCGTGTGGTCCCCGAGCACCGCTACTTTTAACGTCGTTGGCAGATGACTTTCTAGACCCGATTTGGCGCTGTCAGATGTTGAGCCACTAGCTTGTTCGCCGTTGTTGTTGTGCAGCTGGATAAGGTTTCCATTTTCCTTGCTCGGAGTACTCCCACCGCCTACTCCGGTGAGCAAGTAGTACGGCGGCCATGTGAGCCCCGCTTCCAAGTCCTGTCCCAGTTTTATCACAGGAAAAAAGTGCTACAGTTACACACTTGTTGGAGTTTCTGCATCACAAATTTTCTCTGTGTGGCAGAGGCAACTTGTAAATGCAAAGATCATAAGGGAATACACGCGGGAATCGAGGCTCCAAAGCATTTCCTGCATGACAAAAGGTTGTCTGCCTTGCCGGTCCTGCAACACAATGTGTAACTGTAACACTTTTTTCTTTGCATAAGTTTGTGAAAGGAATTACTCGTCGCACCAGCTTCGCTGTTTGCCAGCGCCTCGATGTTGCCGAAACTGGGGTCGGTCAAAATCCTGCACTCGCTGTCTTCGTACTGCAAAAGCCACCGGTAGAGGGGTGCTTCCTCGTTGTAACTCGGTTCCTGCTGCCCCGCAAGCACGGCGTTGTAACGCTGGCGCTGGGCACTGTCGAGACACCAGAACGTCTTCAAAACGTCTATGCTCTGCAAAAGTATCGCACTTCTCGTAATTGCTGCTATGCATGACAAATCTCCTTCCTAAAGCAAAACAGCATTAGAGTTTTCATGTGTAATGCTGAGCAAATTTGTAATGCAACTACCACTAGAAGTACAATGCGTTTGCAATGCATAACGTCCTTCCCCGCTTGAATTTTCGTTTCCTCCAGCCGCCTGCTCGTGCGAATGCTATCAAATGCAAAAATGTCTGGGTCTGGAAGGATGCAACTTGTAATGCTATTTTTGGATTCTAAAAAAATGTGTGTTGCATGGCAGGCAATACGAGTCCAGTTTTTGCGACGTGGAAAGAGGGCATTTCTCATGCAGGATATGCATCAAGAAGCACTCAGAAAATCTGTGATGCTAGGGCATACATCACAGCCTTCATGGGACATGTCAGATGTGCATGACAAATCTTCCAATCTTCCAGACCCAGACATTTTTGCACTTGATAAATGCGGGAGTGAAGCCACTGGTGTCGCTTCCGCTCGTATCAATTGCAAAGATGTCTGGGTCTGGAAGATTCTGAGACTTGTCATACACGTTTTGCATGAGCCATGACGTCTGTGATGCGTGTCCTAGCATCACAGACTTTTTGAGGGCTTCTTGATGCCTACTCCGCATGACAAATGCCCTCTGTCTCAGCGTAGCAAAAGTTAGGATCCTTTTGCTGCTCATGCAATGCAAATTCTTTTGGAATCCAAATGCAGCATCACAAGGTGCATTCTTCCAGACCCGGACATATTTGCAATCCATAGCTCGGCGTCGTCGAGCAGGACCTTGTCGAAGTCAAAGGTGTATGCATTGCAAAAGTGTCTGGGTCTGGAAGAATGCAAGCTTGTCATGCTTGTCTCACATGACTCTTAAATTTGTCATGCACAGTACCCAAGAGCCCCATTTTTCTGTCATGCAGAAACGCAGTTTGTCATGCAGAATAGGCAACACCTAGAAGCTCCGAAACTTGTCATGCTGAGCCAGCACTTGTGGCCTCTTCGTGATACGCCACCCAGCATCACAAGTTTCCAGACATCCAGGGATATCTGCATTTCATAAGGTGAGCAGGTTGCTCGTGTAGGCGCAAGCGAGCGCGGCGTCGCGCGCCGGCGGGTCCATGTGGTAGTGCGTGTCCGTCTCTATCATGGACCACTTGTCGCCGTCCATCCAGTCCAGGTGGGTCAGATACTGCTGCGCCCCCTCCCTTGCCAATTCCATGCCGGTTTTCGCATCGGCAGAGAAAGTCAATCGCCCAAAGGGCGCGTCCACGTTGCACCCGTCGTCCCGGCCGCCACGCGCGTGTCGGATCAGTTGCTCCTCCGCAAAGAACAGATGAAAATAAACTAGCGGCGCTGCAACCGACGGCGATGGTGGAAATATTAAACTTCTCCGCCTCTTTCGTAGTTTCCTCGTGAGTGGCATTTTTTGTGTTGTTGCGCGGTCGAAAATAATTGTGGAAAAGAAGAAAAACTGCGCCGTCGGTGGAGTAGGGGTAGACATTGATACTGCCTAAGTGAAATCCAAGTCTGAAACAACAGGCAAGAAACGCTGCTCGGCACCAAAACAAAGGGGACCAAGGCGGCAAAAAAAAAACTCAGACCTCTGAAAAGCTTACTGAAATATGTAAGCTGCAAAACGATGACAACGACAAACGGTCTAGATATGATCTCTATCTTTTCTGTGCCACGAAAGCAGAGCCTACGGACCGAATAACTTATTAGGTCGCAAAGCCGGGACCGGCTGCTGAAACGCGACCACAAGCCAAAAAAAATTTTACATGAAGATTTCTTACCGATCTTGGAAAGAACCACCAAGAGGGATGTTGAAAATAAGTCCTGCTTGCGCGCTCTGTGTTGACCAGTGAGAAGGGTCTTGGGATCTATGCAGAGATGACACCGAAGAGCATTCTATTGTACTGTAGACACGCCAGATTAAAACCGCCAGAACATTCTCAGAAGAAAAGTTTCCGAAGTGGAAACTACCGGAAGCAGGTCCTCGCTCGGTACTAGGAGTAGGAACCTCCAAGCGGTGGAGTGCATGACAAGGATCTTCACGCCTTCAGCGGACCAGGAGGTAAGTTGCACTTACAGAACATAAACCAGTTCCTTGGGCGTCTCTCGGTTGCAAAATATTCTCGCACTTGGGGGTATCACGTGCAAATACGTCTGGGTCTGGATGAATGCAGAGGTTTGGTATGCTTTTTTTGCATGCCTGTAACCAAAAAGGTCTGGCATGCAAGCCCCAGCATCACAGCTTTTGCGGCGGTTTCTCAATGCCTAATCCGCATGAGAAATCTCCCCGGCTTCCGGTGACACGAAGCGGGCAACTTTTTCTGTCCGTGATTGGTGTGTGTCATCTGAAATTCGCATCAGAAGTTTTGGCATGGTTGGGCAGCCTCTGGTTAATCAACAGCAGCGGCTATCAAATGCAAATATGTCTGGGTCTGGAAGAGTGCGGAGCTTGTCATGCATATTTTTCATGACCCATCATGCCTGTAATGCATGACCTAGCATGATTTCACAGCTTTTTAGAAGGCTTCGTGACGATGCGTATGATCCTGCATGAGAAATTAATGCCCTCACCGCGTACTTAGCACAAACTGGACTCTTCTTGCTGGTCATGCAATACAGATTTTTTTAGAATCCAGAGACAGCATCACAAGTTGCAACCTTATCCAGGACTCCAGAAATATTTGCAATGCGTACAGCCTGCGCCAAGAACAGACACGGCACCACCGGGTGCGCGCAAAGCCACAAGCCAGGGAAGTCAAGTGCTATCCTAATTGAAAACGTCTCCACACCAGAGTCAAGATGGGAAATCTGCTAGACAAATCAACCAGCTTTGGTTGTTTGGCATGACAGGTTTGTCCTCGTAGTGTAATCCTGTTTTAGGTAGGTCAGTAGCATCACAGATCTAACCCTCAGGAGAAATCTCCCCGGCTTCCGGTGACACGAAGCGGGCAACTTTTGTCAGTTTCGTTTCTTCAGATTCGTATGAGAGTGCACAGCCCCCCTCCCCCTCATTTGTATTGCATGAACAGCAATACAACAGCCAGCTGCCAGCACACGTGGCGCCTGTGCATGACAAATTCACGCGCCTAGCGTGGTACTGTTTGGGCTTTCGGAATCTGTCATGCAAACAGTGCCACAGGGAAGCACTTGGGTTTTGGGTTTTGCATCACAAATGCGGGGCCGGGGGAGGGAGACAAGTTGTACACTCTCATAACTCGTAGATGTCAAACAGAAACGAATTTTCCCCAAGTAGGTCAAACCCGGTGGTAGAGTATATAACCTGCTCAGGTGTTACAATCTGAAGCGTTACAGTAGAATATGGAAATCTGTGATGCAAGAGGTGCATCATGATCTAGCCAACTCCCACAGGATTGCGCATGACAAGTCTCGGAGTCCCCATCCGCGCTAGAATCTGCCGAAATTTGTATTGCAGAAAGTGGAACGCTGTGCCAGTCTGTCATGCTCATCATGCAACACAAAACCCAGACTCTATTGTAAGGTTTGAGATACTAACGCTTGAGCAGGTCATAGAGTAGAGAAATCTCCCCGGCTTTCGGTGACACGAAGCGGGCAACTTTTTCTGTCATCGCACTCGTATAAATGCAAGTCTTGCATCACAAATTTTTTTCTGAAGGCAAATCAGCATTACAAATTTTATTTCTCATGCTGAGGAAATTTGTAATGCATTTATACGAGTACGAGGATACTTTTGCAGTTCATAAGGACGGCCTGTTGCGTGCTGTATTCAATTTTGTTGGTTTTCGCGCTCTATCAAATGCAAAAATGTTTGGGTCTGGAAGATTGCCAGGTTTGTCATGCAGGTTTTCCATGACCCACGCGGACTGGCATGCACGGCCTGGCATGATAGGTTCTGTGAGATCTTTTTCATGCCTTTTCTGCATGAGAAACTGCCTGTAAACTTGTTCAAAAGTGGACCTCTTTTGGCAATGATGCAACACAAATTTTTCCACGATCCAGATGTAGCATGACAAGTTACCCTCTTCCAGACCCAGGCATATTTGCAATGCATACGCTCTTCGTGATCTCCACGGACAACATCATAGACGCGCCATATCAAGAAGAAAAATCTCCCCTCCCCATATCCTTGCATCTTCAGCATGACAGGAAGCAACTGGAAGTGGGAAACAGCATGACAAATTGCCTGCAAACGAGGCCATGACTGCGGCTCTTGGCCTTCTAGCATTACAAGTCGATTTGTGTACTCAAATACAGCATCACAAATTTCGTTTTCGATATGGGGTGGGGGAATTTTTCTAGTTGATACGCCAAGGAAGATGTATACGCAAAGCAGCACAGCCTTGGCGACACGCGCCCCAATATCCTAAGTAAAAGCGTCCCCAGCATCCGCGAGTCAAGAAGATGGGGATTTTGCAACACAAACCTAGGAGTTGTGGGAATCACGCATGACAGGTTGCAGTCCGTAAGGTAGTGCAAGGTAGCAAGGACAGCCGCATTACAAATCCATCTGCTTATCCGGTTTAGAGCATTACAAATTCCCAAACACGATTGAAAATGCCTGTAGTCATGTTTACATGGGGGTGCGCATCACAAAGGAGAAATCTCCCCGGCTTCCGGTGACACGAAGCGGGCGACTTTCGCTGTCCGTGCATGACAGATTGGTGTCTCATCCGAAATTCGCAACAGAAGTTTGCATTCTTCCAGCCCCAGACATATTTGCATTTGATAGAGGATCCAGCGATATGAAATCTTCCAGAGAGAAGTCCATGTAGCGCTCCAACATTTGCTCTTGTTGTTGCTGCTGCTGTACTAGCGCATCATCAGGCCGAGACGTTGATGTACTAGATACAAGAGATGCTTCCTCCAACCGTTGCCGCATGTAGTGAATCGGCACGCACCGTTTGTAGGGATCATACGTGGTCAGCTCGTACAACGGGGATACGCGCATCTCATCGCTTTGCGCGAGCCACGACAAAACAGCCGAATACTTGAAACCATCGACGTCCTCTTCCTCTACTTCCGCATGATCAAACCCCGGCTTCTTCCTCCTCGCAGGAGCTCGGAATTCAAGGATGGCGTGGATTACCGCTCCGGGACCCCACTGACCGTTCAAACTTGTAGACGTGCGAACGACGTGACAAGTAGCCTCAGTGAGCAGGCGGCGGTCACAGACGACCGGATCCATTTGGAACCCGAGCTCGTCCACCATGCTCAAGACAGCCGCGCACATCTTGTCATTGACGGCGGCAGGCCAATCATAGTGCCGGGTGGCTTCCAAAGTCCACTGCTGCGGGATCAAAGTCGCGCCGTCCGGTTGCAGGTATTCTTGGGATTATGCATTGCAAATATCCCTGGATGTCTGGAAGGCTCCGAACTTGTGATGCGTGTTCCGCATCCTGCAAAAAACTGTGTTGCATGGCTTGCAAAAGGTGCCCACTTCTGGCCATATTGAGAGGGCATTTCTCATGCGGAACAGGCATCACTAAGGGGCTGCAGAACCTGTGATGCTGGGCCCTGCATTGCAGACTTGGCGGAGCTTGGAAAAACTGCATGACAAATCTGGGAACCTTCCAGACCCAGACATATTTGCATTTCATAGGGATGCTCGAGCAGCCATCTTCGCGTTCTCCTCTTCAAACGGTAATGTAAATATATCAAATGTAAAAATGTCTGGGTCTGGAAGAATCCGACATTTGTTATGCTGTTTTTGCATGACGCATAATGTCTGTCATGGAAGTCCTAGCATCACAGGTTTTTAGAGGCCTTCCTGATGCCTATTCCGCATGACAAATGCCCTCCACGCGTAGCACAAACTGGACACCTCTTGCTGGTCATGCAATACAGAATTTTTCAGAGTCCAAAGTTAGCATCACAAGTTCCACTCTTCCAGACCCAGACATTTTTGCAATCCATATGATACCAGTCGGAGCAAAACGCCGTGGAGGTTGTAGGGCGTAATCCAGTATGAAATGCAAAAGTGTCTGGGTCTGGAAGAGTGTGAGCTTGTCATGCAGGTTTTCCATGACCCTTGAGGTCTGGGATGCGGAGCCTAGCATGACAGAGTCTGTGAGGTCTCTTTCATGCCCATCCCGCATGAGAAACTCCCTCCCCATTTGGTCGAAAGTGGACAGCTTTTGGCACTCATGCAACACAGATTTTTGCATGATTCGGATTTAGCATGACAATTTGCAATCTATCTTCCAGACCCAGACACTTTTGCAATCCATATCCAGCGGTGATTCTTTTCCATGTGCTCCAGCGCTTCCTTGGCGGCCACGGCGTTGTGGTCCCTCTTGGAAAATATGCAATGCAAAATTATCGTCCTAGTATAAATTGCATTACAAATTACCCCAGCATTACAAATTGAAGTTGTAATGCTGATTTACCTTGGGAATGGGAAAGCGATTTGTAATGCATAAACGCAATTACTACGAGTACGTTGCTTTTGCACAGGATAGAAAACCTGGTAAAGAGCAACGGAAGCCGGTACTCGTAAGCGTAAAGGTCGATGTACCTGGACTCGAGCATATCGCGGAACAGGCGTCCGTGGTCCCCGAGCAGGACCAGCGATAAGTTCTTCGTCTTGCGGAGTGCTTTTTCCAGAAATGCGCGCAGTGAATCATCAATCGAGTTGATGGCATCCATCCGGGAAGGCCGCATCCAGTGCCCCTCGTCTAGAAATACCACAGCAAACTTCTTCTTCTTCTTATGGGCACCGTCGTGTTGTTGACCCGCTCTAGTACGTCGTCCACCCGTTGTCGGTCCTCCGGCGGTTGTAGAAGCACCGGCACAGACGCTGCTGGAGTTCCCTGCTTCCCGCCCTACGGCCTCAGATGGTACTACGGAGTCCTCATCTGCCGTGCCCGGACCAAGAGTCTCCCGCAGCGCGAGCGATGAGTAAAGGTCTGCTTGGAGTGGTCGCGCACTCTCCTCCTGCTCCGGTCGTAATTCTATGCCGTTCTCCGAGTGTTCGTCCACTTGTTCTACCTTCGTTTCCAAGTGTATTTTTTCCTCTTCTATTTCCGGAACGAACGAGACGCGCTGTCTCCCGATGCCCAGAAAATCCAGCGCTTCCAAAAATACTGCCCGAGTGGTATTCTCAGTAAAAACTGATAATTCCCGCCACGACCCAAAGCCACTTTATTTTGTCATGCACATGTACTATACGTGCGTGCTCAGGGAGATGATGTCGTGGCCCTCGATAGAGGAAACATTTCGCAGTATGTGCTTTGGAAAAATGACTTACTGGCTTGCAGTGTGTGCTCTGGTCGAAATCCTTTTCGATTGTGTAGAAAAATAAATGCTTCCCAGCAAACGAACTTGTAACTCGAGGGGCTCAACATCGATCTTGTGGGGCTTTTTGTTTCTACTGATGTGATAACTGGCGCGCATATTTCCCGTCTTTCTACGAATTATAGGCGTTGTCCTCGAAAGTGATGTCCTCGGCGGACGACAGCCAAGATCTTTTTTTGGTAAAGCACGGAGGTGGTAATTGCGCTGCTCGGCAGAGTAGTTATCAAGTGGATCCGGCTCGGAGGGCGACGAGGAGCTACCGTTGTCGTCTAGCATCCGCTGATGCTCGGCAGCGTACAGATTTCGCGCTGCACTGGAGGAGGTGGCGTCGTTCGTGTCCACCGTGCAAACGCCCTTCCGTTCGTCGTAAGCGTGAAAGGGGGACGAGTAGCGGAAGTCCGCGAACGGTGCGAATATTACAGCGCAGGCCCAGGCAATCATGGGCTCGCAGTTACAGCCCATATCCCACGAAAAAAGTGTTACAGTTACACATTTGTAGTCAATTCAGCAACACAAATTTCTCTGCATGAGAGAGAAAACTTGTAATGCAGAAACCCTTCGGGAAAACACCTATGAAACGAGGCTCCTATGCATATCCGGCATGACAGAGCTTGTCTGTCTTGCTTGGCCTGCAACACAATGTGTAACTGTAACACTTTTTTCTCACCATACCCCACGAAGGTGGTGTAGTCTCCGGACTTCCTGGCGACTTCAAGAATGTGACGGTCCCGGACACTGTCAAATGCAAAAATGCCTGGGTCTGGAAGGATGCAAGGTTTGTCATGCACATTTTGCATGACTCCTGATGTCTGCGATGCATGCCCTATCATCACAGATCTTCTGAGGGCTTTCTGATGCCTATACAGTATGAGAAATGCCCTCTCGCCGTGGCCAAAACCAGACCTCTTTTGCTGTTCATGCAATACAGATTTTTGGATAATGCAGACGCAGCATCACAAGTTGCATTCTTCCAGACCCCGACATTTTTACATTTGATAGATACTCTTGGGCCGCAAAATTGGCTCCGGGTCCCCCACTTCCACTTCCGCGTCCGACAGCATACGCCCCGTCACGAGCGGAATCTGGTTCGAGATGGATCCGTTGCCCAAAACGTGGTGCTTTTTGGATAGACTCGGACGGAAATGGGACTTGTTTTCTTGCAAAGAAAGAAGAAAGTCGAAGGTTTTCGGAAGCCCGCGGAGGGCCATGCGCGTCGATACTGCGTCGAGCAGAATCAGTAACACCGAGTGTGTATGGATTGCAAACATGTCTGGGTCTGGAAGAGTCGGGGCTTGTCATGCACCTTTTGCATCACCCGTGAGGTCTATGATGCTGGCGCTAGCATCACAGGTTTTTTGAAAGCTTCTTGATGCTAATATACGCATGAGAAATGCAGCCCTCTCGGTGTGCCAAGAACTGACTTCTCTTGCTGCTCATGCAGCACAGATATTTCTAGAATCCGCAGACAGCATGACAAGTTGCATTCTTCCAGACCCAGACATATTTACCTTTGCTAGTGCGGGTGGTCATCGTCGTCCGTCGAGGACGTGCCATCATGTGCTGACCCTTCGCGGACATCTTCACTTCGTTCCTCGTCAGCCTCATTTTTATCTTCTTCCTCGTCAGTGGTCTCCCCGTCAGGGCGGACTTCAGCTTGGTCCTCACCCGTTTCACAAGACCTGCATGACTGCCAAGAACTACTACCCGGGGTCGGTGAAGATGCACCAGGCTCGGCCTCTGGCTGTAGTGGCGCGGTGCGCTGATAAATCTGCTCAAAGGCTGCCGCATCGAGCTCGTCCACCTCCCTCGCCTGCATATCGAAAAACGCAGCAACATCTTCCGAAGTCGAATCGAATTCTTGCCACACACGGGAGGGCAGGAAGCGCCCGTCCGCTCTACGCTCTGGGCCGTCGACATGATCAACCTTCGGCACAGTAGCGTCCTCCTGTATATTTGCAGTTGAAAGAAAAACCACTCCGGGGGCGTTTGAAATAATCAGACCCGTGATGTGTACAACGATCCACCGGAGAAGCAGTGACATTGCTCGCATTTTTCTTCGCGTAAGGGGACGATATCAAAGCGAAGACTTTGAGAACTGTGCTCGTTGCATCTGCTAGTTGTCGTATCTGCATCTTCCCTCTATATTGTAAGCTAGACTAGCTTACACCTATCACTGTCAACCACGTCAGCAAGTGCGTGATAGAGAGAGAGAGAGATCATGTAAAGAATTGAGAACGTATACGTTTGAGAACGCAATGTACAGCTACAACTGTAGACCACGAAAGAGTGATCCTCGTCATGTTCTTCGATACACAGGGACGAAAATTACGGTGGCTCTAGCTCGTACAAAAAGCCCAGCACCACAAAAAAGCACAGGAACTCGAAAGAACATCTGATGATGATGATTAGTTCGAGCGGGGCTCGGCGCAGCTCGTCGTTGACTGAGGCCAGGTTTTTTCGTCATTCGGTTGTGGAACGCCCTCATTGGGCTTTGCTTCATTCGGGGGCTGGCATGTTTCGCACATTCCGAAGAACGGGGCGGAACTACCAGCACACGCACAGGAGCCGGGACTTGTTTGTCCTATTCTTTGGCCTGGAGGTCAAGGATCGACCACGCGACCACGCTTGCGGCTCACAGTACTAAACGCTCTGACCTCCGACCCATACTGATTGCGCAGTAATCACGCTTGAGTGGACTCGAACCCCTCCGCCCGTTGAATGAAGTTCCACCAGTCAGGAGTTACACCCTGGCGAGCTGACCAAGGCAAAGCTCATCCCAACCTTTTGAATGCGGCGCAGTGGGTCCTTTCCCTGCTAAGTTTTTTATAGTGAGACCAGGGCACGCCCCCCGGAGACGGCGCGACTCACTTTTTACAAACCTTCGCGCACTAGCGCCTATCTAGATGCGGCGGGCCAAGTCGCTCCGGAGATGGTATGCAAAAAATCCGGATCAGTCTGGCGCAAGTGCTCTCTACGTAAGTTCTAACGGTCTGGGAGGTTGTTCACACTATCGACTTGCACTCTTGCCCATCAACACGTTGCAGCACCGTGGTGCCCCCTTCCCTTCCCATGCCTTGTTTGCAACGCTTCTGCTTCGACCCTGCGAGAAGCCCCGTCGCGCCCCGCGTGCCGTTCGTAGGCAGCCCTCGCACAGGCTGATCCCTGCCTGTCTTGCTCCCACGCTGCAAAGATAGACCGTCGCCCCCTCCCTGCCCTGCGCAGTGCTTACCCCTGCTACTGCGCGAGCGCCTTTTGCTGACGGCCCCGATAGTCCACTCAGCAGCAACCCTAGCGCCGCAACTGTGGCCCGGGTTAGGTAGAAGATCGCTCCACTTCCTCTGCGCCTTTACCACACGTTGCTGGACATCAAAGCCCCCATCTCGGACGGGAAGCGCTTCCCGATTGGTGAGGGCCATCGGGGCTCCATTTCAAGCGGTCGCCTGCCACTGCGCGACATAAAGGCCGGCTTACTTGTTACTAACTTCCGCCTCAAGCATTCACGAACTAGTTTGACCAATAACCTAGCGACTTATTAAATAAGTCGCGATGTAGGTCCTGCAGTTCAAATTTATTGTTAGGAGCTGCGAAGCAGGAGTTTGTTTATTGGTCATACAGAAAGATAAAGAACAATATCATGCATGAAGAACAATGTCGCGCAGACCTGCGATTTGCGAGATCTCGCCCTGAAAGTGGAGACCCTGACTGAGGCCTAAGCTCACAACTTTCCAGGTATACGGCGTCGACGTCGTTCTAGACGAACGCCGAAGACCAACCTCCCCTGATACGCTAGCGAAACCACGCCATATTAGCATCCCAGTCAGGACGCCATAGCCCTCCTCGAGTGACAGTTGCCGTCATCGCTTGCTCGACCGGCATCAAGAGCGGCGGGTCGAGGATAGACGCGGAAGTCTGCAGCTCCTTCTCCTCTGCATCGTCTGCTACAGGTGATCTATACTTTGGCACCTTGATTGCGTCAGGGTTTCCGCACACCGTCTGCAACTCGTCCGACAGAAGCGCGGCTGCTGGCCCTGTCGGTTCGCTATTTAGGTTTTTTGCAAAATGAGTTCGCGTTGCCTCCGCTTGTTTCAGCGTCTGCCAAGTGTAATCCTGTTCGTGCTCGCGGTCCTTCGACATCGACGAGGTGCTTTTGCTGAGTAGTTGCTCCCGCCCGGCAGCCTTGCAGGTGCGCAGGGCCTTCCACAGTGTACAGCCACAATCTGTTCCTCGCTGTCCGGCAAAAGTCTCCGTGACGGTCTCCGATTTTCGCGGATAGCATGCGAATGCGTTTCGCTGATCCCCACCAAGACGATAGGAATCTACGTACAGGTCGAGAAACTTTCTCGGCACTAGTGCGAGCTTGCAGCTGATACACCCCCAAAGTGTGTTGGTCGGAGCATGAATGAAGGCCGGGTCAAAGCGGCGCAAGTCGCCAAGAGGCTGCAGGAAGAGGTCGGGGCGTGTGAAAAGCACCCAATCGAATTCGCTTCTACGGAAAAGCTCTAGTCCTGTTGCTTCAGTATCAGTTATTTTCGTTTCCATCTCGTTCACAGCAGAAACACTAGTCGAACCGCTGCTGACATCTTCTACTTGCCGCTCGTATTCGTGAATGCTGCGCCTGCAGAAATCTCGCTGCAGCCCCATGATTGGACAAGTAACTTGGTCAGAGAGACATTTGCTTTTTGTGTCGTGGTCGATTTGCTGAAAGGCGGCTGCCGTCCACGACGAGGAAGAAAGCGCCTCGACCGAGGCCGTTTTGACGTCGGCAGTCATTGCTCCAGAATTTCGCTCGTCCCCGCCATGGAGCTCCTCTTCCACAGCACGTATCGCACGACGCAGATCCTCCTGCTCCCTGTTATTGATCTGGTCGCGGAGCTGCTCCTGCTTCTGCTCGCTGCTCGAGCTGTGATGCCTGATGTCGAAATGATCACCAATGCCCAGCTTCGTAACCCGAGACAAGTCAAATTGATAGAAAACCCGCACCTTTTTCGCCTTTAAACTTGTCAGTGCGTTGCGGATACTTTCATACACTGGCTTTTGCGTGAATCCCCTCACACCCCCTGAGATGCATACGGCAACCGAAAGCGATGACGTACTCCTGTCATTGCTGTGAGGTGGCGGCACATGTGCTCTCGTCCTGCTTTCGTCGTTGGCAGTACTCGTAAATCTTCGGCCAGCACTATTTTTCTCGTCGTTCCGCGGCGAAGCATTTGTGGTCGGTGGAAGAGCGTCATCTGACGAGGGCAACATGGATTTTGTATGTGCGTGACCCTTCTGCATCTGCTCTTGCTTCTCGATCCACTGTCGCGTCAACGCCTGTTGGTAGAGATCGTAGGCTCGCAAGCTCGTCATTCGCAAAAGTCGTACGTCCACAAATTCGAGCACCGTCGTCGTCACCTGACCCGCAACATCTTCTGCAGTAGCGTCTTTCTCTGCTAGCCGGGCAATGAAATGGGAATAGCTCGATTTGTGCCCGTCTTTTTTTGTAGTGCCTGGAAGCGACTGCAACACGGCGCGCGCGATAGGTGGCGTTGATGCTCCGCGAGATGCTCGACCAATACTGAGTGACGCGTCGATGTGAAGCTCGTGCTCTGCCTTCTCAAGCCGCACGGTGAAACTTCGAAACCAGCGCAAGAACTTTTCCTGTACACTATCGCGCTGCCAGAACAGCCATAGTGGCAAAATGTATAGTCGGAACATCGCAAAAAGGCCCCGCTGATCAAGATCCTGGTCTGCAGACGTCATCGTAGACAGAAACCCGACGGGGAGGCAGACGACGTGTGTGTCAGCGTCTTCGCCGCGCACAGGCGCACGGGGACCCTGCGAGGAGGCCCACATCTTGCGCAAGAAGCGCGCTGGTGCTCCTTCACTCAGCAACGTTCTCGTTGTGTGCGCTGCGTTTTTCAAGCCGGACGCGGTGTCGTTCTTACTTCGTTGAAGATCTCCGAGCTCGAGCGCTGCTTTGATTCGCAGAATGTGATGGAAAAAGAAGTCTGCTATCCGAAACTTGATCTCGACCAAGGCCCATCCAAAGTGGCGACTGCATTTTTGTAACTTCTCGTAAACGAAGAGCGGGCTCCGCTCATACTCTTCTGGATTGACGCGGTCCAGCGGTAAAGTCCACCCTTTCATTCTTTCGTCTCGTTTCTCGTGAGTATTGGGAAGCTGGTTCCTGCTTCGCACGCCCCGCCCCTTTTCGTCTGATGATACGACGTCATCCGCTTCATCAGCGGCGAAAAGACTCCGGAGAGACTCGGAACCGCTAGAACTTTTCAGATCCGAGGTCCAAAAGTTATATTCCAAAGGTGTCGCTACAAGTAACGGATGAGTTTCCTTGTCGTCCTCATCCCCGAATGCATCCTTGAGCTTTTTGTCGGTCGCCTCTTGAAGAGCAGCTGCAGCCTTGCGCTTCGCCAGCCGCCTAAGCAGAAGTACGGCCTTGAACATCTCGTCCCCTCCGCGCGGAATCGTGCGCTCGACGCCCTTGGGGCCAAACAGGAAGCTCAAGGCAAAAAAATGGTCGTCGCCAAAAAAGTGTTCCTGTAGTGCAAGCTCGGTTGCCCTTCCTTCGTATTCTTCCACTCCGTCGACCGCTTGCTCCTCGTTTTGTTCCGATCGCCTCTGTTCGTGGTCGGCTGGAGGAGCGTGAGTGCGATCAGTAGATGTTGTCGCTGACGAGCCGCGCGCACCCCGAGTAAGATCTTCCGTGGTCGTATTTGATGAAGATACTGCATTCCACTGCACCAGAATTTCGCCGAACACTCCGCGCAGCATCTCCAGATGTGCACTCCATAACCCACGCTGTACTGTCTCCGTGAGAGCGTTGTCGGACAGGAGCTGAAGGGCATGAGGATTTGGTTCGTTTTTGCCGAAAATGTTGAGCATCACAGGCCGGATACCTGCGCGGAGCCACTCTGGAACTGCGTTTACCTCGACACCATGGTCGCGCTGATCTTCTAGGCCTTCACTCTTCTCGACGTTTATTTCCGGAGCAGCTTCTTGCTCGTCCATTGCCTTTGCCAAAGCATCTTGAAATTGCGTTCCACTACCACTGGTGGCTTCATGATTTGTAATAGCATCATCTCGAATGCTTCTACTTATTTCAGTCGCTTGCGCACAGCACCGGGCACGCGTGACCAAGGAGCCGTCGAAGCAGTGCGCCCTCTGGCCATCCTTTTCTTCGTCACCTGTTTTCTCCCGAGAAGGCACACAGCACGTTTTTTCGTCCAGGGGATAGCTCCAGCAAGGTCGACGGCGCTGGCGCTGCGACGACACGACGTCGTCACGTGGCGGAGCAGACTGAGACTGCTGTGACAAGTCGGATTGGTGCTCTCTTCCCGAGGTCTTGGAAGATACCGGGAACGTCTGATTGCAACACACCGATGGGTATCAAATGCAAATATGGCTGGGTGGTCTGGAAAATTACGAGACTTGCCATGCAGATTTTCCATGATCCATGTCGTCTGGAATGCAGGACCTAGCATGACAGATTCTGTGGGAAGATCCCTATCATGCCTATCCTGCGTGAGAGACTTCCTCTCAACTTCGTCAAAAGTGGACAACTCTTGGCATTCATGCAACACAGATTTTTGCATGATCCAGCCTGAGCATTACAAGTTGCAACCTTCCAGACCCAGACATATTTGCAGTGCATAATGGGGAGAAGGTTTCGTCATCGGGTGAAAAGTATCAAATGTAAAAATGTCTGGGTCTGGAAGAATTCATGTTTGTCATGCTTGTCTGGCATGACTGTTAAATCTGTCATGCACGTTACCCAAGAGCTCCGTTTTTCTGTGATGCAGAAGCGCAGTTTGTCATGCGGAATAGGCGACACCGAGGAGCTCAGAAACTTGTTATGCTGAGCCAGCATTTGGAGCCTCATCATGATGCGCCACCCAGCATCACAAGTTTCCAGACCCAGACATTTTTACATTTGATAAAAAGCACACTGGATTTGCATCCGAGGAGGTCGGAAGCGTTTTTGGATCGACATCTTCCACGATTATATCGATGACGTTCGCGTCACGAGGTGGAGCATATCAAATGCAAAAGTGTCTGGGTCTGGAAGATTGCTACATTTGTCATGCATGTCTGACATGACTCAAGAATCTGTCATGCATGGGCACGAAGCTGTCCTCTTACGTGTCATGCAAAAACGCAGTTTGCCATGCGGAACACGCAACACATAGGAGCCCAAAAATTTGTCATGCTTGGCTCCGTATTGCAGTGGAACTCTCATTCACTTTTAGCATTACAAGTTTCCAGACCCAGACATTTTTACATTTGATAGAGCAGCTGGCTCGACAAGTGGAGGAAGTAGAGTGGACCAAAATTGCAGCAGGGCCACATATCAAAGAAAAAAAGTTCGTCACGATCACTCATGCACATTCTTGCAATACAAAATTGCTTGTCATGCGTAAAAATGCATCACAGCCAAACTTCATTAGGGATTTCCCTAGTGTTTCTGCAATACAAGGAAAGTTTGTGATGCTGAGAAAATTTGTAATACAAAACCTGCAAGTTAGTGACTGTGACAAACTTTTTTCTCTCCATACCACATGTCTCCACGTCATTATTTTCCAACCACGAATTCCCTCTGTGCTAGTGGAGCGCTGTAGCCCGCGTGTTCGATAGTGCCAGACAGTCTTCGAAAGGGAATTCTTGAAGTCGCTGCGCGTGCTGGCCATCATTTATTGTGTTCTACGTAGTTCTCCAGAGGACCCAGTCATGCTGTACCACATTCAAGATCAAGATCTTCATCGACGCAAAAAGGCACGCGCCGGAGGACCTAGCGACTGGGAATAGGAAATAGACAAACAGACACGCAACAAAACGCCGACTCGAGAAAGCGGCAGACAAAAAAAAGTACCGCACGGCTGTGCTTTTTATCATGATCTGAACAATGATCTACTGCATTCTGGAACAAATTTAGTATATCGATTTTGTTTTTTCTGTGAGAAATCATGTTGACAACATACAAAGCAGCTTTTCGGTACTCCTTAGTTGAAGGAACAAACTGATTGGAGGTCCGCCAACCTTCTCGCCGTTGAATTGATGGCACGTGGACCACCGCATGACTGTATTCTGACAAAAATTTGCACAAAAAATAAACATAAAGACAACGACTGCAGTGACGTCTGCAGATGATTTGCACGATTCGCCATTGACGGCACGTCGCCCCCCCTGTCACCGGCTGTGTGCTGCGGTAATTTCTAAACATGGATACCCGCACCCTCCGCCATGGACCCATGTGCCGAGATCAAAACAGGGTGACGGTTCGCCTGCCGTTTGAATTTGATCCGGATCGCAGAGCAAGGAAAAAAACTTGGTCAAATTCCTGGCCCCATAGAAGAAGTGAAACTCGGCGGAGAGGGTTCCAATCTTCGGGATGGTCTGTTGCACCTCATCCAACACTATGCAATGCAAAAGCATCGTATTAGTAGAAATTGCATGACAAATTTCATCCGCAGCATCTGAAAGAAAATTTGTAATGCGGATGTCCCTTCAGGGAAGAACTTGTCATGCATTATCGCGATTACAACTACGACTACGATACTTTTGCAATCCATAAGCACGCCCCACTCCGCTCCCTCCACGTCAAACCGCAGCACGTCGAGATGTATCCTGTGCAAAAGTATCGTACTCGTAGTCATTGCGACCATGCATTACAAATTTCTTTGTCAAGCTAAATCCGCATTACAAATTTTGTTTCTCATGCTGAAAAGATTTGTCATGCATTTACATTTTATATACGAGTATCGGATGCTTTTGCAATGCATAAGATGGTCCAACTTTTTCTGCGTCATCAAGGTGGAAACCCGGCGCTCTTCAAACCCCCGCGAGATGTCCTGCGCAACGACGAAAGAAGTTGTTGTACTAGTGCCTTTATTCTTGTTGCCGTCTCCTGGAGTAGCTGCAGAACCTGCCTTCTTGATCACGAGTGGCTGCAGTTCTGGGCGTTTGTACAAGGTGGACACTATGGCGTTCTCAAACGTTACAAATTCTCAACTGTTACATGAATTTGCCATGCAAGACTACCTTAACCCGCCAGATGATCAAGCTGCTTCGCATGACAAATCTACGAGAAGGGGCTAGACAGTGTCTAAATCTGTGCCAAATCTGTGATGCGAAAGCAGCAAGCTTGCCCATTTGACTGTTGCTGTTCTTGCATGACAAATTCACGCAAGAACAGTTGAGAGTGTAACATTTGAGAACCAACTCCGTAGACACTGCATTGGTATTGTCGTGGAACCCGTCGCGACTGCCGCGTATGGTAAGGAAAAATCCCCCCTCCCCATATCGAAAAGGAGCGTCTCAGAAAATTTGCGATGCTGATTTGTGACCACAAATCGCGTCTGTCTTGCAAGAAAGCAACGGCATGATCTCCGCCCCATTATGCAGGCGGTTTATCATGCTGTTGGCCATACAGCATAGGCGTTCCCCATGCTAAGCGCCTAGGCCAAAACCTCTCTGCATTGGCATGATATGGGCCTGCAGTCCTCTACTGCAAGACAAATCTAATTTGTGTACGCAAATCCAGCATCAGAAGTTTCGTTTTGATATGGGGTGGGGGCTTTTTTCTTTTTGATACCGAGGGCCAAAAACTCGAACACATGGCGCTGGGGGTGGTGAACGTATTCCGCGTGCCGCCGCTGGTCCATAGAAGGATCGAAGGAAAAAACATTGCACTTTTCCCGGAACAGGTAGTAATCATCAAATTCGAATTGATAATTGATTCCGAAAGAAAACACCGAGCAGGTGGAGGGTGCTGTCGACGCCGAGGTCTTTTGATGTGCTTCCTTGTCAGAGGTCGAGGTTCGTTGCGCCACCACCCGTGCGTCCTGAGGGACCAGGATATGAACTGCAAAAGTATCGTACTCGTATAAATGCATTACAAATATCCTCAGCACGAGACAGGAAATTTGTAATGCAGATGCACCTTAAGAAAAAGATTTGTAATGCACGATTGCAATACGAGTACGATACTTTTGCACAGGATACAGGAAGTCGAGCGACGACTGCTCGTCTACTCTCTTCGTTCGCAACAGCCCTTTATGCGTTGCAAATGTGTCTGGGACTGGGTCTCCTGGAAAGATGCGAGGTTTGTGATGCACATTCTGCACGGCGCACGATTGTCTCGTCTGTGATGTATGCCCTAACATCACAGATGTTTAGAACCCTTCCTGATGCCTATCCCGCATGAAAAATGTCCTCTCCGCGTAGCACAAACTGGACTCCTCTTGCTGGTCATGCAATACAGATTTTTTACAGAATTCAAAGACACCAACACAAGTTGCATCCTTCCAGACCTCCACAGATATTTGCACTTGATATCGTTGCCGTCCGTTGCGGGTCCCGCGCCGCGCGAGCTCGTAGTCGATCAGCTTTCGCAGTGCCTTATGCATTGCAAATATGTCTGGGTCTGGAAGGGTGTAACTTGTGATGCTGCATTTGGATTCCAAAAAAATTTGCATCGCATGAGCAGCAAAGGGAATGCAATTTTTGCTGCGCGGAGAGGGCATTTGTCATGCGGAATAGGCATCAAGAAGCCGTCAAAAAATCTGTGATGCTAGGGCATGCATCACAAACGTAACGGCTCATACAGAACGCGCATGAAAAGTCTCATAATGTTCCAGACCCAAACACTTGCGCAATTCATATGCCTCGGGCTTTTCAAGTCGGTGGAATCTTTCCTTTTCCATTTCCGCGCCGAACCATCTTCGCAACTATGCATTGCAAATATGTCTGGGTCTAGAAGAGTGTAACTTGTCATTCCATGTCTGGATCGTGAAAAAATTTGTGTTGCGTGATAGATTACCAAAAGAGGTCCACTTCCGAACAAGTTTAGAGGCAGTGTCTCATGCAGGAAAGGCATGATAGAGATCTCACAGAACCTGTCATGCTAGGCCGTGCATGCCAGACCGCGTGCGTCATGGAAAACCTGCATGACAAACCTACGCAATCTTCCAGACCCAGACATTTTTGCACTTGATAGCAGCTGCGGCGCCCCAATTTCCGTGAGGGTGAACAGCGCGGCTCCTCCTCCCCGGCGGGGCGCGAAGAAGGCATGGTTGTGATCGTGGACGGAAAACGTTTTCTCATTTAGTCTTAGGGAAACCGGACGGTAGGTTATTCTGAGGAAAAATCCCTCCTCCCCATATCAAAACGAAGTGTCTGACGCTGGACTTGCGTACACAAACTCTGATTTCGTTTGTAGAAAGTGCTCGGCGGCATTTTCTGAGCCTGTTCCTTGGTTATGTAGGAGGCTAGGAGTTCCATATCACAAACCAGTTTGCAGTAGTGCAGATAGAGAACAGGCAAAAGGGCAGTTTTCGCTCGTATATCGGCAATAATCTGTGCGAAAAAATGCATTTGTGCGTGTATGTTGTACAGTTGTCAATTTTTTCATGCTAAAAAGTCATCATACCATTCAGATTAGCAACTCAAAATCATCATTTTGTTCGTAGAATTCTTGTTATTCAACTAGAAAAATTCAAAGTCGAGAGCACATTTTTGTTAACATCATATCTTGCGAGATTCCACTTTCCTCCGCCGCTTTTGTCTTGCCGATACAGTATAGGCAAGACAAAGACGATTTGTGGCCACAAATCAGCATCACAAATTTCCATTTCGATATGGGGAGGGGAGGTGCTTCGTTTTGATATAGGTCGAGATCTCCATGCGTCTGAAGCTGGTCGCCATCACGGAGTAGGTACCGAGCGCCTTCCTTCCACACTTTTCGTATGCATTGCAAAAATATCGTACCTACTCGTACTAATTGCAGACTTGCATGACAAATGTGCTTCCCAAGGTATACCAGCATTACAAACTCCATTTTCAATTCTGAGAAAACTTGTAATGCAATTTGTACTAGTTACGTTACATTTGCAATGCTTTAGTTCGAAGCCGATTCGTATTCCCGTTTCCATGGCGGCCCAATGCGCGCACAGGATCACCTTCGGGACAAACCATTCTGTCCGCAGTGCCTGCCAGTTATGCATTGCAAATATGTCTGGGTCTGGAAACTTGTGATGCAAGAAAGGGAATAGTGAACTCACTATGATGCGCTGCCAAGCATGACAAATTTTTTTCATGGTTCTGAGTTGCGTACTCCGCATGACAAACTGCGTTTCTGCATGACAGGGAGGAGGAGCTCTTCGCGGCCATGCAACACAGAGTTCTGAGTCATGCCAGACTAGCATGACAAAGCTCGCAATCTCCCAGACCCAGACATATTTGCATTTGATACCAGTAGTGAAAAGACAATAGCAGGAACCAGAGCAGGAAAAACCCGCGAACGCAGTATCAAATGCAAAAGTGTCTGGGTCTGGAAGAATCTAACTTGTCATGCTAAACCTGAATCATTCAAATTCAAAAATCTGTGTTGCATGATTGCCAAAAGCTGGCCACTTTTGACGTAATCGAGAGGCAGTTTCTCATGCAGGATAGGAATGATAGAGCTCTCACATAATCTGTCATGCTATGCCCTACATACCAGACCTCGTGGGTCATGGAAAACCTGCATAACAAGTCTGCACTCTTCCAGACCCAAACATTTCTACATTTGATACGCAGGTAGTCGCAACAATAGAAGAGCTCCTGCTGTTTTTTTCTGCAGCTTCTTCACGCATCCCTGTTGCTCGGCGGCTCTGTAGGGTTTGCGTCACCCGATTGCTTCTCCCCGACTTCAGCTTGCGGCCTCCGAAAATAAATCCCGCCACACAACTTCTGAGGCTCTGGGCCTACGCCTCCTAATCATTGTTCGAAGCGTCATGGCAAGCAGGTCCAGACCTTCAGCTTTAAACCAAGTTTTGATGCCGAAGACGAGTAGTCTACTTTGATGCTCCACTAGACAAAAAAAGCTTCGTCTCTGATGACTTCTCAGACCAGCTTTAAAAAGAGACACGGCAAGCAGAGTGCTTGTTGAAACACAAGTCGACCAAGGACCGACTTCGTCAAATTTCGAACCAATGAAGGACCACGACGGCACAACTCTTCGCTCTGGTAAAATGCGACACTAAATGCAGAAATTGAAGATCGAACCAGGAACAGGCCACCTAGTTAGTGTCTACTTGTAGGTGTTTGAGATTCTTCTCTACGCATGTCCGAAGACAAATGTAAATGAAAATGACCATGACGCGAAGAAAGCCACTCGACATAATCATTTGCTGTCGACGTTCATTTTTGCATAGGCGTGCCAAGAACTTCATTTGTCTGGTCAAACGTGAGCCACCAGACCGAATCTGGCCTTGTCCGGAGGGCTATTCTTGGGTTTGTCTCGTCTGCATGCCACTCGTCAAGCGCCTTGGCCGATGCATTGGAAATAGCTCTGCGTCTGGAAATGAGTTGAAGGCTTGTCGTGCACATTTCGAAATAGCACTAGCGCACGGTGTCTGTGATCGTGATGTCTACCCCAGCATCACAGGTTTCGCGAGAACTTCTTAATTATGTTTGTCGTGCTGCATGAGAAATTGAAATCCAAATGCCCTCGCCGCGCAGCAACAACTGGATTGCTGTTGCTGTTTCTGCACATGCAATTTTACAGGTTTTTTTAGCATCTGAAGGCAACAAAACAAGTCCGCAGCCTTCCAGACCCAGACACATTTGCAATGCATACGGCCATGTCCACAGCGGCAGAATATTCTTCCTTGGACCATGAGACGCCGCCTGTCGCAAAGTCGTGGCCCGCAATCACGCCATCTGGCTGCTTCATCATGGGTAACAAGCAGCGGATATGAACTGCAAAAGTGTCGGCTCGTGCTCGTATGAATGCATTACAAATTTCCTCAGCATGAGAAATGACATTTGTAATTCGGATTTCCCTTAAGAAAAAAATTTGTAATGCATGACTGCAATACGAGTACGATACTTTTGCACAGGATAGCGGATTTGCGCAAGCAACAGCCCGCTCGGCCCGTTGGCGTATCAAATGCAAATATGTCTGGGTTTGGAAGAATGCGAGATCTGTCATGCCGGTCTAGCATGACACTGAGCTCTGTATTGCGTGGCCAGCAAGAGGCCCTCTTGTCTGTCATGCAAAAACGATGTCTGTCATGCGGAATACGCAACACGGAGCCACGGAAAAGTCTATTGGCATGCTTGGTATTGCAGTACAGTGCGACTTCTATTCACTGACATGCATCACAACTTTCCAGACCCAGACATATTTGCATTTGATACGGCGTCGATGAACGCAAGATCGAGGACCTGGTGGGATTGCCTCGGCTGAGAAGTTTGATCCCCTGCTCCTCGGCATCCTCTACAAAAGCACTGCCCCCACACTTACGCCTCGAGAGCACAAAAGCTGCCGGGTTTTCGCTTTTCCCCAGCCTATGTCCAAATGGCTGCCTCGTGTGGAAAACCCAAAAAATTTCCCAAACGCTTCAACCCGTGCAGCACTTTCAAAAGGCGAAATCGCAAGAACCACGGGCGGAATAGGAAGGCCGCCGGGGGCCCGACGAACCTCGCGACCAAAGGCCGGCGGCCACAAAAGGGCCCAGATTTTTGCGTGTCCCCCGAGCTATCGCCAAAAAACATCTTGTGGCGGAAATCCTGGTAAATTTCCCAAACGCTTCAACCCGTGCAGCACTTTCAAAAGGCGAAATCGCACGAACCACGGGCGGAATAGGAAGGCCGCCGTGGGCCCGACGAACCTCGCGACCAAAGGCCGGCGGCCACAAAAGGGCCCAGATTTTTGCGTGTCCCCCGAGCTATCGCCAAAAAACATCTTGTGGCGGAAATCCTGGTAAATTTCCCAAACGCTTCAACCCGTGCAGCACTTTCAAAAGGCGAAATCGCACGAACCACGGGCGGAATAGGAAGGCCACCGGAGGTCCGACGAACCTCGCGACCAAAGGCCGGCGGCCACAAAAGGGCCCAGAATTTTGCGCGTCCCCCGAGCTATCGCCAAAAAACATCTTGCGGCGGAAACCCTGGAAAATTTCCCAAACGCTTCAACCCGTGCAGCACTTTCAAAAGGCGAAATCGCACGAACCACGGGCGGAATAGGAAGGCCGCCGGGGGCCCGACGAACCTCGCGACCAAAGGCCGCGACCGCTGCGCGGTCGAGCAGAAAAATTCGCGCTACGTCCACTTTTTTCAAAATGTCACCAAGGTTGCAGATGCAAAATTTTGTGGTAAGTAACTGCGGCTACGAGACTTTTGTGAGAATTCATATTTGCGACTTCGCCAACCCATCATCCGTCGAAGTTCCTCCTGCAGCTACATCAGCCAGCACTCGGTCTCTGACCCGCTGACAGGATTCTTGGTCCTCGGAAGAAATGCCGTCTTTGATTAGCACGAACCTCGGGCCGACGGGGTCGCCGGCACCACGACCAGCAGCACCGTGCCTTGCAGCCTCGATTTCCTCCCCTCGCTGCTGCACAAACCGGCCGCCTGGTTCATACTTTGGGTTGAATTTCTCGTAGGGGTCAACCGCGTAGTAGCGCAGCCGGTCCTCGTGGCGGAGATGGTGTAGCATGTGGAACATCGTGTTGCCTGTGAAGATAACCAGTACAAAAGTATCGCACTCGTCCTATCAATCGCATTCACGCATTACAAGTTTCTTTCTCAGGTTAAATCCGCATTACAAATTTTCTTTCTCATGCTACGGAACTTTGTCTTGCGATTTATCCTAGCAGTAGTACGATGCTTTTGCATTTCATAGAAGACCCCGACTTCCATCACACGAAACGATGTAGCAGCGTTTCTAGTACTTCCGCCCACGGCCGTGGTTGCTCCTGAGGAGGGCGATGCGGTCAGTAGACTCGGCACCACGACGAGCGGCACCACACTGCCTCCAGGATACGATAGTGGCAATAAACTAGCCTGCTGCTCTATGCTCGGTCTCCTACTTGGAGGCACATCCGCGGGATTGTGGAAAAATCGCACTTCCCAAAGAACTATCAAAGGTAAAAATGTCTGGGTCTGGAAGAACGCAACTTGTGATGCTGCATTTGGATTCCAGGAAAATCTGTATTGCATGAGTACCAAAAGGAATGTAATTTTTGCTACGTGGAGAGGGCATTTGTCATGCGGAATAGGCATCAAGAAGCCCTCAAAAAATCTGTGACGCTAGGGCATGCATCACAGACATCAGGGCTCATGCAAAACGTGCATGACAAGTGTCAGAATCTTCCAGACCCAGACACTTTTACAATCCATAAGAACCTGATCAGATTGTCCACCGTTGTTGTCCTTGTTCTACTCCTGTCGCGCAGCTGGCTCCACACTGATGCTGCGTGCGAGGTTAAACGCGTCGGTAGGGCGAGGACTCTCCGCCTGGAAGTCTGTGAGTTTATTTTCCGCCACCTGCAGTTTTTCTTGGGCGACGCGGAGCAGCTGCGACCACCGCTATGAATTGCAAGAGTATCTGTATCGTAATCGTACGCAGTAGAAATTGCATATACAAACTTGCTCTTTGTGACGAATGAAATTTGTCATGCTGATTTCTCTCGAGAAGCAGATTTGCCATGCATAATTGGCATGTTCAGTACAAGTGCGATACTTTTGCACAGGATAACCGCGCAGCGGATGCCAATCCTCTGGCGCCCAGTTGGTGGTGGCCCTTCCACGGAACGATCAACTGCGCACCGGGGATCAGGCCTACCTCTTCATCGTATTCGTAGTTCTTCTTTCTCTTGCGACTTTTGTCATGTGAGTGCGTTATTTTTGAACTACTTTGCGTGGGCAATAATTCCCCTTTCATTCCCGCTTTATGCAGCCCACGACTCATCTTTAACTCCGACGCGTAGAAAAGAAACTTGCTGAGGTCCACCCAGCCGGTTAGAGCTTCTTTCGTCATGTGAAGGGCCAACACTAGCGGATAGACGCAGCTTTGGAAAAACAGGTTTTTTGCCAAAACGGCAGGAGAGTGGACTTCACAAAAAGAGGATGTTGTACTGCCGGCGATATTATCGGCTCCTCCGATAGAAGTAGTTGCACGGTCTCGACCACCAACGCCATTTCCATCTTGACCGTGTTCCAATCGTACGCATCCATGGCGAAACAGCCGAAAATAGCTCCGGGCAAATGCGGGAAGTAAAGTCCAGCGCGGATGGTAGTCCCCGCCGTGTTCTTCTTTCCCAAGAACTCGACTTCCTGATGTCGCTGCGTCTGCCTGTGCTACGAAATCCTCAAGATGGCGCTCAAGCTGTGGCACGGCTTGCGTACGGAAGGATTCGTGGTGCAACAGATTTTCATCAGATGCAGAATGCTGTAGCTGTTGTCCATGTAGTTCTTCTCCGTTAGAGGTGGTGCTTTCGCTATCACTTGTTCGCCCAATGTGCTGCTTGCACCTCCGGTGCCAAAACAAGACCAGACCCTTGACAAACTTCCAGAGCGAGGTGGCGAAACTGGTGAGGGTTTTCATCCGCAAACGACCTGGATGGCTTGTATCTGGTGCTTGCTCCAGAGGTGCTCGCTGCATGTTTCGTTTTTGCTCTGCTACGCGAATATCCCGGTCGTCGTCGCCGGAAGTCCTTGTCCCGACAAGTTCCCTTAGTTCATTCTTCGCTGGCAACAAGTGCTGCCAGTGAGCTGCGGTTTTTCCGGCCTGTGCCGCTAATGTGGCGTAATCTATTTCATCTCGTTCCCGGAGACCTGACGTCGGTTCTGTCACGACGGTTAGCAAATCCACAACCTCCACCGTCAAATTCCGAAGCTGCGGTGCTATTTTGTAAGGGGAGAAATCCCACGCGTCTCGGAAAAGTGAGGGCCACCGACTGAACCCGTGGTCGTCAGCTGCGTCCCTGATCGGTATGCAGTGCAAAAGCAACGTGCTCGTACTAATTGCATTCATGCATTACAAATTTTTTTCTTCAGGCAAATCTGCATTACAAATTGAATTTGTAAAAAATGCTAAGTCAGTTTCTGATGCAATTCATACTAGTACGATCATACCTTTTTTGCAATGCATAATCGGCTTGTAAACGGCATTCTGCCAGGACTTCGGCATGCGCGCATCCGCGCGGAGAATATTGAACGGCGCATGAAGGTAGTTATGGAAGATGAAGTTGTACTGAGCAACAAAGCAGTAACAGAGGAGAATAAACCCTGCTCGTCGCGAGACAGAATACACGCCGAGGTACGAAGTCACCCGCATCATGTTCCCTTTGATCATCAATGGTATCTTAACGACGGCTGTGTTTTTGAGCTTCTCGAAGCAGCCGTACCTAGCCCTGACTGGCGGACGGAAAGAGTTGCTTCGGCCGTCCGCCAGTCAGGGCAGGCGGTGGGAAACGTTATCTGTTATTGTTGGACACGAAGAAATCTAGAACGCAGCTGCAACGAAGTCATCGGGTAATTCATTTGCCCGAGATGATCTACTCCTTCGAGGCAGGGTCGCCATGCCATGCTTGCTATTCTATTCACGTTCAAGAAAAAACGACCGAGGACGACCCGCCGCATCATTTGTGAACGTGATTATGCCACAAAAATGAACAACAACGGACTTCATCTTTGGCGTGGTAGCTGCACCTCCACCTCTCCTCGTCCACAGGTCATGCTGTTTTTCTCTGATTTCATTTTGTGCTCGTTCTATTTGCTTTCGAGTTTTATGCTTTCATACAAATTTCGGAGTGTTTTTCTTCTTTGTAATGTTTTTTGGTCGATCATATAGTTGTAGAAATCTGTAAGTGCCAGAGATGAAGGAAAGGCTTGATACATTTGTACGCTACGAGGACAGCTTGATACTTTTGTACTTGATAGATTGATAAAACGGATAATGGGCTTATCTTTGTTCATGTTCCCGCATACATGTCCAAGATTCAGGATCCCGCGTACAAATTCTTATCGGAGACGTGCCCGCTCGGTAAACTTTTAACAAGCGGCAACTTCGCCAGATTTTCCGCGGTCATCCCTGTTCCTGCGGCTGCTTGACCCCCGCCACGAGAAGGACCTCCACCACGTGAGGGCGCAGCCGTACCGGCAGCGGTTCTTCCCAGAGCTTGCTGTTGCGGAGGTTCGGGCTGCGGTTGAAATACATTATGGGGCGGCTGGGGCTGCCGCTGCGGCTGGCCCTGGCGGGTTGGGCCCAACTGATACTGTTCCTGCACCGCGCGCATGTATTGCTCATGCAGCTGCTGAGCTCCCGGTCCTATGAGATTGCACAACTCCCCCTCCCCCTCATTTGTCATGGAAAATACCAAATCGAATCGCTGCTGCGTGGTACTGTTTGCATGACAGATTCCGGAAGCCAAATAAACAGTACTACACTAGGCGCATAAACTTGTCATGCACAGGCTCCACAGGTGGGGGTGTCTGTATTGCTTTTCATGCAATACAAATGAGGGGGAGGGGAAGTTGTGCACTGTCATAGCTCCCGGCCCCGATGCATTCAAGGTAGTACCCCCCGCCTGCGTTCCTGCCCAAGTTGTATACACGTTCGGCGGGACAAGCATTTGCTGTATGAAAGTAACGAAAATAACCAACAGAGAACAATCCAACAAGAGATGCAAAATACCAGCTTTGGTATACGGAGTAGTAATTCTAAAGAGGAAACTCAAGGCCTGACATGAGTAAAAACATTCATCATGGTTCTTCATTCTTCTTGTTTGGTCTTTGACGTTTGTGCCCGTTTAGGTGTGATTCAAGATTTAATGACCTAGGATCTGGATTGGAGTGGATCCTTTTCTGTGTTGGTTTCTGTGGAACTTATTTGTCATATGCTGCCCTGCTTGTGCAACTTGTTGCTGCTGCTGCATAAGTATTTGTGCTTGGACATTATACAGCTGCTGCGCCGGCGTATGCCCGCCGGTCGTCGGGGCGACAATCTGAGCCGGTAGGAATTGCTGGCGCACTTGCTGTATCAAATGTAAAAATGTCTGGGTCTGGAAGAGTGCAAGTTTGTCATGCTTGTCTGGCATGATTCGAGAATCTGTGTTGCATAGGCACGAAAAGACCCTCTTACCTGTCATGCAAAAACGCAGTTTGCCATGCGGAATACGTATTAAGACATGGCAGCCAATAAAAGATTTGTGATGCATAGCTGCGTATTGCAGTCCGGCTATCATCCACTTTTTGCATCACAAGTTTCCAGACCCAGACATTTTTACATTTGATATGCTGCGGCATCTGGATCGGCCCCATGTAATGGATAGGCACACCAGCATTCGGCCCCATGTAATTGATAGGCACAAGAGCATTCGGCGGGTTGTTCATGATCGGCATCGTGCCTGCTTGTTCTATGCCTTGGTTCATATTATTGGCCTGCTTTTGACGTGCACCAGATCCAACAGGACGCCCACGTCCCCGCGGTTTTTTCTGCTGCAACCCACCGGAACTACTGCTCACTGGCGGTGCCACCGCAGCTACAGGCTGCTGCTGCTGCCCCGGTGGTGGTCCACGACCCCCGCGTGTCGTAATTCTACTTGCAACCGCCCCGAGTTGCTGCTGCCGGTTATGATTATTTTCGGTCGATTCAGGAACAATTTTCGTTCCTTTCTGCTGCCTTTGCTGCATCCCTTCCTGCTGCGGCGCACCCGCACCTCCTGGGGGGACCACCACACGCCCGGGGCTTTGCGGGCGAACGAAATCCAACTCCGCGAATTCCTGCATGAACTGATCCTGATCGATTGCCGGGGACGTGGATGTTTCTGCCACGAAAAAGCTCACCCCCGAGGTCGCGGCGGGAACCACGGGGTCCCCACCACCTCCGGAGGAAGACACTGGCGCGGTGGCTTTAAGTGCATTTTTCTCGACGTCTTTCATCCCGCCACCGCTGCTGCTGCTGCCGCTGCCCGAAATGTGAAGAGCGCCCGGTCTATTATGCGCTGGGACGCAATACTTGCCGTGAAAAGCCTTGTTCTCTGCGAGTAGCTTTTTCTTCCGATACTGAAACTCGTTGTGCTCAAATTGCGCGAGCAATTGCTCTATCAAAAGTAAAAGTGTCTGGGTCTGCAAACTTGTGATGCTGGGTGGCGTCTCATGATGAGGCTACAGATGCTGGCTCAGCATGACAAGTTTCTGAGCTCCTAGGTGTTGCCTATTCTGCATGACAAACTGCGCTTCTGCATCACAGAAAAACGGAGATCTTGGGTAACGTGCATGACAGATTTAAGAGTCATGCCAGACAAGCATGACAAACATGAATTCTTCCAGACCCAGACACTTTTACAGTTGATATGCTCGTGGGTCGCCCCGAATTTTTGCACGGCCTGCTCCAGTATCAAGTGCAAAAGTGTCTGGGTCTGGAAGATTGCGAGATTTGTCATGCATATTTCGGATCACGCAAATGGCGTCTGATGCAGGCGAAAGCATCACAGGTTTTGAGCACGCCTCATGATGCCTGTCCCGCATGAGAAACTTCCTACTTGCGTGCCAAGAAGTGGACAGCTTTCGGCGCTCATGCAACACAAGTTTTTGTGTGTTCCAGAGTTTGCATCACAAGTTCCAACCCTTCCAGACCCAGACATTTTTACATTTGATATCCAGCCACTGACACAGGTTGTCGAACCCCCGCTCCTTGGCGTAGAAGTAGGGCAGCTTGTTCTGTTTCGAGGGGTAGCGCGCTAGAAAGGAGTAGTTCGCGACCAGGATTTTCCACACACCAAAGCAACCCTTCCGCGCCGCATGGTGGAACCCGTTGTAGCCCCCTCGGTCGTATGCATTGGAATATGTTCTGGCCCCTGGAGGAAAATTGCATTGCTGCATTAGCGGTGACGCAGCCGCACGACACACAGACTGCATAATACGGCTGAGCATGATAGGTTTCTAAGTGGTTTGCTACTAGTACGGCACGCATGTAAGGAATTGCGGGAGAAATTAAAACCAAAAAACTCAAAGCCCAGCGAGTCGCTGGGGGAATTTGCGCTCGGGGAAAATTGAAGTCATACCGCCCGCCGGGGCAATTTTTCGCAACCCGGAAAACCCGCCAGCGCGATTTGTCTGGGGGGTTTGTTTTCCGGGATTTTCCGAGGTCCGGAAAACTGCGAGCAACTTCGCCTCTGGGGGGTTTTCCGGCGCCCAGAAACAAAGAAAACCCAAAGCCGCGGACATGCATTCGTCTCGGGATTTTTTTTTGGTCTTTCTCAAAGGGCGCGAGCCCGAAAAGCGGGCGGACCCCGAAAGCGACAGAAGACCCTACCCGAGAGCTTGTGGCGCCCCTGGGTCGTGTTCTGTGCGTTTTTTTTTGTCTTTCTAAAGGCGCGAGCCCGAAAAGCGGGCGGGCCCCGAAAGCGACAACAGACCCGGCCCGAAAGCTCTCGACGCCCTCAGCTCGTGCTCTGCGTGCTTTTTCTGTTCTTTCTCAGAGGGCGCGAGCCCGAAAAGCGGGCAGACCCCGAAAGCGACAGCAGACCCGGCCCGAAAGCTCTCGACGCCCTCAGCTCGTGCTCTGCGTGCTTTTTCTGTTCTTTCTCAGAGGGCGCGAGCCCGAAAAGCGGGCAGACCCCGAAAGCGACAGCAGACCCGGCCCGAAAGCTCTCGACGCCCTCAGCTCGTGCTCTGCGTGCTTTTTCTGTTCTTTCTCAGAGGGCGCGAGCCCGAAAAGCGGGCAGACCCCGAAAGCGACAGCAGACCCGGCCCGAAAGCTCTCGACGCCCTCAGCTCGTGCTCTGCGTGCTTTTTCTGTTCTTTCTCAGAGGGCGCGAGCCCGAAAAGCGGGCAGACCCCGAAAGCGACAGCAGACCCGGCCCGAAAGCTCTCGACGCCCTCAGCTCGTGCTCTGCGTGCTTTTTCTGTTCTTTCTCAGAGGGCGCGAGCCCGAAAAGCGGGCAGACCCCGAAAGCGACAGCAGACCCGGCCCGAAAGCTCTCGACGCCCTCAGCTCGTGCTCTGCGTGCTTTTTCTGTTCTTTCTCAGAGGGCGCGAGCCCGAAAAGCGGGCAGACCCCGAAAGCGACAGCAGACCCGGCCCGAAAGCTCTCGACGCCCTCAGCTCGTGCTCTGCGTGCTTTTTCTGTTCTTTCTCAGAGGGCGCGAGCCCGAAAAGCGGGCAGACCCCGAAAGCGACAGCAGACCCGGCCCGAAAGCTCTCGACGCCCTCAGCTCGTGCTCTGCGCGCTTTTTCTGTTCTTTCTCAGAGGGCGCGAGCCCGAAAAGCGGGCGCGCGGGCCCCGAAAGGAAGCGACAACAGACCCGGCCCGAAAGCTCGCGGCGCCCTCAGGTCGCGCCCTGCGCGCTTTTTCTGTTCTTTCTCAGAGGGCGCGAGCCCGAAAAGCGGGCGGGCCCCGAAAACGACAGCAGACCCGGCCCGAAAGCTCTCGACGCCCTCCGGTCGTGCTCTGCGCGCTTTTTCTGTTCTTTCTCAGAGGGCGCGAGCCCGAAAAGCGGCCGGGCGGGCCCCGAAAGCGACAGCCGGCCCGGCCCGAAAGCCCTCGACGCCCTCACGTCGTGCTCTGCGCGGTTTTTCTGTTCTTTCTCAGAGGACGCGAGCCCCGCCCGACGAGCGGGCGGGCCCCGAAAACGGCACCCGGCCCGGCTCGAAAACTCTCGGCGCCCTTAGGTCGGGCCCTGCGCGGTTTTTTTCCTCTTTCATTCTCAGAAGATAGACGCGAGCCCGAAAAGCGGCCGGACCCCGAAAGGAAGCTAAAGAGCGACAGTAGGCCCGGCCCAAAAGTTCTCGGCGCCCGTAGGTCGTGCCCTGCGCGCTTTTTTCCATTTTTGGTTCTTTCTTAGAGGGCGGAGAGCCTACGGAGAAGGCGACAGGGCTCGCCGAAAAAGTCGGACAGCCTACGGAAAAAATGACAGAGCTCGCCGAAAAAGTCGGACAGCCTACGGAAAAAATGACAGAGCTCGCGGGAAAAGTCGGAGAGCCTACGGAAAAAGTGACGGAGCTCGCTGAAAAAGTCGGAAAGCCTACGGAAAAAATGACAGAGCTCGCTGAAAAAGTCGAAGAGCCTACGGAAAACGTGCCAGAGCTCGCTGAAAAAGTCGGAGAGCCTACGGAAAAAGTGACAGCGTTCGCTGAAAAAGTCGGAGAACCTACGGAAAAAGTGACAGCGCTCGCTGAAAAAGTCGGGAAGCCTACGGAAAAAGTGACAGAGCTCGCTGAAAAAGTCGGGGAGCCTACGGAAAAAATGACAGCGCTCGCTGAAAAAGTCGAAGGGCCTACGGAAAAAGTGACAGCGCTCGCTGAAAAAGTCGAAGGGCCTACGGAAAAAGTGACAGAGCTCGCTGAAAAAGTCGGAGGGCCTACGGAAAAAGTGACAGCGCTCGCTGAAAAAGTCGGGAAGCCTACGGAAAAAGTGACAGAGCTCGCTGAAAAAGTCGGGGAGCCTACGGAAAAAATGACAGCGCTCGCTGAAAAAGTCGAAGGGCCTACGGAAAAAGTGACAGCGCTCGCTGAAAAAGTCGAAGGGCCTACGGAAAAAGTGACAGAGCTCGCTGAAAAAGTCGGAGGGCCTACGGAAAAAGTGACAGCGCTCGCTGAAAAAGTCGGGAAGCCTACGGAAAAAGTGACAGAGCTCGCTGAAAAAGTTGGGGAGCCTACGGAAAAAATGACAGCGCTCGCTGAAAAAGTCGAAGGGCCTACGGAAAAAGTGACAGAGCTCGCTGAAAAAGTCGGGGAGCCTACGGAAAAAATGACAGCGCTCGCTGAAAAAGTCGGAGGGCCTACGGAAAAAGTGACAGAGCTCGCTGAAAAAGCCGGAGGGCCTACGGAAAAAGTGACAGCGCTCGCTGAAAAAGTCGGAGAACCTACGGAAAAAGTGACAGCGCTCGCTGAAAAAGTCGGAGAACCTACGGAAAAAGTGACAGAGCTCAAGGAAAAAGTCGGAGAGCCTACGGAAAAAATGACAAAAAGTCGGAGAGCCTACGGAAAAAGTGACAGAGCTCGCTAAAAAAGTCGAAGAGCCTACGGAGAAAGTGACAGAGCTCGCCGAAAAAGTCGGAGAGCCTACGGAAAAAGTGACAGAGCTCGCTGAAAAAGTCGGAGAGCCTACGGAAAAAGTGACAGAGCTCGCTGAAAACGTCGGAGACCGGGCCTAATGAAAAACTGGCCGAGCTCGGTGAAAAAATCGGACAGCCTACCGAAGAAGCGCCCGCGCTTGCTGATAAAGTCGGAGCGCCTAGCCTCTGAAAAAATGACCAATAGGGCGCGCTGAAAAAGTCGGGGAGCCAGCCCACTCAAAAAGTGGCCAGCGAGGCTCGCTGAAAAGTCGAAGGGCCTGCCGAAAAAGCGACAGAGCTTGCAGCAAAATCCGAGAACTAACGAAAGCGACAACAGGCCCGACCCGAAAGCCCTCGAAGCCCCCAGGTCGTGCCCTGCGCGCTTTTTCTGTTCTTTCTCAGAGGGCGCAAGCCCGAAAAGCGGGCGGGCCCCGAAAGCGACAGCAGGCCCGGCCCGAAAGCCCTGGACGCCCTCAGGTCGTGCTCTGCGCGCTTTTTTTGTTTTTTCTCAGAGGACGCGAGCCCCACCCGACAAGCGGCCGGACCCCGAAGGAAAACGACAACCGGCCCGGCCCGAAGGCTCTGGCAGCCCTGCGGTCGTGTTCTGTGCGTTTTTTTTTTCAGAAAGCGCGAGGCCGAAAAGCGGGCGGACCCCGAAAAAGACAGCAGGCCCGGCCCGAAAGCTCTGGGCGCCCTTAGGCCGCATCCCGCGCGTTTTTTTTGCTCTTTCTCAGATGGCGCGAGCCCGAAAAGCGGGCGGACAACGAAAACGACAACAGCCCCGGCCCGAAAGCTCTGGACGCCCTTAGGTCGTGCTCCGTGTGTTTTTTTTGGTCTTTCTCAGAAGGCACGAGCCCGAAAAGCGGGCGGGCCCCGAAAGCGACAGCAGACCCGGCCCAGAAGCTCCTGCCGCCGCGTCCGTCGCAGCGAAGGATCCTTCGCGATCGCGCGTTTCTTCATACATCGGGCACGCTTTTCGCTTGCAATCTTCCTCCGAAGCCTGTGGCCACATATTTGCAATGGATAAGTCGAGCTGCTTCACTTCGAGCTCCCAAAACCGCGACGCCGACGTGGAATCATGTTCGCTGCTCAGCAACGCCTGCAGGACTTCGTGCATGTCCGCGGCACACAAGTGAATGAACAGATTTTTGTCCTCATAGTCCTGCAAAGACAGATCCAATGCAGGCGGTGCTGACGATGACTTCTTCGTCCCAGGTGCAGCTTCATCAAGCGCGTTCGTTTGTAGTTTTCTCTGCGTTAATTGCCCCGGTCCTCGCACTTGCTTAATTTCCTGCAGGTCCAAAAACGCGATGCCGCAGGCGGCGAGCATACGCTTGCAAAATTCCACGTCCTTACTCTTCACCGCGATCATCAGTGGTGTGAGCCCCTTCGCGTCTTGCGCATTCACGTTGGTATCAAGTGCAAAAGTATCGCACTCGTACCAATGCATTACAAATTTCCTCAGCATGAGAAATAAAATTTGCAATGCGGATTTGACTTAACAAAAAGATTTGTAATGTATGACTGCAATACGAGTACGATACTTTTGCACAGGATAGTTGGCGCCATGCGATAAAAGAACCTCCATGATTTCCCAATTGCCGACCTCGGCACAGAAATGCAGCGCGGACCTCTCCGAAGACGACACTTCGTGATCCAGTCGACCCGAGTCTGCGAGCAGTCCAGCGAGCTCGAGCAGCGCGGCCGAGCCGTGTCGCCGCGTGCGGCACAGCTCTAGCAAAGCCAGGGTTTGTTTCCTCCGGAGCCGGTTCAACAAGATAGCGTTCTTGGTGTTCGCGGCTGGAGATGTCGATGAAGCTGTGACCCCCGAGCGGGGGTCACCGGCGATGGGGACAACTACATTTTTGTTGCTTTCTCTTTCTTTGTCCTCAAGAGCCTTACCGCGGGCCACCAGGGACCGACAGATCTCCAGCGCAAGCTCGATTCCGACGTTTGTGGTGGAAGCAGCTGTCGTATTCTGGAGTTCACCTTTTGTTCCAGGCTCAGGCAAACCGCTCATGATGCTGTCGCCGCCACGACCAGTTCTTGACGCGGCAGCGCCGTCACCTCCCGAAGATGATCCTGCGTTTGTGATAGCGATCAGCAGTGCCGTGTTGCCATCGGTGTTGGACGAGTTCAAGAGGCTCAACGGGAAATATTTCTCCTCCTTCGCCAAAAGCTGGCGGACGATAGACAGCCGTTCATGCAGCACGGCGGTGTGTAGTAAAGAATTCTTCCTGGTTCGCGTGACTACCGTGAAGTCGAGTTTCCCGTTATCGTGAGTGAAAACGTCACCACACCAGAGTCAAGCTGGGGATCTCGCAACACAAATCGAGAAGTTTTGGGGGTCAAGCATGACAAGTTCGTCTCTGTTGTATTGTAATGCAGATTAGCAAGTACATCCGCAACACTGTTCCATCTACTTATCCTGTCGACAGCATTACAAAGTGCAAAACGCGACTGGAAATGCCTCTCATGGGGATGCGCATTACAAATCTTCCTGGAGCTGCAAATCTGCATGACAACTCGAACTCTTTGGTGGGGACATTTTTCCTCACAATACCCGTCGAACTCCGCGGAAAACAGATCTTCCGCACCGACGCCGTTGGCCGCCGCAAGCTGCATATGGAACGAAAGAACTGTTTTAGTGTAAGTTTCTTGTAGGAATAGGATCACAAGTTTGCTCTGCGTGACACAGAAAACGTGTCATGCGTAGCTAGTACTTAAAAACACGTATGAAAATAGCCTCTGATGCATGTCCAGCATGACAAGTCGTGTATACAGTTTTGCATTTTCTGCAACACAAAGTTGCACTTACACAGTTTTTTTCTTGGATACTGCAGGGGCACCCGCCCGTCGTCCTGGCGAAAGCTAGACCACAGCTTATTTCCGAAAGTCAGTTCATCTTCATCCTCTTGTTGGCCTGGCGGTGAGCCTGAGTTCTCGCTTGGGATCTTTTTTCCTTCGCTGTCTTTATTCTCTTCGTCTCGTATTTTTACGCTCGTGCTTTCGAGCATCAAAGGCAATCCTGCATTAGTAGCGCCAGATATTACCGAAAGTCCGAGGAGCGCGCGCCGGATTTTTGTGCTTGCCGTCGTTGCAGCTTGTGGTTCCCCCGCCGCTGAAGTGCTTGCAGGGTCAGGATTCACGGTTGTGTCCCTGGACGTCGGTGCTGCAGTGTTGCACACTAGATGCAGAATGCTGCGCCCCTGATAATCCGGAAGGACGAGCACTTTTTTCACCAACGAGGCGGCGAGATTGGCGGAGATAGCTGCGCCCGCATTCGAATTTGCAGTCGTGGTTTTCTTCACACAACCCGCTTCTCCTTCTCCTTCTTGTGGCGAAGTAGTGGCATTCGCACTGCCTCCATTTAGAAACCGTAAGATTTCCACGACGGCAGTATCATCGTCTTTCCGCACCGCCGTGTGCAGCGGGGACGAAAACAATGCCCGCAACACGGCCAGCTCCTGGTCTGAAAAGGGCGTCTGCTTTTTTGGTTTGGTACTACTAACAGGGTTATCCTGTGCAAAAGTATCGCACTCGTACTAATCGCAGTCATGCAAGACAAATTTCTTTTTCACGCTAAACCAGCATGACAGATTCCATTTGTCATGCTAAGCGAATTTGTATTGCAATACTTACTACGAGTACGATACTTTTGCAGTTCATAAGGGCCTCTAATATTATCACTTGACAATGACATCACCATCATCTCATCCGGTAGCACAAGGCCTTCGTATTTTTTCGCGACGCTCCTTGCATACTCCACGAACTGTCGGGACTTTTTTTCTATGAAGTGCAAATATGTCTGGGTCTGGAAGAATGCAAGATTTGTGATGCAGATTTTCCATGACCCATGAGGCCTGGCATGCAGCACCTAGCATGACAGATGCTGTGGGGTGTCTATCATGCCTATCCTGCATGAGAAACTCCCTATCAAACTGGTCAAGGGCGGACATCTTTTGGTAATCATGCAACACAAATTTTTGCATGATCCAGACTCAGCATGAGAAGTTGCAATCATCCAGACCCAGACATTTTTGCAATCCATATTTTCGTTGAGCGCTTTATCGATCAAGGCTTCAGCCTGCTCTAGATGGCCCAAGTTCGGACCGGTCAGAATCACGGGGGGCCACTTTCGCCGCTTCACGACCAGTTGGGAAGTCGTTTGCGCCCCCGCTGCTGGGGGCTTCTGATTTGCGGCTGAGGCATTTACGGCTTCGCCTGCTGCTCCAGTCGGTTGTATCACTGATGGAACAGCTTCGACGCTCTTCGCGACGACCTTTCCCGCGTTTATTTGAGGTGTCTTCGGATAATCATTCTCGACCGAGGATATTAATGTCGCTTGCGGACGACCAGCCGGCGCGGCCCCCGACAGCTCGCCCAAAATCATCTTACCGCCTTCTCCTGCTACAACCCTTCCGGAATTGCTGCTTTCCAGCTCTTTCATGCGGATGACATTGGCGCCCTTCAATTCCACGTTTTGCAAGTTCAGATCGGCAAAATGGATATACTATGCACTGCAAAACAAGTATCGTAGCCGTATAAATGCATTACAAATTCCTTCAGCAAGAGAAATAAAATTTGTAATGCAGATTTACCTTAAGAAAAAGATTTGTAATGCATGCAGGTAGATGAGTTGTCGTATAGGATGAATTGCACCCAAATACTATTAAGAATCCAGCAAACCTTACATCGTATCGCATTACGAAAACCCGAAAACAGCGAGCAAAGCATTTCAGCAGCCAATTTCTTCAAAAGCGAAAATGGCGGACCTTGTGTCGTATTTGCCCAGAAACGGAGGCAATAGCTCAGCAGCTGAATTGTCACAAAGCGAAGCAATTCAGCGCAGAAAGACAAAGCAGCCTATCTCAGTCGATCGGAAATATATTTCCCGGCAAAAGCCGCTGGCAATCTTTGAAGCAAGAAGACAACAGTCCACGGAAATTGAAGGGCCCGGCACGCTTCCAGGCGCCTTCGATAGAAGCGCTCGCCCTACAAGGCCGGTAGCGCGGGAAGCCTGCGCGGGCGCTAGGCCTATGGCGCGACGGGCAGTGTGCGTGCGTGCCGACGTTTTCCGCATAGCAGTAGCACTGCTTTAAAGCAAAAGCGAAAATAGGCAGCGCGCGCGCCCTAATTTCGCATGCACGGCAGCATGCGAAAGAGGGCCCGGGGGGGGGGCGGGGGGGAAGGACGCCCGCAAGCGATTATATGGGTTATGCCAGGCGCGAGACGTGCCGAAATAGTGAGACCGGGAGGCTTGCGGCAATTTGCTCGGAACGCTGCCCCGCCACACGCGCAACCATGGGCATGGTCCATGCCCAGGGCCCGGGAGAGCATTCCTTGGCAGGACCCCCGCAAACTGGCTGCGGTAGAACGCAGCGCATGCAGCTTTTTACCCGTTGTGCCATGCTTTGGGCCCCGAACAATTAAGCCTGCGCGGATCACATGATAATCACGTGAGTAATCACATGATAATCACATGATATTTGTTGTGCATAAGCCATTCTGAGTTGTTTTCATCACGTGATAATCGCATGATCATCACGCGATGACGACCCCGAAAAGGCGGCCGCTAATATTGCGGGATATGACGCGCCCCCCGTCATACGTGAAACCCAAAGCGGCAAAACAGTAAGGATTCACGAAGAAAACGTAGCAAAGACGAAAGTCGAACGTATGAGCTATATTGTGACAATTCAGATCGCGCCAGGAACTGCGCAAAAAAAAGTCAAAAAAGCAACTCAGCATAGGACAACACAGATTACTGCATGCATGATTGCAATACGACAACGATACTTTTGCACAGGATATATACCGCTCCGCCAGATCAATGAGCGACTTCGAAGTATCGTCAAGGTGCTGCTTCACGTTAGCAACCGCAACGGCTCGCTGCAACAGCTGGAAAGTCGACGACTTGGCATTTTTGTCTTCCTCTTCTTCTTCACCGGCCTCGGGAACTTGATCTTCTGGCACAGGGTCCGCGTGGCCATCGCCCGTGGAGGTCCTCCTGCGAGGAGTTCTCTCACGAACATTGTCTGTCTTTCCATCTACTTCTTGGCCGTCGTGCGACGCCATTTTCAAGTCGTCCTTGATGTCCAACTCCCGCGGTGTTGTCCGCTCCGACTCCCCCGGCGTCGGTAACGAGGAGGGCGGTAAGACAAACTTTGTCGCCTGCAGAAATTTCTGTAGCAGCTCGTAGAACGTGTAGCGCAGTTGCAAGACGACAAAATGTTCGAGTATGGATTTGTACTTCACGGTGTGTGGTAGAGAGGCCTTTGATTTCTTCTCACCCTCCTCCGATCCGCTAGCACCCGAACTGCTCGCGACAGGAGGGGTGCTCGCCTTCGCGCCAGGATGAACCAGTGACGCGGAAACAAAGTCATACGCAGCCTCCTGGGACCAAGAACCCGCGCGCAAGAAAAACTTCACGACATCCTCTGCCCCGCATTCGATGGCTAGGGAGAGAGGGCTGTGTCCGGCGTGCGAATTCTGCACGAGCAATTGCAACGCGAACCGTTCCTGGACTTGCAATAATTTCGCGGCGGCCCCCTTTTTCTTTCTTCCACTCTGGGTAGTTCGTTCGTCGGAGCTGCAGGCATTTCGGTTGATATTTCGAGACACTTGTGCCCAGGTTCGCAACCACTCTCGGACGATTAGCTCCACAACGCGTACGTGATTTCGTTTCACCGCAAGCACCATCGTGCTACTGTCGAAGAAGCGCACGTTGCGAAAACAGCCGATGGCGGGGAAAATCGGAAAGCAACAATCGTTCACCGCACGCTGCCACCTCTGCATGTTGCTATTCAGTAGGGCCCGGGCAGCTCGCTGGACGGCTGTGCCGGTCTTGGCAGGTTTGTCAGCCATAGTTTTTCTTTTATCATGATCCCCTGCTGCTGTCCCTGTCGTGGTCCCCGCCTGCGGATGCGCCACTGTATCAACCACGTGGAGCTGTGCGCTAACAACTTCCTCTCGACTGCACTCGTGCCAGGCAGCAACGAACAGCGCTCTGGCGCGCCATTGTACCACGGACGAGGGAAGGACCGCGAACACCGGGATGGCCGGCGGAAGCGGGTTGCGCTTTTGGGTAGAAGTTGCCACTTTTACATTCGCAGCAGAAGATGTTGAATGAGGAAGCACCACTGCATCCGGGCTACCTTGCTGCGGCTTTGTCGTCCAATACCGATCGGGCTCCACAATGGTTTGATACAAAGGTATATCAAATGCAAATATGTCTGGCTCTGGAAACTTGTGATGCTAAAATGTGGATGATGAAAACACGTCCGAATGCAGCCCAGCATGACACCTTTCCAGGACTCTTTCTCATAGGCAGCCCGCATGAAGAGAAGCTGCGTTCCTGCACGACAAAAATGGCTGCGACTTTTGTTGGTCATGCAATACAGAAGATTTCACAGGAATGTAAGGCCAGCATTACAAGTTGCAGCTTTCCAGACCCAGACATATTTGCCATGCATAAGGCAAGCCGATCTGCTCTGCGTCTTCGGCCGTCGTTCCGAGCGCGACCGGACTTGGCCGCAACATCCTCGTCGACGCGCCAGCGGGCGGCTTCTTCTCCTTTTTCCTATCAAATGTAAAAGTGTCTGGGTCTCGAAGGGTTGGAACTTGTGATGCAAACCGTGGAACACACAAAAACTTATGTTGCATGAGCGCCAAAAGCTGTCCATTTCTTGGCACGCAAGTAGGAAGTTTCTCATGCGGTACAGGCATCATGATGCGTGCTCAAAACCTGTGATGCTTTTGCCTGCATCAGACGCCATTTGCATGAGCCGAAATCTGCATGACAAGTCGCGCATTCTTCCAGACCCAGACATTTTTACATTTGATATTTCCGGTAATTTTGCAAGTGGTGCAGCGTGCCGTACACTAGCGTGTCGCTAGGCTCTCGACTCTATCGCAAGAAAAAACTGTTTCACTGTAAACTTGTAATGCAGAAAATGCATCTGAGAAGTATTTGTCTTGCTACACATGCAAGACAGTAATTTTTAGCTGTGCTTTCCCTTAGAAATCTTGCATGGCAAATTTTCTCTGTGATGTAGAACAAACTTGTGATGCAAAACTTGCAAAATCCTTACAGTGAACCACTTTTTTCTCACGATAGACTCTTCTCTTGGCCTAATATAGCGGGTGGCTCGACAAAGTTTGGATACGCAGTAGAACCGGTGACTGTGGTCAGCTGTGGTCCACTTTCCCCTTGGGCGGTTGGAGTTCTTGTCCCTGTGATGATAGGTGCTGCACCTGCTCCGTCAGTTCTTGGAGGGACTAGATTCGCGTCCGTGGTCGGACCCGCAGGAGCTGCAACAGCATCTTCACCTTTTGCTGCAGGAGGTGGAGGTGGCACCGAGACCAAGAGCTCGACCACTTCGTAGTCTTTCCACTGCTTCTCCGCCTCTTGTCGCATAGTAGCAGCCTCCACACCGCGCGTCGGTGGCTGTTGTGCTGTGCTGCCACCTCCGATTGCCTGCACCAGCGGGGCGCCACTCATATTCGCAGCAGCAGGGTCTTCGAACCCGGAACGGAATGCAAAGCGCTCGACGGACGTATTGGACACCATGTTGCGGCCCCCCTGTGCAACTTCCTGGATCGCACTAAAAAACTGCTTCACTGTGAACTTGTGACGCATAGAATGGAGCGCACAACTATTTGTCTTGCTACACATGCAAGACGCTGGGTTTTTCAGCGTGTTTTGCCTTAGAAAGCACGCATGGCGAGTTTTCTTGGTCATATGTAACGAACTTGTGATGCAAAACTTGCAAAATCCTTACAGTGAAGCACTTTTTTCGTACGATATCCTGCTCCAGGCTGTTCAGCGAAAAAAGTTTGTTCCGCGTCTGCGACAGAGTGGGCAAAACGCGGAGACCCCCGCTCTCGTGCCAGGAGGAGGAGGGAATTTGGCGTGGCGTGTATTCCTCTCGTCGCGCTTTGTCACTGTGGTCCTTGTCGTGCTGCAACTTGCTGTTTCCAGCGAGACTCGCAAGCTTTTCCGCTAGAATCGTGCAAAACAAACGACAAGCATTCCCATGTGGTTTCTGAAGTTGTTGCTCGGCTCCTACGTCTGTCTCCAAAGCAGCAGATGCAGAAGCAGCGAAGTTGCCCTCCATTAACGCGAGGTCAAGCGGCGACCGATGCAGAAAATCCCGGCTCGTGGGGTCCAAAAACTTCTTGTCGCAAGCGAAAAGGAGCACCGTGAGCAGGTCGCTGAGAAGGGGGGGCAACACTTTAGCAGAAGCGCTGCAGTTATCTTTCGGAACGAGGTCAGGGACGAAGCCGGACGGGCTGCACACTGCAACCGCGACCGCGTGTAGCACGAATATGCAGCGAAAACGCGGCGCGTAGCTAGCTGGCTCTGGCAATTTGAAGCGGGACAATCTTCATGCTCGACAAGGGGGGCCCCGGGTGAGAGAGCTCCCCACTCAACCGAGGTTGAACCAGGCGAAAAAAAGCATAGGGGCTGGGCGACCGAGCGGAAGCGGCTCGGCCACCAACCCCGGGAGGGGCCACGGCCCCTGAGAAACGCGCGCCGCTTTTCATACTTCACAACCCCGGGCACTTCATTTCCGCCCGCGGGCCCGCCCGGGCTTGATGTAGGAACACAAACGAAGGGCAGAGGGGGAGGGGCGGGCGCTAGGGGATGGCCGGGACTGCTTGAAGACCCTGCAGGGGACGAAACTCCGGCCGCAAGGTACCGGAGGGCAGCCCCAGATAAACGCAAAACCCGGACCGGAAACGCTTGCCGGAATCGCTTGCCACAAAGAAAGGGGAGTGGTTCAATACCGCTGAAAAACCCGGACCGGAAACGCTTGCCGGAATCGCTTGCCACAAAGAAAGGGGAGTGGTTCAA